GGTACCACGTAATGTCACGGCAGTAAGGCGGATTCAAATCAGATTATATAGGATTAACTACAAGACGTGGTACGAAGAGGAAAGGAAGAGAACGAGAGGCGGCGGCCATATATATGGCTCGCTGGCAGGCGCTAGGCGCTAAGCGAGAAATAACGAGCGAGACAAATACAAACAACAATTGACAAATAACAAATAAGACAAACCATCAGAAACATGAACAAACAACAATTAGCAAATAACAAACAAAGACAAACCGTCAGCTAGCGCTTGCTGGTAGGATCTGCAAGGAACACGCTAGAAACCCGTGACACCTAGGAGCGCTAGTTATTACGTTCCCTTCTACCTCGAGAAAGTTATATAATACCTTTAAAGTATTAATATAGTACCGCTAGGCCTTTATACCCGGTACCTATATAATAAGCTCCTATAGAACTAGGCTAGCCTCCTTACCTAGCTACGAACCGGCTATTACTAGCTTAACTAATACCGCACGAGAATAGGTCGGATTAATAATAAATAATGCGAATATAGAGAAGTCGAATTAGTTCCTTATATTCTCCTCTAGTACTCCCTACTCTAGGAAAGCCGATAGAGGATACTCTAAGATAGTAGACTAAAAAAGAATAGCCTATCAGCCTTACTTAGTAGGAAGCTACCTAGTAATACCGTAGCTACCTAGAGTAAAGACGATAATTAGAGGATAATAGCATTATAGTTTTAGGCCGTGCTAAGCTTTATATAAGACTTACAACGGTTTAAGAATAGAGATAATCCTATAGTATAGAATCTCTACACTACTATCCCCTCCTACCCTACTATCCGCTCCTTTTACCTTCCCTTTTCCTCCCAGATTAACAAATCACATGTAAACTAGTAGCAAAACTCTTTAAATAGTCGTAGCCTACACATCGCTCAGGGCGATGGGTTAGGGTAAATGAATTCAACTCATCTCAACTCAATCTATAATATTCGTAAAACTATATTATTATAGCCTAATATCTAAATTTATAAAGATACGCGTTGTTAAATAGCTCTATATAGTCTACTCTATCTAAAGTTTAGATTGCGGTTTGTGTTGCAGAGGTTCCTCCTTGTCGACCCGGTACCGCTTCCCCCCAGTAAATAGGGCGATCAAGACCTTCAATTCGGGGAGATGCTTCGCAGTAAGGTCCCGGGGGGCGCAAAGGTACCGGTTGCACAAGCTGGCTGCAGCCGCCGTCGCAATGCCATGCTGACCGCCATTGCCCATAAACTTAGTATTGGAGCTCGCAACGTGAGTAGCGCTTATGTGCTTGCCCCCCATCATTAGGTTGGAGATGTTCTTGGAGTAGAGGCAGCGGAACGGGACGTCGTACGGCTTCATGTCGCGCAAATCCCATTCCCAGTGTCGCAGTCGGAAATCGTACTTTGCATGGCCTGGGTAGTGTAGGCATAATGGCCCGCCGTTCTGCACCACGGCATCATCGAAGTGCGTGTGGTTGCGAATGTCATTCTCGGTCAGGACATGATCGCCTTCGTAGCGGCGGAACTCGCCCTGAGCAGGCACATGCGCCACCCAGTCGAACTCGAGGTTGGGGTAGGTGTCCGGAGCCATGTTCTTGACGTTGGCGAAGGTGCCGTAAATGGCGCGCAGCAAGTGGTCGCGGATGGCCTCACCCTGGGTGTAGGGATCAAGGAACTGGCCGTACTCCCAAAAGTGAGTGAGAGGTCCTTTCATAGCCTTGGAAACGGAGGGTTGGGTACCTGGAGGAGGGGCCACGGCAGGGCCGAATCCGTTTTCGATGCCGGGCTCCTCGAGTTGTCCATTTAGGTCGGCATAGTCCTTGGCGACCTCGGTGGCCCACGGCACGGCGGGGAACGAGACGGCCCTGTCGGCCATGCGGGTGCGGAAGAAGACAGTGTTGCCGTGGTGCATGTTGTCGTGGTGCACCGGAGCAAGGCTCTCGCCGAACTCGGCCTGGGATTCTTGGCCGTACAGTGTCTGAGCGCCTGAGAGCATGCCGAGCCAGGCTCTGCCAGAGCAGTCGATGAAGGCGGGTGCAGACAGACGGATCTCGCGGCCGTTGCGACCATGGCGTGCGTCAATTGCCAGGATGGTGGAATCCCGAGTGACGGTGTGGAAGACGGTGTGCTCGAGGAAGAGGATTGCTGTGCGTTCGGCTTCAAGCAGCTGTTGCGCACAGATATGGCCGTTGTCCAGCCTCTGTGAGAGCTCTTTGATAAGGGGCCCGGTAACGCCACGCGGACTGAGTCCGGTCTCAACGCTCGCGTTGCCGCCCAGGCAAGGGCGGTCCTGGACCAGGGCCACGCGCTCGCCCAGTCGCGCCGCCGTCAGCGCAGCCGCACATCCAGCAATGCCTCCACCGACAACCACAACGTCGAAACACCCGCCATCGACCGGGACATCAGGTAGGCCGCGCAGACGCCGCCGCCACGCTCGCGATTCCTCGTCCACGCCGCCGGGTGGAGGAGTCGTGTCGTCGCGACCGAAGAAAACCGCATCGCACCGTCCAGCAAACCCCGTCAAGTCGTGCAGCGTAAGCTTCGTCTCACCCTGTAGTTGCACTCGCCCTCCAAATTGCCAGCTCCAGTCTTGGTCATTGGCTCCGAATTCAGTGTCAAGTGCGACCCCGTTGATGAGGAGTTGGAACCGACCCGGATGGTGGCTGGACACCCAGTCTTTGGCGCGCACCCAGACGCTGTATTCGGTCGCTCCAGAAACGGTAATGGTTGTAGTGGCGTCGGCGACTGGTTTGCCGTTGCCATGCGCCAGCAGGTAGGGTGAGCCCATCTCCAGCTCGAACTGCGAGTCCAGCACCCATCCGCCGAACGAATCGAATGCTTCGGCTTCCACCAGTATCCCGTTCGGAAGTGCAGCCATTTTGGAAATCTGTTGGCGAATGGTTTTATTAGCCAAGCTCTCTTTTTATAACATGATAGTTTGTGGATGAGGTGACGTGATATTAATGACCAGCCGAGATCCGACAGAAGCGGGGTTTAGTGTGTTTAGTTATCCATAAGTGTTTACAGCTCGGCATTAGCCTCGGCTCGGCTTAGGGTTTAGGGTATATTATATAGCGGATTTTAAGTAAACTCTAGTTGGAAAAGAAAAGAAAAGTTGCATCGCTGTAGAATATTCCAAAGTGCGATTTAAAGAAAATGTCTCCAAGTCACTTTGCAAAGTCGTAACACCAGAAAGGCATTGTTGATAATTGTAAGAAGACTTCATCCCTTTCTCACCCAAAACTATATACTATTCATAGTGCTTTACATCAGCTCTATTACTACCAGTTTGTAGTCGCTCCGCTTCAAGGTCCTTACCACGTCGACCTAAATCGGCGTTACCGTGTCGTTGTAAACTTCCAACTTGACTGAAGGCCATGTGCAGCGAGAAATACCACCATTATCGGGACCACAGCTTCCCGTGTCGCTAGTTATCTCAGCTTTTGCCCGTTTCTCGTGGGTGAATTTACCCGTACTTTTGTTTTTTTTGAAATTAGCAACTGGCTCATCATTTCAAACCAGAACAGTCGATTTCTTACTTGTTGGTCTCTTCCCATGTGTGCCTGACTTCCAGATCGAAGTCTTTGTTGCTATTATAGCTAGAAACAAAGAATTTGTAGGAGTTCGGGGAGCAATCGGTCTATTAACAGCATCATCAGCATTTGCGCAAATACACGATGTGCGCACCTAAGGGTTTCTTACGTAGTAAAGTGGTGGTTGTCGGCGGTAGTCCCACCCAGTGATGCAGCTGGACGACCCGGGGCTAGCCGGGCTCTCGTCGCGTATCCCAAATGACAAGTATGCCATGTTTGTAAGTGGATTCTGGCCCTCAAGGGGCATGGAGGCGTCAATGTTCGTGGCCTCGAAGGAATCCGCCTTGACGGCGGCAGAAAAAATGGCGAGAGCACCGAGAGAGATTGTAGTTAAGTACATAGTGCTTTCGTGTGTAGTTTGCTTTGGTAGTATTTCAATGAATTGGAAGCTGTGCTGAAGAGAATGCTCGATTCATTGCAACGCTTTTATAGTTAAGTAGCTCTTACAAGCTACACCACAAGAAGTCACGTCACATGAAGACACGTCACAGATATAAGCGTAAAGTCAGAACATCGTATTCTAAACGTAAGGGGCTGAACAGGTCGTGAGCTTATCGAAAAGTAAACACGAGGCCGTAGAGCTGATTAAGCGCTAACCGAAAAGAGTATTCGGTAGCTAGCAGATACTAAGCCCTACTTACTAGACTAGTTCCACGAGCCGAGGATACCTAAGAATCCTATACTTATAAGACTACGGCTTAACGGTACTGTCTATCATCTTCTAAGATCGAGAAGTTACCATGGTTATGATAAAAATCCCTTATGCCGACAGGTGGGCTGAGCACCACATCACATGTAAGTGGCTGAGGCTCTAAATCTATTTTTATCTCAGTAGCGAAAAATCTGGTAAAAGTCCTCGTATTCGTTACTCAACTTGTCAAAACGACGTAGCTGCATCATTTAAGTCAAAAGCTAATGGCCATGGCCAAAATGGGGGAAAACTTAAGGCAGATCCCTTCCATACATACGAGAGTCAACAACCCGGTAGTAGCCTGCAACCCAAAACAAAGCGACAAAATATTTGTCCAAGGTAATTGCCTCACCCAAAGAAAGAATTGGGCGAATTGGATGTTTCTTTCAGTGACCGAAGAGTAGAACCTGCAATTTAGCGACATGAAAGCTTTGTATGTCATTTTATTTTGGCAAGCTTAGGAATTCTCCTATTTCAGGCTTTCATGGCTCGCGAAACGGCATTGCTTCTCCCATTCCAATCGAGGTTTTCAAGAAGCCTTCTGGGTAAATACAACGGGTGAAGAATCGGAATTTGGAATTGGAATACCCACATGTTTGTGCATTTGATTTTCCTCCTCTCATGCTTTCTGAGCGCTGTGACTGACAAGCACAGTGCAACAGGGAAGTACGCAAGCATTTTGAGTATACTATAGAAGAATACAATATTCAACTTCTACGTAACTCCCCAATCCTAGATATTCTGTGCTGTGGGGCCGCTGCAGGGCTTCACTGATAAGACCCCTGATGCGAAAACTTTTCCACTACGTAAAAATCGTTCGTTGCAATACATATTTTCGGTAGTTGGCTGCATACTGCGATGGTGATCAGACCACGGGCGTGGAGCCGCGGAGCCCCGCTTTGCTCCGCCCTCGGGTACTTAACAGTGGAGGCCGCCACCGTTCACGAAGTCACGACCTCGTAGACTGTCAACATGAAGACTCCTATTTTTTCCATATTGGTTTTTGCCTGTCCGCTAGTTGCAAACGTCTTTACTGTGAAAACATCCAACGGGCCCATTATAGGACATCTTGCAACAAATCGCAGCGATGTTATTGAGTATCTCGGTATTCCCTACGCTCAACCTCCAGTCGGGCCTTTGAGATTTGCCGCACCCAAAAAATACGCAAGTAACGGGACCGTATACGTGGCGTCGAGCTTTGTACGTTGGATCCGATATAGCTTTCTTAACCATTTTTGTTGACTGGCGAAGTCTCCGTAGGTAGCCGAGTTAAGATAAAGTACTTCACTAACAAACTGTAGCGGATGCCCAATACCAGAGAGTCCTCTTGGAGATTATCCTGATCAGACTTCCCAGAAAAACCGCATCTTCGCCAAGTTCATCGGCAGTCCGGACCATGTTCAAAGCGAGGATTGCTTGACGCTTAATGTTTGGTCCAAGGCTACGAACAAGACATCGAAACCGGTACTGGTCTTCATTCACGGCGGCAGATGGGTCACGGGTGAAACCAACACCAAATTCTACAACGGTCAATACCTCGCTAATGCTGAAGATGTCGTTGTGGTCACATTGAACTACCGCACGAATATCTTCGGCTTTCCCGGTGCACCAGGGATTGAGAAGAACCTTGGAATGCTCGACCAGCGCTTGGCCGTGGAGTGGGCGCGCGATAACATTGCCGCCTTTGGTGGTGATCCTAGGAAAATTGTTCTATTTGGCCAGTCTGCTGGCGGTGCTGCTGTTGACTTTTGGTCCTACGCTTACATCGAAGACCCAATTCTTTCCGGCATAATCTCGCACTCAGGAAATGCTCTAAGCTTCGTCGTCAACAGCGAAGACTTTGCTGAGTCAAACTGGTACACTGTAGCGAAGGATGTTGGATGCGGCAGTTCAGGCGATGTTATGGACTGTATGAAGAGCGTCGACTTTGCTACAATTGAAGCCGCTGCCGCAAAGGTTCCCTCCATTGGACCTCAGGCGCGCCAACAACCACCATTTCAACCGACGATCGATGATAAACTCGTCCTCACTGCCAATGAGTATGCTACCCGCTCATCTACGGGGAAATTTGCCAAAATTGTGAGTTGTGCTTCTTATCTCATTGGTGGAATGTTTCTCACTAACTTGAGTAGCCTTACATGGCCGGCGATACAGACTGGGAAGCCGGCTTCTACAGAGTTACTGCATACGCAAGGGGCAGCGTATTAAGTGATGACGAATGGGCCGAGTTTGGGCTCGAAGACTTCACTTGTCCCGATGCTTTTAAGGCATCGAATCGCGTTCAAAACGGGGTCCCAATGTGGGTTTTCCGCTACATGGCCGACTGGGATAATCTCCGTCTGTACCCCAACAGTTCTGCCTACCACGGCTCAGATCTCGAGATGGTGTTTGGAGGCTCAGCAGATGTTAGCGGAATACCCGACACAAAAGAGGAGACTGAGATGCAGGCTTTGATGATGAAGGCTTGGGCAACATTTGCTGCCAACCCAACCAGCGGTTTAACAACGGAGTTAATGTGGCCGCAGTATGATCGCAAAGGTACGGTTAACGCGCGTTCTACCTGAATTGTGCTAACTGTTATAGCCAATTCTTTAATTCGCCTTGGATACAACAACACGCCCACTGCGGAGTTCATCTCGCCCACGGTCTATGACAGTGGATGCGCTGGTCTTAATCTATCGTACTGGAACCTAGGATGATCATCAATACTCTCATTAGGCAAGGACCTGGAAATACAATCACGCTGAGATGGTACCATAGAATGCGAACAACTACTTCGCTGAGCTGAGATGCTATCAGCGTTACGCTGGGTAGCTACAATGTGCTTTTTTGAAGCAACATCGGTTATCGTTGAGAAATTCGTGTCATTCAACAGACTCCCGCATGATGTGAACCCAGAATCCAACGATATCCTGAACTTTCTTATTTAGAGGGAGAATGGTTTGGGTTCAAACTTCTTGTAACCAATGCCTGCAACAAATGTGTCCATCCAAGGATGCTGTGTTCTGTCCTGGCTGAGCTCCCAGAACCTCGCTGCGTGCGCCGGACCATTTATTTGGTCGCGGACTGGGCTACCGTCTTCAAAACGCTCATCAGCGTAGTAAAACCTAATAGATATGACACAGCAATCAGTAAGCATTCAAGAGCCGAGCTAAACTATGCCAAAGAGATGTTCTTGTCCACACTGTAGCTACTTACGTCCACCCTTTGGCCGCGTAAGCACCAGCAGCGCATTCGATTGTGTGAGCCATGGCGGTCTTGCCCACTCCCAGTGTGAGAACAAGAGGATGCGGTGTGACGTTTAATGCATTGCCGGTGTAAATGAAGGACTTCGGAATGTCCGCTGGGAGCTTTTCGAACCCAATAACGGCTAATTGGGCCGCAACGTAAGCCGACACGAGGTTGACAGCAAGGTCTGCCTCAAAATCCGTTTGCTCAATGTTGAGCGGATTGTCTATTTGTGAGAAGTGTACCGATGCAGCTGCATTGTAAGGTTAGCCAGTTCTAGAATTTTCTTGCAGTGGATAAGATTAAAACTCGTGGGCTAAAAAAGGAAAACTTTTACCATTGTAGATAACGACATTTGGTGCGCATCCGTGCTTTTTTTGTACTGCTTCATACACCTCGGCCACTGCATGGGGTTGCGTAAGATCCGCCTTCAAGTGCTGACACTCGAGGTCAGCATCATCGGAAGCGCCCTTGCGGCTGACCAGAGCTACGTTGTAGCCGTTGGAGCGAAATGTTTTCGTGACTGCAGCACCGATGTTAGGACCGGCGCCGAAAATAAGGACCAGCTTGTTTTGTGCCATGTTTGCGATGGTGAAAGATGAGGATAATGATGGGAGGGGCTCTTGTTTATAAATCTAGTGGAGGGGTAGCGGGGGTCAGCACTAAGATAGTTCAGGTTCTTTTGGCTTCTTACTCAGATTCTTGGTAAGCAACAAAGATTGACCTGGTGATACCCACAAAGATTTGGACTTACACGTGCATTCATACTAGCATCGCCTCGCTTTTCCTTTCGATGTGTAAACGCAGCGAGTAGTACCTTTAAATGATGAGGTATTGCTGAAGATGGGGTTACATTGTAACAATGCTCATATCGAAGCAATTTCCTGGAACGAGATAGCTTCTTCCATACGATGTATTCCATGAAAAAACTCACAATATTATTGAACTATACAGTTGGTATTCCAGAAAGTAGGTCCAACCCATTGATCCTCCGGTAGCTCGCGATTACAGAATTCTTTCCAGTCCCACACTTTCACCTGTTCCGGTCCTCCTTCAGGATTTTTCAATTCATGCCGTGGAGGATACGGCGACTTGTCAAATTTTAGACGTAGTGCGTATCTCGGAGGCGCAGAGGGGAATTTTTTAAAGTTTGACTCGGCCCAAGGTGTAAGGAAGCTGCCTTTTTCTAAGCAGATGGTATACGTTTTTGGCATAAAGGCGTCTTCCGTAAGATAAGCCTCGTTTAGTTGCAGTTCGTCCAGCTTTTTCCATCGAGTAAGTCGGCGTTTTGTGATTGTCATTTCGATGTCCAACTGGCCGATAACATGGGGGATTTTTTGATAATTGTTCGCTCCCTGGTTGATGGACTGGGAGAAGACTTTCCAATGGAACGCTGTGGCAATCATTATAGTCGTCTCGCCGCGGAATACAATCTGCACAGCATTTGAAATTGATTTCATCAAAGGGAACGCGACGTAGACAGTAGACTTACTTCGCCCGTTCCATCCTTCCTGAACAAGACATCGTTGAATCCTTTCTGGTCATAGTACCAGCTCTCGTCGCAAAGGATGGAGATTAGGTCCTCGTTCATTGTTGGTTGAAGAGACATCAGAGATGGGTGGCCGAGGCATTTATAATATAATTTCCAATGTCGAGTCATTTTCATCATTTGGCCCCCACGATGTTGAACTTTAAAAAGGAACATTCGGCAATTGCAAACTCAAGAAAAAAAGTATTGGTTGAAAGACTTGGCCGCAGTTCACCTTTGTATTCCGTGTCTATTATTCCGACTTACATTAGATTACCACAGCAAAAATTTCAAACAATGTTTGAAGCCTATACTGCGACTGCCCCATCATCTCAATCCCCATCGATAATAGATTGAGCAATCTTTTCAGCAAGCATGTCTGCAATAAAGGTCAGCAACAGTATTTCCAGTGAGCGTCGAGAGAACATACAAATGCTGCTGGTTGGATGACCCGGTGGCAAAAGTGGTAAAGCGCTCGCATCCACAACTCTCAGACCTCCAACGCCATAAACTCTCGCCTTGTTGTCAACCACGGCCATTCTATCATTCCTTTTACCCATCTTGCAGGTGCATGCTGCGTGCCATACGGTCATGAACGTGTCTTGAATGAGGGAGAGTATCTCTTCATCTGTCGAAACCTCTTTTCCGGGCCAGTATTCTTCTCCGATGACAATTTCCTGAAGAGTTTGCGTATGCCACGTCTCGCGCATTCGCTTGTACATGGCGATGGCAAGTTCTTGGTCTGTCTTCGTGGTAAGCCAGTTAGGGCTTATGCTAGGAAGGACAGAAGTGTCTGTGGATTTGATGGTGACGTTTCCACGAGACGTTGGAGCAACTAGAGCCCCAAGTATGGTAGCATATTGTTTGTCGTTAAGAGGTTGTTGAAGAGCGGGAAACCAGAAGGAGCCTATGTAGCCGTTGCCGCTGATCCATTCAACTTCAGGCCAGTCGCTTGGAAAAGATGCGAGATCGTTAAGGGCAGGATCGGAAAAGTTGCTCCGGTAAGACGCAGCTTCTGATAGTTTCTCCCAGCCGATGAACTCTATGACGTTGGAAGTCAACACGCCGGTGTGGTTGGTGATGTACTCGGCCAAAGCCTCGGCCAAGTACAGTGGGTCATGGAGGACTTTGTCCAAGGTCTGGATCTGCACTTCATAGGCAGGACCAAACATGATATGGTCCCACATGTTCTGACCCACACCTGGTAATTCCGACCGGACGTCGATATCGAACTCGTTGAGCGTTGAAGCAGGGCCAATGCCGGACACCATGAGTAACTGGGGAGACTGGAATGCTCCAGCTGAGAGGATGACTTCTTTTGATGCGTGAATCTTATAGGTGACGATACCGGAGGAGACCTCAACTCCGGTGGCTGTGTTATTTGAACCGAAAAGAATCCTCTTGGCCAACGTATTTAGGTAAACCTTTAAGTTCTTGTTGTTGATAGCGCTGTTGACGTATGCCCCCGAAGTGCTTCTCGTTTGGTCCGAAGGCCTTACATTGACAGAGCAATACTGTGCACCCATGAGATTTCCGCTGTTGAAATCTTGTGTCTGCTTGATGCCAATCGCATGCATGGCCTTCTCGAGCCATGTCGCCCAAGGAGATACGTAGTTCGTGTAGGAGACCGAAACAGGACCAGGGTTATTGCTGCTGAAAACGTCCTCGTTGTATAAAGTCGTTGCATTTCCTAAACGCGTCTCTGTGTTGGGAGCAGTGAAGTTTACACTACGTTCAAAATATGGAAGAATTTTGTCGAACGTGTAGCTGTCATCGCCTACGTCCTCAGCCCATTGTTCATAGGACGCCAGAGTACCCCTAGAGAATGTGAGTTCATGTTATTTGCCATTTAATCGACTACCTTGCCTTTGATATATCATGAAATTAAGAGCAGATCTGCGAAAATTGTCAACCATGCACTTATAGTAAGAATTAAAACACATACGATCCACCCAATGCCTTTCCGCGAGCGTAATGGACTTTGCGATTATTGGCACCGCTTTGAGGTTCGGTGACAAATCCCCAATCAACAAGCAGGTCGGAGTCTAAGATAGAAGAACCGATGCCGATGATATCGCCTGCAGGTGTAGTTCCGAGGACTGGCTTCCCCAATTCGTAGTATGCGCCGGCTTCGATGATAGCTACCGAATGGCCAGCTTCCGCAAGGCGGACGCCAATGGCATTGCCTGCTGTTCCGCCACCTACAACCACGTAGTCATAAGTTGCCTCTTGACCGAGGGCGCCCTCAAGAGCGCCAAATGTACCTTCAATAAGGCCTTTCCCACTTGTGACTTGCTGTATTACTTCCAGGATAGGGTTTAGTACTGGTATAGCGAGGGCGAACTGAAAGGCACAGAAAAACGAGAAAGTAAGACGCATGATACCAAAAGAGGGCTTAAGCAATTAGTGTACAAGCAATCACATCCAACACTTAATAGAAAAGACCACAATGCTAGCAAATTTCGCTGGCACTTCCAAGTAAAGAGGCATAGGCCTGATGGGACGAGGTGTTGTGATGGATATTAGCAGAACAGAAATGCCCCCGATAAATACTGCGACCTTATGGGGAGAGCATGCAGGGGTGGCACCAAATGCGGAACGGATACACGGAGGCGTTTATCGAAATATCATTCAGGCAGGGACCCTGGCTCCTCCTGCAGGTAGTGTAAGCATCGCATTCCGAGTTCCCGCTCCGGCGGGATCTTAGGTTTGTAGTTGATGTTCCTGGTTTTGTATGCTTGAGATCCAGATAAACACAGAGCGGCCCATGATTCCCATTGAGCTCACTCGTCCAGTTATCCATTTGCTCTTCTGTCCTTGTTGCGACTTGCGTTGACAGTCGTACATGTATATTCAGGCCAACATGGGGGCGGTTAGTAAGTCCTTCTGATTGGTTTCGTCGCGTGCGATTGACGCCCCAAAATTACGATGTAGGTGTTGCGTTGGATCTAAAAGTTATTGGCACCTCGGGAGTGCGTCCCAACAAGGCATTGAATCGACACAAAACAAATAGTAGAAGGTACTCGTCAATGATACCTGGCGGGGTTGAAAAACCTGGTAGTAATAACGTGGGAGATCGACTCGCACGGATAGCAGTGCACCGGAATTGTCGAGTAGGAGCCAGAAGCTGTATAAGGCTCATTTTGAACTTGTTTTATATCCTCGTCGCAAACCGAAACCGAAAGAGTATTGCGGTTTGTCGCGGTTTGTCTGCTTTCGAGTTACTTGAGGCGAATCGCAACTGAAAAGCTAAATATTGTTTCTTTGCTGTAATGAGTCAATGGATGTCCGGGGATTAGGCCACTGAAGACCTGAAGATTGTGGTCAAAAAGTCACGAGCTTATCCGACGGTGCTGGCAAACATTTACCGAAGTTGTAAACAACTGTGACTTTGACATTGTGGCGCGAGATGTCCTACTGCTGACACTTAGAGCAGCTGTTCCCGAGTATGACCGCAGGTGCACAGTAGATGAAGGACTGTAGTACGCAGATTCTGTGACGACTATGCGATGTGAGGCAAGATGCGGGGTTTGGGGTCGGTTGTTGTTCGGCAAATCACGTCTCCACGTGTCCGAAGTACTTCCACCGGTCGCGCGCGACGCGCAACGCGCTCCCTTCTCCACCTCACCACCACCCACCGACTCATCGTCGTATCCATCTCTTGTATCTCTATCTCTCTCATCAATTATTTTCGCTTTGCTCACAACTCTGTCAGTAGGTCTCGGTTTCTGATTTTCCCTTGTCCTTGTGCAGTCGTGTCCGCACTGGCCCCTGGGACGCCATTCCTATGAACGCATAGGACCTTCTCCAACTCAACCTGGAGTTGGGACGTTTTCAGTCGCCGGCCGACACGGCTTGCACGTCGCCAGAGCCTTCGACCGCCCGGTCGCGTCCTGTCTTTCTGCTCAAGCTGGAATGTTCCGTCTGTCGGACAGAGTCGTTAGACTTGATTGCGACCGCGCAGGACACGATGCTCTCGCGTGTTTCGCAGCATCTCCCATCCACCTGCCGTCGCACTCCACGGAGGCCATGGCTCGACGAATACGTGTTTGGATGGGTACAGGTGCTGCGAGTCGAGTCAGGGCTGCTCGAAGGATACAAAGCCCGGGTGGGAGGGATCCCGCACTGTCGGGGGAATCTGTACAAGCATGTCATGTCATCATTGTCATGTGCTGATGATTGTACTTCCGTAGATACAAATTCAATGCCAGCCCGTAACAGGGCTGTTCCGCCTTCGTGGCTTATACGTTCCCGACCTGCTATTGCTCATGCCGCCAATGATCAAGAATCCTGCGAATACTTTGACCTTTTCGTCAAATTCGACAAGCCTGCCAGGCAGTGCTTGATCGGCCTCAGAAACGTCGCGCAGCTTGAGGGCTTTGACACCCCCCAGTCGCTTTCGCTACTTTTCCAGCCCGACAACATTAACAAAATCTCACTCGACTCGAACGCTGTGTCAGCTCAAGTCACATCCAAACTTATCCGTGATGGGGCAATCACGTCCGCAACGGAAGTCGTCGTCCTTTCTATATCATTGAGGTCTCCAGGCCGTGTGATCAGCCCTATCACTACCGCGCCTCTCTTGCCAAAGGACGCGTCTCGACAAAAGTTCTCCGCGTTCGCCGTTCTCTGTAAAGCTACAGACATTCGAATCTGTCTTGCGACCAACCATGTCACGAGCGGTCAACGTCAGGGTGTGGAGGAGATCGTCAATCTCGCACAAACCGCTCTGCTCGCGTCGTTCCCCACAGACCTTCGCAGGTTGGGTGGCGGTCGAGGTGTGCAAATGTCCGACTGGCGGTATCTCCATATGCCACAGGAAGGATTGGTCGAAGGGTCGGCTGAAGAAACGGCGGAGGGGCTGCCAGAAGCACCGCCGCCAGCGTATAGTAAAAGGGCCCGTAGGAGTTGGTCTTCCTTACGTCTGCCATCGAATGCATGCTAATTCATACTTATTAGCATCATCGCTAGCTCTTGATTCACCGCCGCCTAAAAGGGTTCTTCTTGAAACCCCGCCTCCGCCATCACCCACTGAGCTGAACACTCCGACCACGCAAGACCTGTCGACCACGCAAGATCTGTCAGAACCGAGCACTGGCAGGCGGACCCAAAGTCCGCGATCTCCCTTTCAGAGCCCGCCGCTTAACGAAAGCACGTCCTCGCCACTTCCAAACTATCAACACGCAATTGAAGACTACATTCGGGAAGCATGCCAGTCAGCGGTGCACGAAGCGGTGCGCAAAGCCGTGCAGGAGGCCATGGCGGGGATCCACGCAGCTGTGTCTTCTGCTGTGCGCGAATTTCTCCCCGGCGCTATTCATGAAGCAGTCAAAAAAGAGTTGACACGGCCTGGCATGATGCAACCACAGCTACCCAATGAAGACTTGCTGAACCCGCTCCTCGCTAATCATGTCGACGAAAGACTCGAGCCCATGGTTGATGCGAAGTTGCCTGCCTTAATTCAGCCCTCAGTGGAGGACACCATGAACAACTTCGTGGGATCCGTAGAAGACGCGCACGATGCTGCGGAACTGCAACTGAGAGATAATGTCGATGACATGCTGCTTGAGATCAAGGGGGTGAGCGAAGAGTGCATCAGAGATATGAATGATGAGAAGCAGGAGACACTGGATGACTTTGACGAGCAAGTACAGGAAATGATGGACAATGCCGCCTGCGCGGTCGAGGAAAAGACTGTGGAACAAGAGCGAAGGCTCTCGGCTCTGCAACAAAGTCTGAAAGCAGCAGAGCAAGGTGCGGAGGGGCTGCGCGAGGACCGTTTGAAAAGAGCGCGTTCTGTTTAGAGCAGTGATGCGCAATTCCCATGCGCCAAAGGCAGAGCACCTTCCCAGTAGGTGTTGAGGCTCTGCGGCTCTGTTCTTTGCTTTTAGCTTTTAGGCTAATATTAAGGACTGGCATCCCTTATTTTGTTTTTTCCGCTTCGCCACGCCACTGCTCGCACCACCGGCCAGGCGGCCAACTCGCTTGCGACGACTCTGGTCCAATTACACGGGCGCCTGTTCCGCTGCCGCGCCCCACCAATTGCACGGCACATCTCGACCTGCCCGAAAATTCCGAGATCCACCTAAACGTGCCGAGAATAACGGTTTACGGCGTTTCATATACAGATGAGGCCAAAATCGACGTCGACCGCGATTTGCTCCCATGCTGCTAGGCTGCAGTGAAAATCTTTGCTGCGCCAAGACCTTGACCGCGCCGGGGCTGACTGCGCATTAACTACGGAGCGGGGTTGCTGCTGCGCCTTGGCCGATAAGCCTTGTGTGGTTGTGTAACTACTAAGTGTTTCGCTCCCGAGACTGTCACGATCGTCTCACACCCTTCATTATGACCCAGTCGTCGCCAAACAACCCAGTCATGGCGGAAGGCGAGCCAACGCCTGCCGATTCCTTGTTGAAGGCAAATGGGATGATCCTGGCAGAAACTTCGATCCCAATTTCTGATAGCAAGTCGACAAACGAGCAGATGTGGACGCCTTTCTGGCTACGCAGAGGAACCTTGGCAGCATTTATTCTTTCCTACATTCTTTTGATCATCGGCATTGTCATACTCCTCGTCGTCGACCGAAAATCAGACGGCATAGCAACCTCGGAATCAAGACTGCACTATCTCTGGACGTATGGCCCTACCGCCATCCTCTCCGTGCTGGCCGCTTTTTGGGGGCAAGCCGAACACCGGTCAAAGCAAATGTTGCCTTGGGGAATATTGCGATCCAGGCCATCCAAAGCTTCATCAACGTTGTTCCTCGACTATGTGTCTGAGACACAGATATGGGCTTTGTACAAGTCCTTGCGCTCAAGTCATTTCCCAGTGGTTTTTTCCATTACAGTTTCCCTGTTGATCAAAATCCTCACTTTGGTCTCAACTGGTCTTCTTGTTCTCCAATACCAAACTGTATCTCGAGGAAATAAGCCCGTCACGGCTCTCGACAGCTTCAATCAGAGCAACTATAACCTGACATCCGATGATGGCTTGCCTCTCTGGGACACTGTCGCAATGTCAATATACAACAAATCTTTTCCACTTGGTACTTCACAGAAGTATGCGGTACCTACCCTGGACTTTAAAAATAACATGCCAAGTAAGTTGCACTTTTTGAAATGTTGGTGCCTTCAATGTCCTGACCCATCCCAGAAAACAACTACACCGCCGACATTATACTCCCCGCATTCAGCGCAGACATGGCTTGTGAGACTGCCGAAGTCACGCGGCTAAGTGACTGTCCTGACGAGGAAACCTGGGAAGACGACTTTATTACGATGCAAATTCACTTCACCACGCCGTCGTGTAATTTCGTCAAACTCTGGCAGTGGGAAGATGGCTGTCCGTCTAAGTCGCACAACTTCCGTTTCATGTCGAGCGACTTCCTTTCCTGCAACAACAGTGTCGAAGCACTCCGTGACGGTCCAGAGGAAGAGCTACATGCCGCCTTCTTCACAGGCAGGGTGGCACAAGGCCATGAGGCCCTACATCCACTGGGTGAGCTGGACACAAAACATCCAACCTACCTTTCGGTAGTTGTGTGCAAGCCGAGTTACACAATTGCTCCTGCGACGGTTTCATTTGACAACGAGCAATCTATACTTAGTGTTCAGCGCACGGGCGATTCCTCCCTTCCAGACCAACACCTGCCGGATATTGCCCCGATAAACATTATTCAGCGCATCCTTCGTATGACGACTATCCAAGGTACCGCACATCACGATGGCGAGTATGTCACGACTTGGGATGCCTTGCTCTCGGATGTGGTTAACCTGCAAGGCGTCTATTCAGACAAGTCTGAAGATGACCAATTCGACTCTCTCTTTCTTATTCTAATGATATTCTTAAAGCGAAAATTAGCAGCATCATTGATGGATCCGAAGATTCTTAAAGATGGTTTGACTGATCTTTTCAATACCTTGGCTGCCCAAATGGCCAAGTCACAGCTTATGGTTCCGGACTCACAGAGATACAACGCGACAGTCCATCTAACCGAACAACGTATCCGAGTGCGAGAGCTTTCATTCTTTTGGATGCTGGGAATTTTGGTTGTTTTGATACCTCTGACAGCTGGTTTGAGTGTCGTCGCTCCTCGTGGAGTTGTCAGCAGGGATCCCGGATCCATTGGAGGGCTAGCCACCATCCTCGCTCGCAGTCATAACCTAGCGAAGTACCTTTCCGGCATGGGAAGCGCTCAAATCTCGGTTATGAAGAAGGCATTCGAGAACGCATCGTGTACAAGCCAAATATCCCACACAGAAATGGGGAAGACTTTTAGCGTCGAGGTATCTAGATTCAAAGAGTCTGACCAACCGCAGAGCGAAGATGCCGAGGGCCATCGAGTCAAGTGGTGGCACCCTTCTTCTTTGACGGCCACTCATAAATTCCTCGTTATCTGCCTCCTCGTGGCCATCATTGTAGCATTGGAATTGCTGCTGCAACAATCCCTCAAGCATGGCGGCCTCATGGAGGTAGAAGATCGCGGCTCGATTCGATACACCTGGGTTTATATCCCGGCCGCAGTCATGATCCTTGTCCAACTGCTCGTCGGCATGACCGGCTCTTCATCAAACATAATGCTCGTCTACCACGAGCTTCGGATTTCACCGTCTACTGCAAGCCGTACCTTGATGAACGATCCACAGTCCCTTCTCACACTCCACGCAATCTACCGCTCAATTTCTCAGCGTCATTGGGCCATTCTTGCAATGTCTTTGGCATTGCTTCTGACTCCTTTCCTAACCATTGTAACCAGCGGTCTATACTATGCCGAATCATCGTCGGCTACGGAAAGCGTATCGCTAAAAATCCGGGATCACCTGTTGCCGGAGCCCGAAACCGATGGATCTTGGGAAGAAACGTCTGCTTTCATCTCCTACATGCTGATCAATAATAGTATTTCCTACCCCAACTGGACGAGGCACGGTCTTGTGTTCCCAGAACTATCAATTTCCTCTTTGTCAGAGGCCGAGCTCTCGGCCATGGGCCCTGTAAACCTGACTGCGACCGTCCCGGCCTTGCGACCATCGCTTAATTGCACCTTCGTCCAGCCAGATCAAATGAATCGCACATACTATACCGACGACGAATCGGGTTCGTTTCCAACGGCAGAAGTCGACATATATTACGCCTCTGAATGCAATTCCACCTATATATCATGGGACAAAGGCATCTGGAGTATCGGTTACAACGCAAGCCAAAATATTGCCAACCTGGAATCCTACACATGTCCGCACGACAAAGTCTTGCTGGTGGCGGTATATGGAAGCAGCTATGATCTCAACGCCACCCTGTGTGAGGGTTACCTTGAGCAAGTCAATGTCGAAACGCGCTTCAGCTTGCCTAACTTCGACATCATCTCAACTAATCTTGTTGAGAGTACTGCACGTCGCCTACCCAATGGCAGTGTATCTCTAGCGTATTTGATGGACGTTTCCGGGTCAATGGGAATTCCACGGCCCCTAAACGGATATAGCGATCTCTTTACGATCATGTTCGAACTCGCAGACAACGATGGCTTGCGCCTGGAGGACTTGACCGGCGAGAAGGGCTTTCCCAAGCTCGTGCAGCAGTTCGAGTGGTACTGGCGGCTGATGTACCCACAAGTCCTGAATATCGGGGCGCGCAAGTCCTCTCCAATAGACACTGCACCTACGCTCTCCGCCACCATCATACAACCGAATCATTTCCGACTGCAGCAGTCCGCGGCTTCGACACGCGTGCTAGAAGCATTGCTCGGCGCACTGGTGCTGTGCATGGCTGTGTCGGTCTGGGCGATGAACAACCGAGCGGGGGAAGTGCTGCCCAAGAACCCGTGCTCGATTGGCGCGGCGGGCAGCCTAATTGCCGGGGCCGCGATGCTAAAGGAGGACGTAATTCCCCCCGGGGCGGAGTGGTGCGATGACAAGGAGTTGGAGAAGCGGGGCGTGTTCCACGGGTACTTGTTTAGTCTGGGGTGGTGGGGAGAGAAGGGTACGGAGGGTAGGAGGTATGGTGTAGACATTGGGAAGGCGGAATGAATGTTATAGATACCATTTGAGAGGGTAGAAGGAGTAAGGATTTTTTCTTTGAGTATCTATTAATTCTTTCTTTCCTGTTTATTCTCTTGTAGAGGCGTACATGGTCGAATTCTGAAGGTAATTTTTCGTCGGCATGGCCTAATTACAACCAAACCAGAATTCCACTGGTATTAATTTCTTTATCCATAGAAGGGTAATTCCAACGCCAAACCATGCAACAAAAATCTAAATAATCAGCAACCCGGAACTCCTGGCCTATGTATCAAGCCTCTCACGATCTGCCTCCTGAAACTTCAATTTCCACAAGAGGTCCGCGGTAAGTCTTATGTCCCCAGACGAGATAGTAGAAGATACTAAAAATAATAACAGCTCCAGTTACTAGTACGGCGTAGTTCATGTCCGCGGCGGATGGGTTGACTGCAGGAGGCCAAAAGCTGAAAAAGACGAGGAAGATCATCCACAGGCAAGCGAAAGCGTTATTCAAAGTGCCTAGAATGCCGGGAATGCGCCACGGGCCCCAGGCGAGTTGCGGGCGTTCAGGATCCGTTAGGTCGATGGCGTGCATGCCAGAGCCGGTGGTGGCGTTGGCGATGCCGCCCGTCATGCGGCGCCAGAGAAGAAGGGCGGATGGGACGAGGTAGGACGCGTAGAATCCACTGACGGCAAGGGAGATGACGTCGTTGAAAACGGTCGAGGAACCGATGTTAATCAGAGCGAGGAGGCAAGGCAATACCGTGACGACTATGATCGCGTTGATCGGAATAAGGGTTCTCTTCTCGACCTTCAGAAGAATTGTCAGCATCATATACCTGGGACAGTCCTGTCTTGTCTGTCTGTGCTCTGGAATCATACCTTGCTAAGCCATCGTGAGAACGGCAAACCGTTGTCACGAGCAAATGCCCATGTCAAACGAGACGCAGTAGCAATAAATCCCGTTGTTGACGCCAGTGCGAGCACCACTGCAATAGATGCCATTACAGAAGCTCCTGCGTTGGACTTAACGCCTTGCTGAAAGATTTCGATCATGGGATAACCGGTCGGCGTGTTCTTTGCTACGTTAGAAGATCTTCTGTCATCGCTCAAAGGGCACATACCAATGCCGCGTCAACGTCTCCAATGGAAAATAGAAGAGCAAGGAGCATGCCGAATCCGAGGGCTCCGTTGATGATGACACTAGTTGCGATACAGCGAGGTACGTTCGTTGCCGGCTTGACAATTTCTTCGGACATCTATAAGAGGTCAGTGAATCGCATGGTCGCATGTAACTGGGATACTTGCGTGAACAGCGGCATCGGCTCCTAAATTAAATATTAGTTAAGTTCATTTGTAAAGTTTCGTAAAAAAGATGCCTTTTGCATGCTTACCGGCAAAAGAATAGACACAACCCATCATCCCGACGCAAAATGAAAGACCTTGAGTAGGCCAACCGCCTTCGTTCAAGAAAGTGTTGAAGACAGACTCGGCCGACCCCGATTCAGACATGTAGACGAGCGGGATCAGAATCGCGAAGAATCCGAGTACGTGCAATACCAGCATCAAACTTTCGATCGCCGGCAGCAATCGGCCAATGACGGTGTTGACGAACAGAGCAACGAAGACGCAGGCCCAGAACAGGAGGGTGCCGTGCCAACCCTCGGCAACGTATGAATCCATGTTGTTCAGGACAATCAAACCTTGAATAATTGTGCCGGTGAGGTAGCCACCTGAGGCCGTGGCTGCAACCCAAGCAATTGTAGTTAACCACCCTAAGTTTTGGTTAGTAATTGTTCTAGAACTTCCTCTTGTCAATTGGGCATTTAGCCTTACCAGTGATATAACTGTAAAACTTCTTAGAGGAAGCTGGAGCCAAAACCGCTACCCAATAATATTGACCTCCCGCTGTTGGCGCGCTGCAGTCTTATGTCAGATCAAGCTGAGGAAAAGGTGTGTGTGTAGGTGGGAAGACCAACATTGAAGACAATTCCGCAATAACGCTAAATGAGGACATAGTTGCGACCCAGACGATAATGTAGCCGTAGACAAGTCCACTCGGCCCACCGCTGTATTGACGGTTAGCGCGCATTCGACCGGGTTGGAATCCGCAGCACTTACTTCTGTAATCCTTGGCTGAAGGTTGTCAATAAACCCTCCCAGGTAGCTAAAACCGTCAAAGCAAAACCCAGCATAGACAAGAAGCCAAAGTCACGCTAGAAGCCAGAGTTAGCTGATTGTCTTGGATCTGGAGCGAAGTCCGCCGCAACATGCCTTCAACACCTGCTTCTTTCCCAGACGAGCGAGGATTTCCCGGTCTTCGTCCACACCTCCTCTGCCGTCTTCGCGCGAAATATCGCGTTGCGATTCGTGCACTCCATCTTTGCTATCCAGCTCATGAAGTTCCGACATGGCTTTGGTTGTTGAAGCAGACGGGTCTCGAATGTAAACTCGTAAATTGAGTGCAGGATCTAAAGATTTTAAGGGTCCCCGGCCCTCTGAATAATGGTGCTAGCTATTCCCAGGCAGAAGGCACCGGATCCTATTTTGCAAACGCATGCTGGGGCGGCAAAGGCTACATGGACGATCGTATGACCCTCGATAATAATACTGGGTATTGGATAGCCGGGCAGGCAGCAGGCAGCAAGCAGCGATTCGTCAATGGAATCGCTTGGAGATTGAGGGATTCAAAGAGCAGGTCGTTGGTAGAGTGGAGATGCGGGCTGAAAAAGTCTCATCATTTCCGCTTGCTTGCTAGGTTGTCGGGCGGCACAGCAGGCACGGACATGCAACAATACCCACTTGCCGTTACCGTGCCCCACGCTCCCGCTGGCACCCCGCCCGTTGGCCCCCACCATCTGTGCCACACATGGCCCCCACGTCCAAAAGCTTAGGCGCGCCACTACAGCTCTCCTCACTTACCTAGTGATTGCTCAAGGATTCGGGAAGGGAAATACACGTCTAGATAGGTATACCATCCTTTTATACATACGTACTTACCCTCGACTGCTTTCATCGCCGCCCCAAGGGGCCGTATGCAACACGATGTTGCCAGCCAAGGTGGCATGGGCGATCCCTACCGCGCCGCTGCAGGGACCATGGGGCGACGTGGCGTGGAACTTTCTGCGGTGTCTGGTAGAATGTACATCAGGGCAAGGGCCCCAAGATCAGAGGCCATCGCCGACGTTCGTCTTTTTGAAACGACGCCGTTAAAAATATCTACAAAGAAAACCATTGTCGGAATGCTGTTCCCTTCCCTTGACTTCAACAAATGAAATGGACATGTGCAGTCGTGTGCGGGTGTCCGCAAGAAAGTAAACGTAAATCTAAAGTATGAAGAAAAAAAATAACCCCGTGCCGTACATTCCACTCCAAATGTACGGAAGCAACGGGGTGGAAGAATATAATAAAAAACAGGTTCGAAGTTCGAAGTTGATTAGCAATGGAGTGACTTCGGAGAAGTCGGGTTGGACACAGTCTCATTGTGTGCCGTCCGATCCGTCTCATTAGAAACCATACTCTCCACCTTCCAAGTTTGCGTCTGTCTTATGATTCTTGCACGGCTTGATGTGCTTGCGTTGTCCCACGAGCTTCTTCGCTCACCGGCTTCAGCACGACTCTCGGTATGGGCCTGAAAAATAATCGCGGAGCTATCCAAGGCCTTCTTCTTGTGAAAAGGCGAGAGTGCGAAGCTGCTTCTCCCGCTGTTGCGGCTGCTGTTCTTCGTGGTGCTGTTCCTGGTTGACTTTCCTGTCGACTTGGCCCGGACCGAGGCTTGCGAGGACTGCAATGTCTTGTCTGGATCTTGCGCGTACAGGGTATTAAAGGCAGTCAAGGGGTGGTGATCAGTTCGAACGAGGCCAGACTCCAGACTCGAGAAGAACGGCTTGAGGTATGGAATGCATGCGAATACGATCCCGAGACTCTGGACTACTTGCGAACAAATCGACACCGGCCAGTCGTGAAGCGAGGGATCCTGTGTTGGCTGATCTTTGTTGATGTATACGAGTTGCATGACAATTGCGGGCACAACACTAACAATGTTAGTTCAGATCTCTCGTTGTTGTTTGGTGGAGACCCACAAGATTCTTGAGCTAAAGCAGCAGACAATTTTTATCTTTCTTTTCTTCGGCATCTGCACATTCCTAATCACCATGACTGGGATGGAAACCAGCGCCACATCTAACACTATGCCGCATACACAAATGTAGTTTGCAAGCGCAAGCTTTAGAGAATCGTCAGTCGGTTACTCCTTACTGTCGCATTGCTGAAGGGCGTAGTACTTACACGGTTAATGCATTTATTATCGCCAATGTATTGCCACGGACGAGGAAGGTGGCAGCTAAATGCAAACGCAAGCATAGAGGTAATCTGCCAGATAATGTTGAGAACACCAAGTCCTAGAGACAATTTTCTCTGCCGCTGATCTGGAGTGATGCTCCGCAACAACAAGATGACAGCTGCTCTTGCAAAGCCGACGTTTGCAACGAACAAAATTTGATCGCAGTATTGAGCCTGTGATGCAAAATCAGAACACAGAGTCCCAGTGGAGTGGCTCACAAAAAGATGTACGTACAATTTGGTAGGTTCGTAGATCTGAATCCGAGATTTTAGAAATAGATTTTCCAAGGCCATGGTCAGCTTGTATGGACACTGCAGCCGTTTCGCCGATACTAAGTATCTAATACGAGAAGGCAAGTCAGTTCAAGTGGATCTCCAGGGGTGGCGCCAGCAGTATTAACACACCAGTGCAGCCACAATGGCAAAGTCATCGCTCCGAACTTTGAATGTGGTGAGCAACTTCATGCCGAAGCGGGTTCCCACGGCCAAAACCATGGTGACCAAGAGCATCCAATTGACGACGTTGACAATTGGTCCATGGTTGTCCGGAGTCGCGACTTCTCGAGGTTCCATGTTAACGGTAGCCATTGGGATCGAGTAGTTGGAAACAGGCGTGCTTAGGTCGAGAAGCAGCGGGATGCTATGAACATGTACATGTGCGACCGTCTCGGCTCACCAGGCCCTTCACTTCCCTGTAATACTTTTTTTGTCGACGCCGCAACATGTTCTTTTGGGATGGATCTTGGGGGCGAGGAACAAGGCTTTCCTTATGGACGGGGGACAAAATGCGGGCGCAACAATCTACTACACACTCTGGGACATGGATTTCGAATAACCAGGAAAGCGTAACTGCCAGTGCAACAACGTCGATGTCGAAAATAGTCATTTGATGTTTCCGATCGTCGCGCTCACCATGATCCTATCTCGGCAGTCGTTATCCATTCTAGACCTTCGCATTTGGGGGGCCGGTGGGAGCCTTCGGTGATAATCCGGAGGCTATATTCCGCCCCCGGTACCTGACGAAACGGAAGCGCGAGCCGTAGCCTCGGTACACCATCAAACTGTTGCCGTTGGGGCCCACAACTGTCTGGGGAGAGAAGCACAAGAGCCTAAGAGAGTGATAAACCCGCCCCGGCGTGAATTCAACACTGAGCGCCGGACGCTCAAAGTGCGTGCCAATTTGAGCTTTCGCTAAGGCCTCGCGAAGCCAGGGATCTTCAGCTATCAATAATCTGTCTCCATACTGCACATGGCTGGTGGGGTCAGCGATTTGGGGGCGCTCCACACTGTCGTGCCACCAGATGCGCGCTTTTTGGCCCCTTCGCCATTGATAAAGGCGATAGTGGACTTCATCTGTGCCTGCAACTCCAAATCTAGTCTACAATTGCACACTTGTCAACTCTTTCTTCATTGCATCATGCCTTCTTACGACGATTTCGAGGTTTCCGAGGTCAAGTCCGACGCCGAGTTTGACGCCATCATCGAATGCGAAAAGGCGTCTTACTCGACGCCCCAGAACCCCATGTTCGATACGTGGTGGATGGAGCATCTCTTCCAATCGGAGCCTGATCCGCATGCAGCTGCCATACGTGAGCTTTCTGACCGTCAGCTCAGCTGGCACAAGGCCGATCCGGGCAGCCACTGGGTGAAAGTAACGGAAAAGAGCACTGGCAAAGTTGTTGGCGCATCGCAATGGGTAGTCCACGATCATAACCCGTTTGAGAAGCCTCAAGAGCCGATGAACGCTTACTGGTGGCCCGAAGGCGATGGCCGCAAGTACGCCAGTCTTTACCTCAACCGCATGCTGGAATTGAGGCCTAGGATCATGAGCAGGCCCAACACTTGTAAGCACATCCGATGATGCCATTGACTCGCGAATATCGCTTATGTTCTGCGCTAGTGATCGAGATCATGTTTGTGCACCCGGACTACCGCAGGCGCGGCGTGGGATCCTTGCTCATGGAATGGGGTGTCCGGATGACTGATGAGTTGGGACTTCCCGGATTTGTCGAGTCTACCGCCGACGGTGAGGGACTCTACAAGAAGTTTGGCTACGAGACGGTGGGAACGCTCAACTTCGACCTTAGCATTCCGAATCCGAGTGAGGAATGGAAGCAGTTGCAGGAGAAGTACCCTGCCATGCCAGGCGTTCAGATGTACCGCCCTCCTGGAGGTAAATACCCTGAGGGCAAGAAGTCGTACCCTTGGGAAAATGGCGCGTGAGGATTCAAAGCCATGTAGCCGATGTGCTTGATCTCCGGCCCAAAGGAACAGTCTACATACCCCCAAATAGAGCTCAGATTAGTCGATCGAGTCAGAATTCGATTATGTTGCCCCGCAGTCTATTGGCATAGCTGAACTTGTTGCATCCTAGCATGTCCTTGTCATGTTTTTCTTGGGAGAGTCCGAATGCGTGAAGACATCGTCAGCGATAACTGCAAAATGACATCAAACCATCAAAAGCCCTCCCTTGCACTACTCATCTCAATTCCAGCTCGTCCCAAACGATAGGGCATGGCAAGCTAGCGTCTCAAAAAGCGGCCCTGGTAAGCAAAAAATCATGAGAAAAGTCCGTCACCACAATCCAGGGTCCCGTCACCGCAGCTCAGGGTACCGTCTTTCATCGCCTCACCCACCTATATTCTCCCTATAGCACAGCTCTGATCCGATCAAATCCGACCCTCGTTCCTCGCGTGCTCATACACGCTCCGTCCCGCCCGCCCCATCCTGCCCATCACGCCCCGCCCGGCCCCAGAGCACTGGGGCCACAGGCTAGCTATCCGCGTGGCGCCGCGATTGGCAAAAGCTTCGCACGTGGGAGTTGGGGGCGGCGATTATCGCTGACGCTAATCCGTAGAGACCAGGACCAACGCGCCCACGCGACTCAGCCTGCCGCGGTCGCGCGTCAGACCACCCCCACCCGCATGCAGCTGCGCAGCCGATCCGGCATCGCAGGCAGCCCTGCAGCTTACGAGCGATTGTCATTGACGGCGTAATCACCGGGCGGGGGCGGCAGGCCGCAGCGGTCGTGTTGGTGCCGCGCCTCGATGGCGATGGCGGGATTTGCCGCGGAGCTTGTGTTGGGAGGAAGTTGTTGCTGAGCGATGGTCGGTCGACGGGGATGTGCGAGGTTTGTAGAAAGTTTGCGACGGCGGAGGGGCGGGCTCGTGGACGGTGGATGGATGGATCGGCCCGCGCCGTGCCGTGTTGGTGGCTGCCCGCGGTTGAGCGACTCGCGACGACCTGTTTGGCGGGGCGTGCGAGGTGGAGTGTTTTCTGGAAGATTCAACTTTAGAGGGGTTAACTACTGATGGTTTTGAAAAGCCAGAAGTTGTCGTCGGAGAGACGGAAATAATGTGCGCTGGCTGCTAGAGAGAAATGGTGATATTGAGTCTCCTTGCACGTGATTCTCATATAAGGTATATACGAAGCATTCGAAGCACTAGAGCTATAGAAACCAGATTGTGCCTACCTATTCAAGATACTTTCTGTACAATCACTAGTTTGATGTGTGGTTTGTAGGCCGAAACTGAGTTATTCTACTGCTCTTAGCCATTGATTAATCTATCACGTGCCAGGGCGAGAAAGCATTCTACATTATTTAAATTCCAGCTGTAGAAATGGCTCTTAAGTACTAGTTCTTCCTTTGTTATAGAAGAGCAATGGTAAACTAAAGAAGAACAGAGTAGAAAGAGAGAAAGGAAGGACTTCATTAAAAGCTAACAAATGCAGACTTAACCATGACACTAATGAGATCTCGCTGTCCGTCACCAATCGAGGCCTTTGGTATCGCGAGGACCAATTTCCGACTCACGGCTCCATTCGTAAACCCCTCCTCGATCGTTGAAACCTTTTTCATCCCAATATAAGCTTTCAAGTGCCTTTTGGACGCCGACTTGCAGAATCGAGGCAGACGGAGCGCGGCCATCACGGTCCAAGAAGCGCATGTACTCATCCAGAATGAGGTACGACTTGGCCATGAGCTGATTAGACTCTGCAACAAGGAACTAGTGGCATTTATGCCGTTCGACGAAGCACGCGTATTCATCATCAGTGATGAGGAACTTCCGTACATCCCGAAGACGCTTATCCGATTCGTTTTCGCCCTTGACCATGAGTACCTGGAAGCATTTCCAACGGAAAGGCTGAAGGGCGGCAATGTGATGGTTCATGTCCTCCTGGGTGTTGAGCTTGCACACGACAGTGTTGATTTTGAACTTGATGCCGTACTTCTTGCACCAGTCGCGGATGCGGTAGAGCTTTTGTACGTTGTTACCGGAGCCCCGACCAATCTTCATGTTTGTATCTTCGTCAAAGGAATCGCAAGACACAGCCAAAATGTCGATGTTGTGGCCAGACTTTCGAAGAAAACTCTCCTTAACCAGCGAGCCGTTGGTCACGATGGAGACTGACTCCAGTGCCAGGTCTTCTTTGCAGAAATTGACCAAATGGCCGAGGAAGTCCGGGTAAAGAAATGGCTCTCCGCCTGCGAAATTGATCTTGCGCATTCCCGCGTCTTTTAAGAGGCACAGACCGCGTTTGGCATTTTCAAGTGACTCTGTGTGCGAAGTTGTCGCGGTATGGAAGCAAAAGCCGCAGCTCTTGTTGCATCGTCGTGAGAAGTGGTAGTTGACGGAGACAGGGCATTTGCTGTGACGAGTATAGACTTTCAAAAGGAGAGCGCAGGCAGTGATAGCAACGATAATAGTGAAGTAGACCATAATGACGGTTGTAGGTGTTGGTACCAGAAGGAAAATTTAGACAGACTTTAAACGGTTAGAACTGTATCCGTTGCGCTGATAGGTAGCTAACAAGTAGGTGTGTTTCACGCAACCCGGAGGTGTATACTCGGAAAGTGAGATGGCAGAGATGTGCTAAACAAATATGAAAAGTGTCAAGTTGCTACTCTCTTTCCCAAGACAGATCAATGAAGAATCTAAAAGATTGTTCGCAGATAATTGAACCATCGAAAGCGGGGTACCCAACGATAATCCGCGCTGCGTAGGACCTGCTTTATAATCGAAAGAGAATTATTTTCAAAGGCTCATACACGGGTGATAGAAGCGGGGTACTCAACAATATTCGTTGCTATGTAGTACTTGTGTAACAAGAACGGAGACGGTTTGTTCTCTAGATACCAGAACGCAAGTCTTGCGTCATCTTCAGACTTCATCATCAGTGTTACTAACAAGGGGAAAATTCGATTCTCTTCTAAGAGTCACTACATAGTTCGAACAAACACAGGCTCCATTTGCGTAGAACAATCGTGTAGACAAACTGCTGCATGGAGTCAAACCAACAGTGATTGTTATAGATCGTACTTACAAATTAATATTGTTTGTTAGAGATTGGATCTAAGCATTCGTTAGGCATTAAGCCCTTTTCTTTGTTTGCTAATTGTTGCTCCCATATATGTATAAAGTATTTCAGCATTAGGTGGACTATCACTTAATCACTTCTGTTCCCCAGATTAAACAGATTACAAGCTTGAACATTCTCAGCTATACCTTCCAGAGGTTCCGTAAAATACCAAGATGCTCCTTTTCGTCATCGGTAAGCATAGACACTGACGTTCCTCAGAATCTCTACTAACGACAGATAGGTGCGCCAGGATCAGGCAAAGGAACTTTGTGTTCTAAGCTGGCCAAGGAGTACAAATTCCACCACGTCTCAGTCGGAGATACACTGCGTCAGTTTGTCAAGGAGCTTGGCGAAGTCTTAGACAAGAAGATCCTTGAATGCGTGAAGAACCAAGAACTGCTGCCGGTCGAAGCTTTGGGTACAATTCTGAAGTACGAAGTCGAACGACTGAAAAGAACTGGACATAACGATGTCATCATAGACGGCTTCCCAAGGCGTCTTGACCAGGTTGCTCGTGTGGAAGAAATGGTATGCCTGGTTACACAAACAACATATCACAGTGCTGACTACGAAAAGATAGGAAAGCCGGACTTGGTGCTTTTCTTCAACTGCCCCAAAGGCAAAGCGAAACAGCGGCTTCTAGCAAGGAACATTAGCGGGAGGAACGACAGAGAAGAGGTTTTCGAGAAGAGATATCAGGAGTTCGCAATGCTTAATGGCGAGATCGTCGCCGAGTATCGCCGTCGAAGAATACTGCGAGAGGTATGTATGAAGGCTTACCCGATTTACGCTGTAAAGTTATTCAAACAAGCTAACGAATACTAAAGGTGGACACGAGCTATGAGACACCCACCTCCTGGACTGGGCTGTTGATTACTCTAATGGACGAGCGTCTAGGTAACAAGTCCTTCTTTTCACGCAGAGTAAATTAGACTGTATTGGGAGTGTGTTAATCTGTAGACGCTGGTTGCGTTTTGGAGTTTTTGTTGTCGATCAACTCTAATTCAGTTCAGTCTCCAACATGGTATGCTACAGACGATATAGTGATGCATAAAATCGAATTCTTTCACCCCATGTTAGCTAAAACTTCCTACTCAATTATTAGGTAGTGATTCACATGCAAATAAAGCGGATTGGATGTTCTCGTGCAACCCAGTTCCAGTCTTGGTTACACAACGTCTCGGAAGGACGTCGGGACGGTGTTGGGCCGGGTAACAGGCGGGATCGAAGCAGAATTAGTCGTTTCACCTCCACTTCACTTGCTTCCATGGCTGTTAAGGATGTGGTAAAAGTCCGTAGTCCCCAGTAGGTTTAGTCAGCCCAATCACCTTTATCTTTGCAGCAGCCAGGGCTTGTCTCACATTCAACAACGACAACACCCATCCGACCACACTCCAAGCCGGGCAACAACAAGTGAACCCAACCACTCCACCGCTTGCTCCAGCACCTTTCAAACGGCAGCAAGCGGCACCCCGCCTCCAGAACAGACCAAAATGAAAGCGACAACGCGGCTGCTGAGCAGCGTCGCACAACGCTGCACGCTCGAAGTCGAACGCAAGTTCCGCGGCCTCGCCGTGCCCGCGCTAAGTGCCACGGCGGCGAGCCCACCGTTCGCAAGCCTCGAATACCTCGGCAAGAAGACAATCCGCGACACGTACTACGACCGGGGAAACCAGCTCTCGGCGCGCGGCGTCTGGCTCCGCCTCCGCGACGGACAGTGGCAGGCCAAGATCAGCCGCGGCGGAACCTACAACAACTCTCGCTTCGAAGAGGTGACTGATCCGGAGGAGATAGGCCGCCGCATCAAAAACGTCACCGCTCTCGACCATGACCACCGAAACAACTTTGGCCTGGAGGAGATGGCCGTGCTGACCACTCTCCGCGAGACGTGGCTCGCTGATGGAGACTACAAGATCGTGTCTGATACGATGGACTTTGGGCACGTGGTGGGCGAGGTGGAGCTGGAGCGGACGCAGACGTTTGAGGGCGAGAGCGACGCCCAAGTGCAGCTGCTCAAGGACGCGGCAATGAAGGAGATGGACGCCGAGATCGTCGGCTTCATGGAGCGCTACGCCTGGGCGTTTCTTCCTGGCACGCCGACGGGGAAGCTGACGGCGTACTTTGAGCGGGGCCTCCGGCCCTGAACTACCTACGTACTCGACTTCATCCGGGCCTCCATCGCCTCGACCACAAACCGCACCCTCTCCCCCAAGTCCACCGTCTCTTTCGGCAGCACCACAAACGCAATCCCCTGCTCCCCCAGCATCTTAACAAAACACCTATGCAGCGCTTCCCACTCCTCGACAGTCTCATACTTTACGCGCACCTCATCAGCACTAACCCAGTCCGCATTTCCAGCCTCATACAGCACGACCAACGCGCCGCGCATATTCTCCCTCAGCACGCCCCACTCGAACGACTCTTGCAGCGCGGCCGCAGCTGCGCTCCCCACGTACGTCTGCGCGTAGACGATGGGATCGAGGCCCGAGCGGTCGGAGATGAACCACGTCGTCTCGCCCTCGCCTTTGTCCTTGTCGTTGTAGTTACAGCGCTGCTCAGCCACAAACTGCGCGGCCAGGGTAGCGCGCTGGAGGATCGGGCCTTTCGATTCGTCTTTGACGTCTGCGGCAGTGAAAGCATGGGCGCGCATGACGGGGCGGACGACCTCGTTGATGATGGTGGGTTGTTTGGTATGAATTTGAGTTAGGAAGTGCGTTTGCAGGGCTTGTAAAAGCGTCGTTTTGCCGCTGCAGTGCGCGCCCGTGAGGTAGATGTTTGGTGGGGGCATTGCGGTGCTTGAAGTGGGTAGTGGGTAATAGGTAATAGGTAATAGGTAGTATGGTGGGGTTTAATGGTAATAATTAGACTTGCTTGGACGTGGATGTCGATGTGGTTGTTGCCTTGCGTGAGTGAGTGCTAATGGCAGGGCAGGGCAGGGCTTTTATACCAAAGGCCTTAGGTATACACAAACGTACAGCAAAGAAACCAGTTGTTTGTTGTTTGGGCCGGATAGATCATACACCCTAGACTGACTACGTAGGTCGTCAATCAATTTGCCGCACGCTCTGTATGTATGTACGTATGTGCGCGTGGAGTCAAGCAGTCTACACAAACACCCCCCCCCAACACCTCACCTCACACCACCCCCCTCTCCCCCAGCACCCCCTCCATCTCCATCTCTCCAACAACATCCGCACAATACAGCCACGCCGGCTCGCCCTCCCCACTGCTCTGCCACGCCTGGCCGGGAGCCAGCCTCGCCCGCTCCGCCGCCGGCAGCCGCGTATTATTGAGCAATAGCGTCAGCGCCGTGACGCGCGCGACGCGCTGCTGGCGGTAGCGCTGCCAGTGGTGGGTGGTGGTGCGCCAGTGCGCGAGGGGGGAGTCGGAAGAGTTGAAGGAGGAGGTGGTTGTTGAGGTTGAGGCTGAGGCGTGGTGCGTTGCAAGCAGATGCGCAAACGACCACGCGTCCTCAAGCGCCTGGCTCGCGCCCTGCCCTGCAGTTGGAGGAATCGCATGCGCGGCGTCCCCAAGTAGAACCACGCGGGCGGTATTGCTAGTCCAGCGCTCCAGCGGTGGGATAGCGTAGTACGGCCAGATGGACAGCGAGTGCTCAGGGATAGTTTCTAGGGCGGAGCGCACCGTCGGCGGCCAGTTAGCCCCCTCGTCCTTCCCGCGCAGCAAGGCTTTAAGCTTTGCCGGGTTCGCGCTGAGCGCGTCCCACCCCGCGCGGTCCTGCTCCGGGTACCGGCGCTGCGTGCCCGCGAGCAGCTCGGAGCCGTTGCGGTTCTGGGGCGCGAGGACGAAGGTGCCGGGCGCGGCGGCGATGGCCACGGGGCAGGGGTATTGGTCCTCATTGTCGGGCGTCGGGGCGAAAGAGACAGCAGCCCGCGGCAGCGCGTACGTGATTGCTACGAGGCCGGCGTAGCGGGGCTGGACGCTGGGCGCGACGTGCGCGCGGACGCGGGAGTGGATGCCGTCGGCGGCGAGGAGCAGGCTGGCAGTGACGCGGGCGCCGGAGGCGAATTCGAGCGTTGCGCCTGCGGCGGGGTCGTCGGCCACGATGCGCGAGAACTTCGTCTCGTAGTGGATTTGGATGCCGGCTGCTTGGGCGGCGGCGCGCAGGTCGGCGAGGAGGACGGCGCGGTAGATGCGCAGGCAGTCGTAGCCGTAGACGCGGGCGCTGCCGAGGAAGTACGTGTCTGTGGTGCGTTCGGTTTCGTCCTTGAAGGTCACGGTCTCGAAGTTGAAGCCTTGGGGCTTGAGGTTTTCGTAGAGGCCTAGGTTGTCCAGGATGCGGAGGGCGTTGGGGGAGAGCATGAGTGCGCCGGGGGTGGTGGCTGAGGCGGGGCGGAGCTCGTAGATGGTGCTGGGGATGCCTTTTTGGTGGAGGGCGAGGGCGAGGGTGAGGCCCTGATGGTGAGTTAGTACCTATGTTGTTGAGTGTCTGAAGAAAGTGTAAGTAGACTTACGGCTAGGCCGGCGCCGATGATGACGACGTTGGAGGTGAGGGGAGTGGGCATGGTGGTGGAGGTGGTGCGTTCAGTAAGAAATCGAGTGTGTAATAGGGAAAGAGAGTACAATGCTGAATTGAGGGATGATGAGATCGAGGATGGTGCTATAGTTATAACAAACCTTGGCCTTTATATTTGGTTTCTCGTGCAGTGCCATCTCCAGCCCGGCTCCGGCTCCGGCTCCGGACCGGATCCGACTACCTACCTACTTATCCGGATCCGAAGCGCCTCGGATCCGAACGACCAGACTCCAAAGACTCACTACATAAAGCGATACGCATCCTAGATATCCGTCGGTCTATCAGTCAATCAGTCAATCAATCAACCAAAGTCCCCATCGCCAACTACTTCAACTTCTCCTTCCTCCTCCTCAAGAACCACCACCACAACCACCACCACACCACACCACCCACGAACAATGCACATCCTCATTTTCGGGGGCAACGGACGGACCGGACGTCTCGTCATCGCCGCCGCACTAGAAAACGGACACACCGCCACAGCCCTAGTGCGAGACCCGTCCTCGCTCCCCGCCCGCAAAGGCCTCACCATCAAGCAAGGCACGCCGCTCAACCGCACCGACATCGCCGCCAGCCTCAGCACGCCCACGGGCGCCGCCCTCCCAGACGCAGTCATCATCACGCTCAACGCGCCGCGGGCCAGCGACTCGCCGTTCGCGGCGCCCATTGCCCCGCCAAGAATGATGGCCGACGCGGCCGCCAATGTCGCTGCTGCGGTGCGCGAGCGGGCGGGGGCAGACGGCGCCGCGCTCCCGAGAGTAGTGACGCTCTCGGCGTTTGGCGTCGCGGACTCCGCGCCCAACCTCAGCTGGCCGTTCCGCCTCGTCCTGCGCCGCACGAACATGGTGCACCAGTTCGCGGATCACGACCTCGTGGACGCGGAGACGAAAGCCCGAAAGGATGTGCCGTACGTGCTCGTGCGGCCAGCAATGCTAGCCGAAGGCCCCGCGGCGGCGGTCAAAGTATGGGGAGACCAAGGGGAGGGGGCGCCGTGCTTCGGGAAAGTGACAAGGGCGAGCGTGGCGAGGTTTCTGGTTGAGGTGGCTGAGAGTGAGACCGGGGAGTGGGTGGGGCGGACGCCTGTTATTACCAACTAGGGTATTGTAGGGGGGTGTGGTGGTGTTTGGTTTGGTGTGTTTTCGGTTTCTTTTGGCTGGTTTTTTTGTTTGAGGCTGTTTGTTTGAGGTTGTTTGTGCATAGCGATAGTGCTGCGGGGCACAGATAGACGGACGGGCAATGCAGCACTGCGGAGTAGGTAGGTAGTGATACAACAAGGCGAATGGGCCTCCTTTATCTTCCATCAGAAGCATTAGCAACAGTAGCAGTCATATTACCAAAGCAAACACCATCTCGTCCCATCTAGAAAGTCAGCCGTACAAAACACAAATGCAAGAGAGATGCGATGCGACAAGACGACACTGGAAACATACAAAACCTTCCCCTTTCGTCAGCCAACCAGCCAGCCAGACAGACACACTGCCTACGCCCACGGCTCGTTCAGCAACCACGCCGTATCCGGCCACTGCCCGACATACTGCAGCACGTCCTGCGCAGCGTCAACCCAATCGCATACACACGTACATCGGAATAATCAAGGAGCTAGGGGAAGGGCACTCACATCGCCAAAATCAAACATCGATTCCAAGGTCGCCGGGTCGTCAAGCAGTACGTCTTGCTGCGGTTGTGTCTCCGCCACATCGAGCGTATACGGCCCATCGTGCTGCATTCACCTCATCATTAGCCTCCTATTCACCAATTATATATCAAGCATTAGTGGCTAACTTACCTTGTCCGCTACCCTTCGGCTCTGCGCATCCAGCAATAATCCTCGCAGCTCCGCAAACGTCTTCATCAGGCCGCGGCGCACCGTGTCCCGCTCGTTCGCCCCGTCGCACTTTGTCTTTGCGCGGTGGATCGCGATGCTGATGGCGACGAGGTTTTTCAGGCTACCGCCTTGTTGCGATATCTTTTCCGTCAGAGTTTGGAGCACGTTATCGAGGAGCGCAAAGAGGGCGTCTTTTTCTGTCGGTGGAGATGTAGCGTGCGGTTCGCTCTCCGCTGTGTCCGCATTGTTCGAGCGCAGAAAGGTGCTGATGACGGCGACGGAGCGCAAAATGTCGTCCATGAAGATGATGTGCCAGGAATCTTGAAAGTGCTCCAGAGCCGAATTGTCCAACCCTCTTTTTGAGGCGTAGTACTGTAACGATGATAGGATAGTTACGGCGGCATGGACGCATTCAGCGTTTGCTTTGCCGGAATAGAGCGCGCGGTTGACGCTGATCTTCAGCCGGTTGTACGTGATGGTCAAAGTAACGACACTGAACAAACGACCCATGTCCCATTCCGACTGGCCCGGGTCAGGAGGTTCCGGTCTCGGCCAGTTGCGCGCTGAGGCGCTCACTTCTCTCCAGAGCTGATGGACGGTCGCTGCGGATGAAGGAGTCAGCGGTTGGCAGATGAGGTTGGCGATGGAGAGGCGCGAGCGCAGTGACCGTCCAAGCGTGTCTTGAAGCACAATTCTCACAGCATCAGTATGGCCCGCTAGAAGCGCGCTCTGGCGTCGAGCATCCCGATCTGAGCCTAGAATGCAATCAAAGTCTTCGGCACGCACTGCAGCCGGCATGCCGTAGAGAAGTGACACCTGCAGGTCCATCTCTACGATGCTAGACCACAGCCGTTTCCTAAGGTCGGCTTGCGGAGGCGAGATGCCCGAGAAGGAGTCCGGATCGCGATGCAGGCCCATCGTCATGGCGGAGCGCGCCAGCGCGCCCGTCGACGTCCACTGCTCTTCTATGGGCGCGCCGCGCGTCTGCTGAGCCAACGCAAGCAAGGCCCGGATCTGCAAGGTCGAGATATCCGAGCGCGACTTGCGCGGCAGGGCATGCAGCCATACCTCGATTGTCTCGCTGGGATTGGTCTGTAGCCACTGGTGCACGGGCAGCTGGGGGAAGTCGTCGGACGCGGGCAGCGTGGGCGCCACGATGGCCATGGCCAAGCAGATTTGCGACATGATGTGCTCGTTTGGCGGCTGATCAGGCTTGGACATGGCGGCTTCGTACAGCGGCAAAAAGGTCGGGCGGTGCAGGATGACGAGGTGTTGCTCCCAGACGGCAAAGTAGGCCTCGATCAGCTTGTCGCAGAGCGTCTTGGCAGGCAGCCTCTTGAGCATGTCCGACTGAGCCAGAGGCGATGCTTCAAATGGCGTCGAGGGGTGCTCGCTGCCTATCTTGGATGACGGCTTCTTGCCCAGGGCCTGGACTTCGCGGGCCAGCGACCACAGCTCCGGGTCGGCCGACGGTTGAAGCGTCGTCACGGCCATGTCGCGCACCTGATTGAAGATGGCGCAGCGGTAGTCCTGGCCATAGTAGCGGCAGCGTGAGCCTTTGACTGACAGGGTGCCGATAGGTTGCTGACGGTGCTGGTGGTGGTGTTGACCTTGTTGGGCGCCATCCTTGGGGAAAAGGACACCCTCGAGGGCAGCGACGCGCGCCTGCAAGTCCTCGATGACGCCCGATGGTTTCGTAGGGCCATTGGCGTCAAGCGGCGCGGCCGAGGCGGTGGCTGTAATAGTGCGAGTGGAGGGGTGGTGGAGGCCTTCGGATCCGGAGCGCGTGGTGCTGTCGAGGTTGGTGGTTTCGAAGACGCAACGGTCGGCGCGCTGACTGCGGACGCACTGTTGGCAGGGGTGGCTCCGGTCGCACTTTAGTTTCTTCGCGCGACATTCACGACAGGACAGCGTTGGCCGTGGACGTTTGCGCGAAGTCTCCATGGCGGAGAAGGAATGGGCAGAGGAGGGCACGAGAGGGAAACGCACCGGCCAGCCGCGCGAATCCGGGGGGTCGGCACGTCCCGAGCCGCATCTACATAACAATCCATTTCTACCCACGCCAAACACTCTCCACCGCCCTCCTCCGCCGCCGGAAACACGTCGCTATCGTACTCCAGCCGCAGCACGCACGCCTCACCGCCCGGGAGCGCCGCAGACTCAGCCAGCAGCGCGAACATGGCCTGCCGCACCGCCACGACGTAGCTGCGACCTGTGGCGCACGCGGTGCAGTTTCATGCCGTCCCGGGCCGCGAGGGCGAGCGTTTGCTTGTAGAGCCCCGTGGGGAGCTTGAGCATGCCCGACGTCCCAGATGATTCTTTGTACGGCGCTCAATGGCCCGCAAGTAATTGATAGTTTGTTCGGGATGAGTTACAACACTAAATCGGCTTAGTTCATTTCAACATTGAAAAAGCTGGTCCTGTCGGCCTGACACTGGCTGCACAGCTCCAGCGTAACGATGTTTTTTGCATTGTCTACGAAGGCGAGCACACTTCACAAGGATAGTGGCTTGCTGGCATTGAAACAAATTCGTCTCTAGGACCAGTCCCTCAAAAACTCTCGTTCGGGTGAGAAGTGCTAAATATCTACATGCCCGACGAGGAACTCATCATGGACGAAGGCAACAGGGCTGACCAAGCTCGCCCCAAAGAGATGCATGGTTGCCCTGAACTCGACAGGATAAGCCTTGGGAGCATTTTGCTGGACTCTCTCCAGCAGAACACTGTCCGCTGGGGCTACCGGCTCAAGAAGGTTATTAAGACGGACAACGCGAAGTACGACTTACACTTCGACGCGGGCATCGAGCCGCAATTTGACATTGTCATCGGTGCTGATGGTGCCTGGTCCAAAGTACGCAAGCTAGTCACTGATGCGGTACCCGTCTATTCTGGCATCTCCGGTCTCGACACCAGGACCACTAACATTGACGTTCGCGAGCCTGCGATTGCCGGGTGGATTGGTCACGGCATGTGCTTAACGCTTGGAAGCAACAGGGGCATCCTTTCGCAAAAGAATAGCAACAATGAAGTTCGGACGTACGCATTCATGCGAGCATCCATTGAGTGGAAGTCGAAGGTCGATATTCAACAGCTGTCTCCTAAAGAGCTACCCGAAAAGCACGTTAGTGGACACTTTTATGAGTTTTCACAGATCTCAAAGGATATCATCCTGAAAGCCGATCGCGATGCCGTCATTACGAGGCAGATGTGGATGTTGCCGGTTGGATTGACTTGGAAAACAAAACCTGGGTAAGCTTCATGTTATGACTGAATCTCTTATCAATGAACGTAAAAGCTTACGCACTCAGGGTGGCCTTGATCGGAGATGCTGCTCACGTCATGACTCCTTTCGCCGGCTTTGGTGTTAACGTGGGCATGCAAGATGCGGTCGAGGTTGCCGACGAATTAATCGCCTTACTTGAACCAAGTAAGACCCAAAGCCATTTTGATATCAATGGCGTTTCTGCCGGCATCTTCAAGTATGAGAAGCAGATGCTCGAGAAGTCTGATAAGTATCAGAAGCAGACGCTGATGTACCTTAATATTATTTTATTTTCAGGGAAGAGGTGGTGAAGCCGTATTTGAGCACTTTGCTAAAGCCAAAGTAGCTGAGGCAGCCGGTATTGCTGAAATAGCGAAGGTGGCTGTGGCGGCTTAGCTCTAAATTTCAGTAAGAGTGGAATAGGGTACAGGCTTACAGGAATGTTTTGGGCCCGAAGATCGTTTGGCTTTCTATCTGTTCTCACATCGCGCGTGGAGTCCTGCTCATATCTCCATATATCCTTTAATTATCATCTGAAAAAGTATTTAACCTACTTTTATATACCGACGCTTCAGGCTTTGCAACGCATCAGTGATGAAATATAATAGCATTGTGGTTCTATTTTGGTTGCTAAGTGTGAAGTACCCTCTTAGTCTAACTGATATGTCTTTCGAGGAAAACAATACAAACAACAGAGAAAGCAAAGTATACTCTTTTTTCTCCTAAAGGCGAAAAGCATTCGGCATTCTTTATCTCAGCTAGCCGTAGACGCGGTGATTTTTCTCTTCAAATAGATATATATTTGATGGAGCAGCTACTTACAATATTTCGATGAATAACGCCTGCTTAGATACCCTTTCTATAGAACTAGTACCTCTGCTGCTAGGACTAGGAAAACTCCTTTAACCTTATTGCCCTGTACTTCTCCATAATGAAATCAGACAGTATTTTGAATTCAACCATCCCGTTATTACCAAATAAACACATCCACTGTCCGTCTTGTCCTCATCAACCTAGTCTGATCCGACGTCTTTCAGGTTTCGGCCAAGACTCCATTTTCCGGTATTGATCTACTTCTCTATCGTCTAAGTCTGTAGCTTTCCCGGTACCTTCATCTAATAAACACAAACTATGAGTAAGAACGAAACCAAAACGTTCTTTTATACCACCAACATCGTGGAGTACAAGGGCTATACTATCGGGAAGGAAGTTCGGATAATCGGAAAAGCCTTGTAGTTGTCCTATCGGTATGCATGTAAATTCTTCTTTCGCAGCAATCCTCGCATCCAAGTCAAATGGAAGCGGAATGTCGTAAGTGTTTTGTCTTGATGAGTTAGCTTCTCCCTCATAATCCAGCCTTAACTTGGCACAAATATGTTCATCCTTGGAGATCTATGCTATGTGCAAGAGATAGCCTCCCAGTAGATGTTTGCACTTGACTAAATGTCGACAGATCGTCCATATGTCCAGGTGGATGTAAATTGACATGTCTGGTGAAAGTGAATGGAGGTTCCTGGATTTGACATGGTCCTCCCATGTAAGGATTGAGCCATCAGTTTTCTCAACTGAAATATTGCAGTCAGAGAATACAGGCCATAAATTATGTCTGAAATTCACTCCGCCAATAAACCCAACCCAGGACCAACTTGGGAAGCAACCCGGTCGTCTTTTTAGTTGTTTGGTTGTTGACCATAGCAGACCTCGCAGGAAGAGACTCTTGTGGCCCACAGGTAGTTGCGTATTATGAAGTAGGGGAACCCCCCAATAGCTCGAGAACTTCGAGCCTATGCTTGCCATGCGAAGAATCCCGGTTACCGCATTTAGTCCGTCACTCGGGTATGAGAGTTCTTTTGAAGTATAATTTTCCAGGATTTCGAACACATGAGAGTGAATATCGGTGGAGCCACCGCTTGCCCCTGTGAAAAGATTATTAGGCCAGTATTCTCGCAGCATCCTTTCATGGTCTGGACTGTGCATAGCATCTAAGGTTTGAGAGGTTGTTTCTGAACAGTACATGTTGCGGCATTGGAACAGAACTTTATCATCCGTAAACACAAGGCATCGCCGAGAGAGCAAAGCTTCCTGGTATGTCCAAGCCCGCTTCCACCATTTGGAACGGCGTAGGAGGAAAGTGGGGGCACCCCCAGTTGAAGTGAATTGTTGGTTTCCTACGCGGACCGCCGATTGAGCTCGTCTTTTCCTCGAACCAGGAGCCCCTGGGAGGCCGTATGATGGGTTTTCACCGGCGCTGGCGATGAATGTAACCACTGCATTTGCGTATATCAAATGCATGTTGATAATTTGTTTGTGCTTCTCGGCTCTGTCGTCTTGGGGAATACAGTATCGATCCACCCAGAGATATTGAATATTGAGCCTTTTGGCTATGTTAATGGAATCTTGGATCACTTGGGGGAGCTGTGACAGTCCACTAAAGAGTGTGGCTTTACTATCATCCTGTACCGATGATCCCCAGACATAGCTCAGCGTTGCGTATTTGTGGTGTGGTTCTGCGCCGATGATCTGCATAGACGTACAATCTATAAGCTTAAGGTTGGGTATTACTGCATTTCCAACCATGCTCTGACAGCCGGTATGGTTGTCCTCGCAGTACTCAATCCAATTATTAAGGATGTTGTAGTCAATACGATCTGGGAGTATTCTTTCAATCGTAAATCGTTTGCTGCTCAGAATTGATGCCGCCCTCGCACTCATAATATAACCCCTCTCTTCCATATAATATCGCAACAACTCTTTACCACTTTTCATTTTTGAAATGTCCACTTCATGCACTACCACAAAAACAATCGATGGTTTTAAATAGGAACCGAGACTATTATGGAGGACATAATGGCTACGAAAAGCCCACAACAACCAGTTCTCTTTGTGAGTAGCCAGAGTAACTCCCACCCGGACTGGAATGACGGCGGAAACAAAGAGCGCACACATAGGGCATTTCCCGTCGACCATTTCCTTCGACAAATACCCGAGTTTTGCAGCGGGGTTTGAAATTTTGTAGCGTTCAGGTGACTGCTCAAGTTGTGCTTGGTAGAACTCAAACACCTTGTCCAGTTTTATTTTCCTGCATCGTTTGCATATGTCGTCATCCAGCTGGTCCTGTGGTCCGTTCTGGTTCGGAAAATTGGATTCAGAACCAAAGAGCATTTCGTCCGGGGCCTGGTTTTGGGTCTGGTTTTGGGCCATGACATTGGAGAGTTCCAAGGTTGGGGTATCCATTCTGGAGGTTTATATCGGTAGGTCTTGCGGGTTTTTAAGAGTAGAACAGAGGGTTCGAGCTTGGTATGAAGACGACAGGTTCAGCTGAGACCAAGTAAGCGGGGAAGCGCTCACATTTATGCTGCAGCCTCAGCACAGCCGTCCTTGTGTAACGACACCTCGGGTAAAACGTCATGCATTGCTACCCAACAGATAGTCACGTTTCTTCTCGGAATCTCTCACTCCGGTGCCCTCGAGTAGCACCATTTAATACGCCACAGTAAGCGACTAGTAAGACGCCACTATAGCAAGCAAATAAAAAAGGAGTAAAAAGCAATCGCTTACGCGGCTGCATCCATCAGGCTCAAAATCGTTCGTCAAGGTTTTGCCATGTATCCTATTCAGCCTTGCCCGAACGTTGGGCTGACAGGGCGATGCACCAGCTCCGGAGGATTGCCAACGTCGCGCCGCTTTATGGTTCACTGAAGAGTAGACAGCAACTCAAAGTTATCGGCCTACATTGACTGATTCGTACGGTAAGTTCCGCACATGATAAGCCCAGGCAAAGTCAATTTCTAACTATCGTACAGTCTATATTAGTAATATACCTATATATTATATATAATAGGTTATCGAGTAGTATTACAAGCTTCTACCTTTTTAAAATCGACTAGATATCTATAAAAGAAGTAAGCTAGCCTTACCGATATATACTTCGTAACGCTATAGGCTATAATATATAATAAATAACCCTATAAAGAGTATAAACCTAGACCCTATAATAAGAAATAAATTAAAGCTAATCAAGACTAAAAGAAAAAAAAAAATTAAAAATAAAAGAAAGAAAGAAAGGAGAGAGAAATAAATAGAGAAATCTTATATAAAATAATTAATAAGCATATACACAGAATAGAACGCCCGAATCAAGCAAATCTCAGGTCGCTAGGCCTAACACCTTAAACAAGATATCCAACTCACATAGGCTAGACTACACACCATATCGGCTTAACATATAACAAAGACTTAAAAAAAAAAAAAAAAAAAAAAAAAAAAAAAAAAAAAAAAAAAAAAAAAAAATAATAATAATAATAATAATAATAATAATAATAAAAAGCCTAAGCGTCCAAACCACACCACTAGAAAGTGCACGCAGACCTAATATCTCAGAAACAACAAACTCAAAACGCGGACTAAACACAACACCACAACCTCTCCATCGCATACAACACACAACCGCTAAACACGCGTGACGCACCAGCAAACGCCCACGACCACGACCACGACCCTGACCACCGCCCACACAACGCAGCATCGCACAGTCCAAAAACCAATCAACCAATCAATCAATCAATCACACTGAACACGCTACCACTACCCCCTCCCAACCTCAGAACCCACCCGTCCCCCTCACCCTCTGCACAGCGCCCACGACGCCCTTGACCCAGCTAAACCTGCCCGGGTTCACGCCTAGCGCGCCCTCCGCCTCCTTTCCCTCGTCATCATACCAGACACCCGCCACTCTTTCCTGCCCACCACCACCACCTTTACCCCCACTGAAGCCAGCGCCGACGCCAGCGCCGCCGCCACCACCCCTACAAACCTCGCCAAACAAATGCGTGTTCTGGTTCCTACGAAGAGCGTCCAGCCACTCATGGCAGACAGCCTCCGAGTCGATCAGGATATTCGTTTCCTGCGAATGGAACCACGACTGCGTGTCCTGGTTGCCGGAGCCCTGGATGGCGATGTGGCCGTCGGCGATCAGGAGCTTGACTGCATACATTGCATTAGCAGGGAAGGAGAGTGAAGTGGAGAGAGGGGAGGGGGACGTCGGGACTAAGGGGGGGAAGAAAATGATGAAGAGTAAATACTCACTATGGCAGCTGCGGCGCTTGAACGCGTTATGCAGCGGGCGGAGCTGGTCCTTGCCGACATACCAGCACACCTTCAACCTGTCGCGCTCCTCACCATCCAACGCGGCATACAGCCCATGCGCCACCATTTCATTCGTCCCGCCCTGCGCAGGCAACAGCTCGCCGAGGTCATTGTACCCCAGCGTCGCGAACAGCGTGACATCGACGCCTCTTCTTACCGCCGCCACCAGCGCCGGCAGCAGCGGTTCCGCGTTGATGTCTGGCGACTGGATGAAGATGCTGCGTTGCGCGTGCCGGATCGCGGACAGCCAGGCCTCGTTTTGGGGTGTGTTGATGCTGGCGTGGGAAAGGGCGCCAAAGGGGCGGCGGTTCACGAGCGCGATGGGGAAGGCCGCGTGGGGCGCGTGCGCTATGTATGGCGTCATGGCGTCTTCGGGGGCGCAGTCTGGGGCCGTGGCCGTGAGGGTCTGATGCGTGGACGCGTCTGTGGGCGCGTATGTGAGTAAGTGCGTGAGGTTTGGGTGTTGGTGGCGCTAAGTACTCAGGTGCTGCGCGACGAGGTCGACGACGCGCTCGCCATGGGCGGGCGTTAGTGCGGATTGCAGGCGCAGGATCTCGCCCGCGATGTCCGCGTCGTAGTGCGGGTCGCCGGGGGCGTCCTCTGGTAGTCTTTCGCCGCTGTCATTGACGTGCTGAATTTTGGCGGTGAGGAGCCCTCCGGTGCTGTCTACTATTTCAACGAGTGATGATGTGTCTGTAGTAAGAACGCTGTCCCTTTTCGTGGTCAATGCTCCAAGCAGGGGCAGAGGAGGGTTTAGTGCTTCGTGCCATGTGAGGAGGGCCATGTCGTAGAGAGAATCGACGATGGGTCCCTCGCAGTGCGTCATCATCTCTAAATTGTCGTTGTCCTGGCGCATGTCAGCTTTAAGCAATGCGGTAGGATGAGTGTACAGACTTGAATGTTGTTACTGCAAAGAATACCAATCCTCCGGTCCACAATCATAAACTTTGCGTGGAAAGTCCCCAGGACCGGCCTGTGGTAGTTAACAACCTCCATATCAATGTTAGGAATTTCCTCTTGAGACGGCAGCGCAACGCCCGGCAGGGTACGGTCTTTCTCGTTGACTTGCAGATGGTTATCGGCGACCTGCATGAATTAGCCTCGCAGCTACAGTTGAGCCACCAGCCAATTGGCACACCTGCTTCACGCTCCCGCGGTCGTAGATGACCTTGACAACGGCCCGCTTACCCCTAGCCCCCGCCCGCTTCGACAGCTCTTTCATCGCATCCGTGATCAGTCTCGAAGCATCTGACTCTTTCCAATAATTCGTGGCGAGGAAGACCTCTTTATCCGCGCGCGCAATAAGGTTCGCCTACCCACAGCATTAACTACAAACAGTACAAACAGCACAACAAAGCAAACGCACCATGTGCCTGCAGATATCCGGCAGCGACGAGATGACCGTCAGCGGAATCACGCCCGTGCTCCCCATTAGCGGCGGGCTGACAACCCCAGCCAGCGGATCGTTCTCCAGCGTGCAAAGCGCATCATGCCAGACGCGCAGAAACAGCTCGCTGGGCTTCGTGTCACCAAATCTCCCGCAGCGGCGTGCGCGCTCCAGCTCCTCGTCCGTAGCGCGCCGGCGCTCGGCTGGCAGCTTGCCCTCATAGATGCTAAAGCCATGGCGGCCGTACAGCTGGCGCGCCGCGTCTGCGGGCTTGAGGCTCGGGTCTTCAGCCAGCAAGCTGCTGACGGTGTCCTTCTCGTGGCAGAGCGCGAAGACCTTGTCCGAGATGCTGGTTGCCATGATGCGGGTGCGGGGGATCCAGGGCTGGCGGCGGTAGAAGTGGTCGATTGCGAATGCGAGAGAGGCAGCGACGATGCACGCCAACGAAAGCGCAACGGTTACGACGGCCATAATGAATGAATGGTTGGAGGGTTATGACGCGGCGGTTCCGGCGCGGGTACGGCTGGATGAAGGGAGGGACGGCCTGCCTGTCAGCGCGAGCAGCTGCTCCGACGTCATTCCATGGAGATGGCGCAGATGGAAGCCAGGAGGGTGGGTTCCGCGCGGCCCGGATTTGCCACTAGTCGAGGCTTGGTGAGGCTTGGTGAGGCTTGGTAAAAGCTTGGTTTTGGCGTCTGGCCTGGCCGATTGCACAACCATCAAGGCAGGGAGCGCCACAAGTCACCGATTACGTCGGACGGGATTTTTGCTTTCAGGTTTTGTCGTGTCAAGCTCGGGTTGCGGTGCTGTGCGGGCGAGATTGTGGACGCCGATATCCGGGCGTTGCGGGGCGTTCCCGGATACGAGCCGATGGTGGGAGTACGGATGACGCGATGAGACAAGACTGATCAAAAGCTGGCTGCCAGGCCTGTCAGTCGTGTTGATGCAGTCGAGCGAGGCGATGAGCAATGCGGCCGGCGAGGAACAGTCGTATCTCTGACGCGCTACCCGGAGCGTCACCACTCTGCGACCCAGCACCTCCGCCTAATCCACCCTCGCATAAGCAAAGTCCGCATCCGCCAGACACGGCATCCCCTCCCCAAACGCATACAGCCCCAACATAACGCCCAAGAACGGCAGCCCGACCGGCGGATCCCTCGTCAAGACAGCGCAAGGCACGGCACCCAGCCAGCGTACCTCCTTACGCACATCCTCCTCCCCATCACCGCTATACATCCCCCCAGGCCCCCCCTCCTCCTCCTCCCAGAACCCAAACCGATACGCCTCTTCGCCGCACTCAATCGCCAGCCCCATGTCGCCGTCCCCGCTCAACGGCGCATCAACAGCGTGGCCCGCTCCTTCCGGCGGCCAGAAGCGCACTGTGCGGATACCGTCGACGAGGCGCAGGCCGACGCGCGCGTGCGTGAAGTAGTCCCAGTAGGCGGTGGTGCCGGCCTCTTCGGCTGGGAGTGCGGGGCGGAACGAGAGGCGCGTGCGCCAGGTCGTGTTGACGGTGGTTTGTTTGCGCAGGAAGAGGGTGGGGCTGGCGGGCGAGGCGAGCGTGTAGGGGTTGCCGTGGAGGCGGAGGTGGTGCGGGCACGCGGAGAGGCTGTGCTCGGGCTTGAGGGGCGTGTCTGCTTGCGTTAGTACGTTAGGTATTCAAGATTTGGAGGTAGGTGTAAATAGGGAGTGAGTGGAGAGAAGGAATGCTTACTCTTGCGGTACCACCCCCTTCCCAACTCCGCACTCTCAAACCCATCTTTCCACGCCCTCGCCCTCGGTGCCGTATCCTCATTCACACCAATCTTCCTTCCCCGATTAAACACCGGCCAGCCGTCCTCCCCCCACTGAACCTCCACCAGAAACGTCTCTCTCCCGAACACCTTCCTCCGCACACCCAAACACACCGCCCACCAGTCCCCCTGCGCATCCTCCACCACATCCGCATGCCCCACGCACGTAACCGCGTCCCCCTCCCCCGCCGCGCCAAACACCACGCCCGGCACACCAGCACCCGCCGCCGCAGGGGCAGCTTCCCACGGCCCGTCCACGCCGTTGCCGCTGCGGTGCAGGACAACGCAGTGGCCCTCCTCGGTCCCGCCTTCAGCCGTAAGCAGGTACGTCCAGCGCCCCCTAGCGAACAGGTGCGCCCCCTCCGCGACGCGCATCCCCGTCCCCGACGCGCGCAGCAGTCGCGGTTTTGCGAGCGCGCGCCCGCTGCCCAGGTCCACGGGCGCCGTGTGCACCGCGAAGTCCTTTGCCGGGGGTGCGGCGGGGAAGGGCGAGAGCGCGGGCCGGAACGTCGTGCTGAGGTGGGGTTGGTGGTGCTTGTCCCAGAAGAGCTGTGCCAGGGGGTGTCAGTACCTTTGGGGTGAGGGTGCGGAGGAAAGGAAAAGAAAGGAAAGGAAAGGAAGGGAGACGCACGTCCTGGTCGAAGCCGACCTGGTCGAAATACACCGGCTCGGACCACTTCTTCTCATCCCAGATATCCTCCGTCTTCACGACAAACCCCCGCGGCCAGACGCGCTCGCCGCTCTGCGGGCTGTACCGATCCCACACACACGCCGTCAACCACCAGACGCCCTTCGTTTCGCCATCCGGCTGCACCTCCTCGCGGTACCGGAGCGTAGGGGCCCACACGCCGCCGCCCGGCTCCGGCGTCTTGAGCATGAGCTGGCTGGGGCGGGTGAGGGCGTGCCCGATGAGGGTCCACGTGGCTAGGTCTGTCGAGTGGTGGATGGGGATGCCGGGGAAGAGGGCGAAGGAGGAGGTTGCGAGGAAGAAGGAGGAGCCGGCGCGGGTTATGGAGGGGTCGGGGTGGGGGCCGGGGAGGATGGGGTTGGCGGGTGGGTCGAGGGGCATTGTTGGTTGTGCTGGTGCTGGGAGGAGGCGTTTGTGGAGAGGGAGGATGGGGGAGGGGTGGTTGTTAGGTGTGTTTGTGTTTTGTGCTGCTGTTGCGCGGGTAAAGTGTGTGGGGTATTTATGTAGGGTGGTGGTGGGCTTATTGGTGGATTAAATGCGGGGAGATGGGAGGATGCTTGTGCGTCCGGGATCTACCTAGCACACCCCGCAGTCGTCATGCCGGCATGCCGTGGACTCTTCTTTCTTTCTCTTCCCCTGGCTTGAGGTGTGAGGTTGTGTCGGCTGAAAATTAACGCCTCCGCTCTTATTTAACAACTTCTTTCCTTATTTCCAAAGAGAAAAAGCCAATCCATTCATAAGATGGAAAACTGCCGGACCAAGCGCCACTCGGCCCGGCCCAGTACCCGCGTCCGAGCCTAATGGAACCAAGGTCAGTGTGCAACCCGGCCTAGAGACATGACTTTCTAGGCAGTTGGGTGTCGTCCTCTGTTCGTCAATAAAATCGCACCTACAACAGCCCCAGCCTCTTCCCCAAATACCCCACACTCGCCCCCGCCGCCGCAACGCCCGAAAACACTATCACCGCGCCATATCCACTGCCATACGCGCCAGGCGCCTTCCCCTCCCAGCCATCCCAGCGCAGCAACGCCTCGCTCAACGGGCCGCCAATCACGCTGCCCAGGCCCTTGCCCGCCGCAAACACGGCGATAATCATCGCGACGTCCACGTTCCCGCTGAGCCCCCAACTGCCTCCACTCCGCCCACTCCCTTCGTTTCGCACAGTCCCTTCACTCGCAGCACACGCCCTCCCAATCGGCCCCGCGCACCCGGGCCACGTCGCCGCAAAGCCACCACTAAAAGCGCCATTAGCAAGCGCAAAGACGTACAGCGGGGCAGCGGAGGTGGCGAAGCCCCAGAGCGCAAACACCGACACGGCGCTGCCGAGGGCGCACACGTTGGTTGCGGTCGTGACGTGGTAGCGGTCGATGAGGAAGCCGGTGGCGACGGCGCCGAGGATCGTCGCTGCGTTGGTGAGGGAGAGGGCCAGCGTGCCCGTTGTGGGGGAGAGGTGCTGCGACGCTGCGAAGGCTTGGGCGTGTTAGCGTGTAGAGGAGGGAAAGAGAAAAAGTTAGCGGAGAGGATTGCAACTTACATGGCAGGTACAGACTCGGCATAAAGTACCCCAGCCCTTGCGCCACGTTCCCGGCCTGCAGGAACCAAAACGCCCACGTCCTCAAAAACGCCCACTCCACTTTCCTAGGCCCAGTACCCGACTGTCTCACGGGCAGGCGTCCCCTAAGGTAGAACACCGCGGGCGAACTCAGCACCAGCATGACGCAGGCCCAGATGCGCAACGCGCTCCGCGCGCCATACGTCCGCAGCGCCCAGTCCAGCACCAACGGCACCGCGACGCCCGCCGCCCCGCCTCCCGCCCACATGATGCCGTACGCGAGGCCCTTGCGCGCCACAAACCACTCGTCCAGGTACACGATGGCGGGGAAATAGTGCAGCGCGCCGCCGAAGCCGTACAGCACGCCCTGCGTCAGCAGGAGCTGCCACACCGTGGTCGCGAAGGACGCGGCGACGAGGGCGGCGAGCAGCAGCACAAAGCCCGCTATCGTGCTGGGGCGCCGTAGCCGTGGGTACTTGCGCAGGATCGTATGGATGATTGGCGCGGAGAAGTACATTATTCCTGTCGCGGTGGTGCCGATGGCTGCGACGCCGCGGCTTTTACCGCCGCGACCATTACTGCCGCCAGAGGTCCGGCTCCAGGGCTCGTGCGTCGAGTAGTATTTCTCGAAGACGCCGAAGCTGAACGCAAAGCCCCATACTAGTGCCTCGAGCAGGAAGCATGCGAGCAGGAAGAGCCAGGCTTGCCGGCCTGTGTCTGTGGGAGGGAGAGCCGGGATGTCGGCTCCGTGTTGGTCTGTTGCTGCTGCTGCTGCGGGATGGTGGTCGGGAGGAATTGCTGTATCTGCGTCTGTGTCTGTGGTAGTGGGTGGGATGGCGGGATGAAGGGGAGGGAGTTGAGTGCTGAGTTCGTATTCTTCGTCGCGAGACGTGCGCATTGTGGGGGTATGGTGATTGGTTTGTTGGTTTGTGATTGTTGTTGCCGTCGTTGTTGACGTCGTCGTAGTGATCATTGCGGGGTGGAGGTTAGAGGTTAGATAAGCGATGGGCTGCAATGCCGCATGCGTACTCGTACCGTACTTTGTACATGAGTAACCAACAGAAGAAAACTTACGGGTAACTGTCAAGCAAGCATAATATTCATGCAACTTTTTGAAAGCATCTCAAAGTCGATGCAAGAATGTAGGTAGCTACGCTTATGTCCAGTCCAAGATCCATCTCCCTTAAGCAGATCCCTCTAAGATCATCGGGAAATAAAAAACCCAATCCCAATCCCTCGAATCAAACCCATGCACCTGTTGCCAATCCATCGTTATCTTCATGCCATGCAAACACTCCGCCAACCCCGTACGTGTACGACCACACGCCCGCACGTGTGTAAGCCACCTGCAGGCGCCACCCGCTCACATGCGCCCAACCTAGATCTCACCTCCGACCTCCTGTGAACCTCACCCGCGCACCAGACAATACGACCATTCCTCCTGTCTACCCCAGCGAGTCTACAAGCACCAACGAAAGTGATGCTTATCTCACCTCCCGTGCGCCTGCCCGGCGATGCAAGATGTGACGCGATGATATGCGACAATATGGCGTCAAATGATGGAAAGGGGACAGATGCTTTTCGGAAACAAAGTACGCCTGAACACCCCGATGCTTTTGCACTTACCGATCGACCGGTCAACTGAGCGTCCGGTCTTCTGTTGACTTTTAGGAGGGGGAAAAATAAAAATGATGCACGTTCGTCCGTCTCCTCGTCGACCATGTCCAGACTTCCTGATTTCCGGTCTTCGTTCCATCTTTTCTTTCGGTCTTCCTCCCCGGATGCACGATCCTGATATCGTCAAGGAAAGAAAAATCGTAAAGGCGTAAAGTGTAACGAGTAGGAAAGGAAATGAGTAGACGCAGTCACTACTGCGCCGCCAGCGCGTCATCGTCGTCCTTCCTGTACATAAAGTACTGAACAAACACACCAGCATCGAGTAGCAGCGTACCGAAGCTACCGAGCAGCCAGCTAAAGTTCACAAGGAAGTACCGCGCGTAGATAGCGCCCGCCTCACCGGGCCGGCAGGTGTCACCACGGCACACGGGCTTGTAGGCCAGGATGCTGACGACGTACGTCAGGTTGCCGAGACAGGCAAAGATGAAGAAGAGCATGCTGATGCCCTCGGTCGACTGGCGCTTGTAGTTGAGATACAGCTGCGGCAGACGCGAGCCCAGATACAAGACACAGCAGATGTAGCCGCCAATCTGGCCCCCGACATTGAAGTGCAGCGTATCGGAGGCGTCGCCGCCGCCGTCTCCGCCGTCGCTAGCGCCGCGCGATGTGAAAAGCCAGCCAAGGAAGCCGGCGGCACAGACGAGGAGCACGGCAACCAGGTTGAAGAGGACGGCCTTGACGGCGGAGCGCGGCGATGGCGCGGCGCGCGGGGTGGCGTCGTCGGCGATCGGCTCGGCAAAGGGCGTCGCGGGAGAAAGGTGCGTGCCGTCGACGCCATCGTGCAGTAGGCGGTCGGTGAAGGAAGAGCGGCGGCTGCTCTGGGGCGGCGCAAGCAGGGCGGAGCGTTCCGTGGGCGTGTCGGCTTCCTCGTCGCTGGCGGGCGGCTTCTGCACCTCGTCCTTGAGGGTGAAGCCCTTGTAGTAGAAGCACTGGCCCAGCAGCACAATGTCGGCGAGGGTGTAGTAGACGGCGAGGATGATCATGGTGGGCAGCACGCGCTGCAGGACGGCGCCTATGATGTTGAAGACATCGCCAGCCAGCCAGATGACGATGAAGACGACCGACAAGCCGTCAGCCGAGGCGCGCCGGAAGTTTTCGATTATTTGCGGCGAGAAGACGACGACCCAGCAGGCGATAGAGATGGAGCCGGCGATGCCACTAATGGCATCGACGTCGAGGTTCATGCTCTGCGACGGCGGGAACATGGCGAGACAGTGGCTGGGACTGGTAGAAAGAGTGAGAGAGGGTCGAGGGACAGAAATTGTCATGGCGCGAAGGCGTTGGACTCATAGCCGTCGGTTACGTAAGGGCGCAGCTGTGTTCCTGCCACCCGCAGATCTCTGGGGTAGCGCAGGGGTCCACGTCACTCGCACTGCAAGCTCAGTTTCTTCTATCTACACCATCTACTTCGTACTTCGTATTACAACCCGTTATCCTTCTTAAACTTGTCCCATGCCTCGTTGAGCGTCGCAAACACTGCCGCGCTGACCATGCGCTGCTCCGTCGTCGCATCCTGTGAAATCTGCCGTGCCTGTCAGCTTTTCCATCGTCATACCCGCGGCGAGAGCTTCTTACCTTGTCCGGGTGCACCTTGGCAATGGCCTTCATGTAGATTATCTTGACCTTGTTGGGCATGACCAGATCTGCCATGCCGACCTTCTTCCATCCAGCTTCGGGCCACAGCACCGTGTCCAGGGAGCCCAGCAGCGCGCGTAGGTTGTCCGCCTTGCTGCCCTTCCACGCAATCAATTTCGCGTCAACGGCGTCCGTAAGCGCAAACTTTTCGTCATCAGCCTTTTCTGCCGCGGCGTTGGCCTCGCGCAGTTTCTTGACTGCTTCCGCGGATGCAGCTTGGGACACGGCCGGCCTGGCTGGTGAAGGTCGAGCTGCTGGCTTCCTGGCGGCTGCTGGACGGGGCGTTGCGGGCTTCGCAGCTTGCTGGGCCCCTCCACCAGCAGCCTTCTCGCACCGATTGCGTCCCTGGATGCTGACCGCGCCACCGACGCCGGCCTCAACAGCCTCTCGCCAAACTTTGGCCGCATCATTCCACTTCTCCATGTTCTCGAGCGCCTCGGCCTTGCGCATCAACGCCTTGCCAAAAAACTCCTTCATGTCCTTTTCCCCTTCGGTGCCGAGGGAGATGGTCTCGCCTTCGCCGCGTGAGACGCCAATGACGCCCAGAGCAGTGTCCGCATCGGCGACGGCAGCCTTTGGGTCGCCAACCTTGATGTTGGTCAATGCACGGTTGCAGAGAACGATAATCGCGATGGGGTGGTTCGGGGGAAGAGGCGACAAGGCGCTTGTGTAGGCAGTGTGAGCAGCCGCATAATCGCCTCGTTTGAAGGCATCCGTGCCTTGCGCGCGTTGTGAAGCAGAAGTGGAAAGAGCGGACCCCGACGCTGGGGGGATTTGTCGCGGAGGTGCCTTTGGACGAGTGGGTATCGGCGTGCTGGCTGGTTTGGGGGTAGATGGCTTCGGGGTGGCAGGCTTCGAAACAGATGCTGGCCTCGGAGCAAAAGGGTTGTTGGACTGTAACGGGGGCGACCTGACAGACGCGGGGCTGGATGATTTCGGGGGAGGCGAGGAGAAGAGATCGACCTCGGGCTCGGGCGTCTGGGTCTTCGGCGTAGCCTTCTTTCTGCGCGCTGGGCTGACGTATGCTTGCGCGCTTTGCTCTTCGACGTCCTCCCTCGTAAGTTTTCCCAGGGGGCGCGGTGGCTGCCGCGATTCCTGAAATCTGGGAGGCGGGGTGGCACGGTGGGGAGGAGCGTGCACAGGAACGGGGGATTGGCCCCTTGATCTCGGGTCTGATGGTTCGAAATCGGGCTGAGGAGCGCGGGCTGGTCGTGTGGGTCTTTGGGGTCTTGCCATGTCAGATTCTAGCATCATAGCCTCGTTTGTAGCTTCCGGGAAATCGTCTCTCGAACGATCACCGTTCTGGCGGGCCCGTGACGCGGAGCGCTCGGCGGCCTCCTGCAACTGTGCTTCTCTCATCCATCTCGGTTGGCTGGGGTCGCCGCCCTCGTCCTGCAGCTCCGCGACTGCTTTCTGTATCTGCTTCTGTCCCTTTTTCCACAAACTATTGGCCGACTTGAAGAGATTGCTACCGAATTCCTGGGCATACTGCGCGACGTCCTTTTCTTCGGTGGGCGTACGGCTGTCTTGCCTCCGCTGAGAGCCAGAACGGCTGCGGTCGTTCCGCATCCAAGCAGGAACGGCATCGTCGGGATATTCATTTCGGGTGCTCCGCCTCGCCTCGCTTCTGTGCCGCTCGCGCTCCTCAGCAAAAGGGCTTGCGCGTCCTTGTTCGTCGTGCCGCTGTCGCGATTTCTGTCTCGCCTCTTCGTGGGCCTGGTTCAACAGCCAACCAACGGCGGCCTGGATGTCGGTGCCGCTCTCGGTGCGCGTGAGAGCCTCGGCAGATTTATCCGCGGGAAAGCCCATGTCGACCAGTTCTGCAACGGCCGCGTCTCGCGGATCATTTCTCGGAGCGGGCGAACTTCCTCGCGAGCTCGCAATTTCCGGTTCTGGAGTCGCCGTGTCAGGTTTCCGCGGGGGCAACTCGTCGATTGGTTTCCCGAGATCACCCAAGATATCATCATCGTCCTGTCCATTGGATTGCGCAGGGGGCGGCGCTTGTGCCGTGGCCTTGGGAGGAGGCATGGACCCCAAGCCGAAGGGGTCGTCGTCGTCTCCAAATGCCATTGCACCGGAATTGGCCTGCGCAAACCCTGCCCCGCCATATGTGGGTTGCGTCGGCGACGTAATTCGGCTGGCGATGGCGGATTGTGGCACAGGGAAGTGGCTCGACGCGTCTACGGGAGCTTCCGCCTTGAATGCGGCTAGGATGTCCTCCTCGGCTTCGGATTCCTTCCTCGGCGGCTGCTGTTGCATCGGCGGCGGCGTGGGTTGATTAAACGAGGCGAAGGGGTTGTTCGACTTGGGCAGCGGCGCAGCGGCAGGAGCGACCGACGGCGTGCTCCTGCCACTCTCCAGGGCATTCCAAAACGCGGTGTCGCCCCCAAACTGACTGTCCAGCTGCTTCTGCTTCCTCTGCTTCTCCTCCATCAGCTGCCTCTGACGCTCCTGCAGCGACATGTTGTTCGGGGTCTGGGGCTTGTTGGAGCCCAGGAGCGACGAGAAGCTGTCGGGTGTCGCAGGCTTGGAGGCCTTGACGCCGCGAAAGGCGGGGTTGGCAGGGACGCCGGAGGACTGGGCGGACATTGGGGTGTTGCGGCCAGATAGCGAAGGTATTGGGCTGGCGCGCATCGAGGAGTAGGAGGCGGCGGGCTTGGACTGCTGCGGGGGGTTGGCGGCGGGCGGAGCGTTCCAATCTACGCCCATGAGATCATCCATGATGGCAGTTATGTGCGGGAGATATTAGAGGTTAGGAGGGAAGGAGATGAGGCATCAGGCGGAGAAGAGAGGGAGGTAGGTGGTGTTTGGGAGAGGCCGCAACACCACCCAAGGTCCGATCGCGCGTGGTTGCAGCGCAGGGCCGGGCCGGCAGCACCAAGGGTTTCCATGGGGCTCATGGCAGCTGGACAGCGCCCGTGGAAACGGGATGACAGATGTCAAAGACGTCCTAGTCAAAACACACAAAATGGAAGTCAGCAGCAGCGGCAGCCTAAGGACGACCGCACCGCCGTGACGCCCGCGGCCACTCAATCAGACACAGCACGTGATACATTGCTAGGTGTTTCTGCCTCAGGCCGCTCTCGGGCGCGGCTCGCTCAACGCCGCCCCCTCGCAAGGGCCAAGTGCGGGCGCGGAACCGGCACGGTACCCATTGTTCATCACGATTTGCAGGCGAGCAGTGGGGATGGGCATCAAGCGCCGAGCGGGAGCCGAGGTGTATTGTACCAGAATGTGTGTATTTTTGTGTGTACGGGGGGCGTGGGATGTTTCCAATCTCTTCCTGGGATTAGGTATATCTGGGCGACGGCCCGCACCCACAAATGCCGTGCAGCATCTACGCATCACTGCTGCACCTGGGCGACGGCCTCGGGTCCAATCTCACTCCACCACTCTGCACAGCTGCCGTTCCTGCATTGCCCGCACAGCTCGCCGCCTGGCCGCCCCGGCGCGCATCCTTGGCTCGCTCTGCACGGCCTGGCCTCCGCGGCTCTCTAGCGCCTGCGGACGCCCATCGACCTCCCCCTTCGTGCGCCGCGCTTGGGTCCCCTTGCAATCCTCAACCCTGAACCACCAGAACCCTCTCCCTCAGCTTCAACCTGCAGCTGCGGAGACGCCCGTGGTCCAGAGGGGAACGCCTGACCTTATCCCGCCAATCCTCTTCTTTCTCTCTCTGCCGCTCGCAGGCCACCCCCACCACCACCACCCTTTCTCGACAACGCCTGCCGAAAAAGAATTTTGTCACCTCTTGCTGTCATTCTTTGTCGCACGACCTTATCGACGACCATGGGTCTCTTCAATCGCAAGAAAGAGTCAAAACAGGCCCAGCAGGCCCCCCAGCCTGACACGGCTTCGACCACCTCCAACGGCTCGCTCAAAGGTCCCTCCAAGCCCTCCACCAACGGCTCCATGGCCGCCGCGAAGCCCCAGATCCCCGACATCCCGCTGGCGAAGGCCCCCGACCCGGCCCTCGACCCCGTCGCCTACTTGCGCAGCATCTGGGCTGTGAGGGACCGCTCCAAGCTGGTCCTCGACAGAGCCAAGCGGAACCAGCTCAAGCACTTCACCGTCGACATGTCCAAGTTCTCCGACACGGCTGCCTACGTGGTTTCAATCATCAAGGTAAGTCGCCTCCGCCGCGCCACCTCGCCATTGCTAACCGTCCGCAGCGCGACTTCGCTCCCAACTACGCCGCGATTCCCGCCCACGGCCGCTGGCAGCACTTTGAAGTCGGCGGTCGCCCGCGCATCGACCAGCTCATGGCCACCTGGCCGTCCACTGTCGACAGCCAGGAGCGCACCCGTCGTCTGGTCGATCTTTTTGTCGTCTCGGTTCTCTTGGACGCCGGCGCAGGCACAAGGTGGCAGTACCGCAGCAAGGAGTCTGGCAAGTTCTACCGCCGCAGCGAGGGCTTGGCCGTCGCCAGCTTGGAAATGTTCAAGGCCGGCATGTTCAGCAGCGATCCCGCCGAGCCGTGCCAGGTCGACAGCGCGGGGCTCAGGAAGCTGGATGTCAAGACTGTTGCCCGCGGGCTGCAGGTCACTGACCAAAACGTCATCGAGGGCCTCGAAGGCCGCGCGAGTCTGCTCGTGCGCCTGGGCGATGCGCTTCAGAACCAGGAGATCTTCGGCGCTGACGGCCGCCCCGGAAACATGCTCGGTGAGTGGGCTCTGAACGAACAAGTCCCAATGCGCCCGATGTCCTAACTGCATGCAGACTACCTCCTCTCCCACCCGTCTACCCACGCGTCTTCCGTGCCCATTGTCCCCTTGCCGACGCTCTGGAAGGTCCTCATGGACGGCCTCTCGCCTATCTGGCCCGCAAGCCGCACCCAGATTGACGGTGTCTCAATCGGCGACGCATGGCCGTGCTCGGTCATGCCCTCGCATCCAACTACTCCTTGGGAGAACATTGTGCCGTTCCACAAGCTGACACAGTGGCTCGCCTACTCTATCATGGTCCCGATGAACAAGCTGCTGTCCGTGCACTTCGCGGGTGAGCACCTTCTGACCGGTCTTCCTGAATATCGCAACGGCGGTCTGCTGGTCGACACCGGTCTCCTAACGCTGAAGCCCGAGGACTCCAAGCGGGGACTGGCGAACTACCAGCAGAACGCGGAGAAGAAGGGGCAGCCCAGCATGGAGGTGGTTCCGCTGTTCACGGCGGACGACGACGTCATTGTCGAATGGCGTGCAGTCACGGTCGGCTTCTTGGACGAGCTGCTGGCCGAAGTCAACTCCCTGTTGGGCCTCCGGGGCAACGACAAGCTGAGCCTCGCGCAAATGCTAGAGGCGGGCACGTGGAAGGTGAGTGGTCCGAGATTGCGCATCGAATGAGCGACAAAAGCTAACGCAAGCGCAGGGTGGGCGGGAAATCGCCGAAGTTTCGCGGCCAAACACCAAAGAACCGCCGATCATGATCTTGTCCGACGGCACCGTTTTCTAGAGATACCCCTCCTTTTGCGCTCCATCAACCGTTTCCTAAAGGTTTTGTCGTCGCTTGGAGAGGCGCGTCAGAGGAGGTTTCCTTCGTGCCCAGCAGGCCCCACATAAATGCTGGTGCTCTATTGTCTAGTTCTTGCGTCCGTCCCGCACAAAGTTCACATTGGACGTTCATTCCACTTCACATTTCTTTTCTCTTCTTTCTCGACCGACTGGCTTTTTTCTTGTCCATATCTTACTTTTTCGGGGTTTGGTTCAAAACACTGGGGACAAGGGGCACGGGCAGTGATGGCGATAGTTTGACAAGGCGAGGGCGGCTGGGGGCGCGATTCCCCATGGCTTCCCGACATTGCTTTTCTTTTCTGACTTAGATATCCTGGCGGAAGACTTTTCACATTCGTGTCGGCGAGACTCATTCGGTGGCTTTTTCCCAATAGGCTTATAATGCAAAAAGGTAGCTAATGATTTTGCCGCGGCCTTGGCGCCCGTATCCGATTGTCTCATCACGTGCCGTGCTTGCGGTCGGCGTCTGCCAGGGCTGCATCTCCGGGCGCGGCCAGCGTCATTGCCCAACACCGCCGCACCTGAGCTCCGACTACGACTACGACGAAGACGACGCCGCCCACGATGAACATTAAGAAGCAGAAGCAGCGCAAGGTGCTGCTCATGGGCAAGAGCGGCGCCGGCAAGTCGTCGATGCGCTCCATCGTCTTCAGCAACTATGTCGCCAAGGACGTCCGCCGCCTGGGAGCAACCATCGACGTCGAGCACAGCAACATCAAGTTCATGGGCAACCTTATGCTCAACCTATGGGACTGCGGAGGGTAAGCAAGCGTTTGCCTCTCCCTGACGCTCGCCCGCGGCCGCTGACTTGTTGTGCGCGCCCGCAGCCAGGACGGCTTCGTCGAGAACTACCTCACGCACCAGCGCCACCACATATTCACCTCGGTCGCCGTCCTGATCTTCGTCTTCGACATCGAGTCGCGCGACTTTGCATCCGACGTGCTGTCGTACCAGAACATCATCCAGGCCCTGCATGAGTCGTCACCCAATGCCAAGATTTTCTGCCTCATCCACAAGATGGACCTCGTCCAGGCGCGCCTGCGCCTGTCGCTCTTCGAGGAGCGCGCCGACTACATCCGCCAGGCCAGCATGCAGTTTGGCTTCGGTGACACGGTCGAATTCTTCGCCACGAGCATCTGGGACCAGAGTCTGTACAAAGCGTGGACGCAGATCATATATTACTTGATTCCGAATGCGGGCGTCATCGAGGCGCTTCTGCGGCAGTTGGCCGAGGTCATTGACGCAAGAGAGCTGATACTATATGAGCGGACGACGTGTTTAATGGTCACGCACGTCACGCGCGGCACTGAGAGCAGCAACCCATTCACGGACCGCTTTGAACGCATTTCCAGCATTCTCAAGACGCACAAGCAGTCAATGGCGTAAGTGATCGCATCCCCGAGCTTTATTCGTGTGAACGTACAGACCTAACTGCAGCGGAAGCAAACATACGTCCCTCCCCCCATCTCACGCCAACTTTGCGGAAATGCAGATCAAGACGGGCCGCTTCATGTTCTTCATCACGCGGCTGACAGAGAACACCAACCTGGCGGCCTCGATCCCGCCGTCGGAGCAAGTCTTCAACGCCGCGCGCGTCAACATCAGCCTTGCGCGGGCTCGCTTCGCCGAACTCGACGTCATGACGGGCAAGCATCGGACGGGCATGCAGCAGCAGTTCGTCAACAACAGCCTGGACGAGGGCCGCGCGGACGCCGGCGACAGGGGCCCAGCGGCGGAAGGCGGGGCCGCGGCAGCGGGCGGCGGCACTGGCATGAGCGCCATGGCCAGCATGGGGCCCTATGCTGGGTGATTTGATGGCTCGGCTCGGCGCAGGGCGCGGCCGCGCGAGGGGTTCAGGGGGTCCCGAGCGGATGAGCCCCGGGGCCAGGGACGCGGACGCGGAACGCGCGAGTGGTTTGTTTTGTTTTTTGTTTTTTTTTTTTGTTTTTTTGTGCAGGGACGGAGGAGGGGGTGGACAGGGTCGGGGACAGGGGCGCGCACGAGTGGTGGTACTGGTGGGAGGGGTATGTGGCAGGGGGGGCACCACCCGCGGCACCACCTGCTCGCATCATGCGGCGCGGGCCGGGTGGGTTCAGCATGTTTGCTTTTTGGGGGTGCGTGGTGGTGTGGTGTGTGGGTTGCGTGTGGGTGTGCGTGTGTGTGCGCGCCCGCCCGCCTGTGGTGGTGCTTTGAATTGAGATACCCACGAGTAGAGTTTTCGGATTGGCAACAGAGAGGGAGGAGGCTGAGCACGCGCGCGCCACGCAGAGGTTGGTAGGTAAAGCACGTATCCGGTTCATAAGTTCATAAATAGGACAATAGTGCATGCGCATTGCACATGGCCTCGACGGCAGTTTTTTGTTTGGCTAGCACTATCGTCTCATCTCATCGCCGTCCAATCGTTTAGTATTGCGCTGCGGCTGCGGCTGCGGCTGCAGTAGTGTGCAATCTCCCTCGTCGCGCGCCCGTCCTCTACCTACCATACATAGGACGTGGTAGTATTGAAAGGAAGGAAGCGCAAATGACGTTCTATTGTACGATAGTGATTGGCAATCTCGCCCCCTCCCCCCGTGCTGTGGCATCATTGGATCGTTTCGGTTGCGTGGATCTGTTCGTTCGTACTCGAATCGAATTGATTGGCAATAAATATATATAACGCGCGGTTGTTTTGTTGCTTGTGTGTGTGTGGTGGGTGGGATCGATATTAGCTGCGATTGCGATGGGAGGCTGATTTGGATCTGAGCTGTTTCTCGAATCGCATTGACGCAATGCGCTTGGCTTCGGCTCTGGCTTCAGATGAGGGGGACGGGGTAGCGAGCGCGCTTCCACACATTCACTCATTCATCTATTCGTGCTCACGTCTGTGTCTGTACAATACAGGTCTGTTCGTCCATCCATTCAATTGGCAATACGCAAGCGCAAACGCACATGCACACGCGCATACAATACGATATTGCAAGTTTAGTTATCGCAAGCGGCGGCCGGGGCGCAGCATAGCGCAGCATAGCGCAGCATACCTAGCTTGCGCCCAATTCCCCTCCTCCCCCTCCTCCTCAATAGTTACGCCGCCTACAGTAGTCGCGATACGCGTCGCCAGCACGACGCCCGGACGCGCGCGCGATACGACAGGTGCTAACTACCTACCTAGGCATTTGCACTTAACTCCTTAACTAGCTACATACCTAGCTAGCTAGCACGCACGTACGCAGTACGAAGGCGCGCGACACGGACGCGACTCAGCCGCGTGCAGAGCTATGTGTGCAGAGAGCTACTTCCAACTGCCGAGGCTAAGTAGCAGCGCTCGCGCGTGCGTGCGTGTTTGTGCGCTTTACGCTTTCGCATGTGCGCACACGTGGGCGACACGTGGGAAGAACGTGGGAAAGGGGAGTGTGCGGCGCTGCGCTAGGTAAAGTATTTCCTTAGCGAGGGTCTGAGCGGAGCGGCGTGGTGGGAGGGCTGCTGGTGTTTGGTTTTGGGAGGGTGGTGGTGGGGAGTGTGGTGATAGGAGTAGGTGGGTGGTGAGTTGTGAGTACCTACCGCCAACTACTACATACTGCGTCATTCTACACATGGATCCTTCGCGTTTGCTAAGGTACCTAGGTAGGTGCAAGGTGGGTTGATCTATTCTCGTCTCGTCGTTTCCTACTGTTCCTTCCTCTCACACCTAGCGGCCTCGCTCGTAGGCAGTCGATTACTCGCGCACTTCCAGAACGCAGTCACGCAGTCCACCACACCACACCACCGCCCGAGCTGAATCCTTCCCGTCCACCCCGTACGAAATATCCCACCATCAACCTCACGCGCCGGCAATTAGCGAGTTCGCCCCGCGCGAATCACCAGCGCGACGTAACGAGGCGTGGGGACGGGGGATACGAAAAGCGCGCGCGTGCGTGCGCGATAGCGTGCGTTTCTGGTGCCGTATACGGCATGCGTGCGTAGCAAACAAGAAGCGGTTGAGTCGTGTTGAGAGAGGCGTCGAGTCGTGGGCGGCGCGCGAGTTTTTATCATATTTTGGAAGGGCTGCGCGCCTGAGGGGGGGCGGCGGGGCGTGGTGCGTGCGGTGGGGGGGGGGCGTGTGCCTGGAATAAGCCGTATGCTCTATTGTGTACTGTACTGTGTACACGGTGCTGGGGGTAAATTGTCATTGGGGCTGTGGAAGGGCGGTGTGGGTGGGTGGGTGTCGTGATGATGGGGGAAGAGTCAGAGAGGTCGTGTGCGAGGTACGTATACGTGGTGGCTGCTGTCGGGGATGGACATATAGCAGCAGCATACAATGACACTGCTATAGAGAAGGGGAGGAAGAGGGGGGAGGGGGGAGAGAGTACGTGACCTACCTATCTACCTACTCACTGCCTACTCCGGACTCGAAGCAGCAGCTCTCTCTCGCTTCCCTCATGCGCTCGCCTCCACCACGACGTCGTCGTCAACGCCAGCGTACCCGCTCCCGCACCCAAGACCATGGCACCCGGCCACCGCGCCCCAGGCTCCGGGTCCTCGCGTGCAAACCCGCAGCAGATCGGCGGGCGGGCGGGGGGCCTCGGGGCCTGCTGGCAACGGCGACATATCGCCATGTCATGACACGGCGCGTGGTGATTGTGGCCGTTTCTCGCTTGTACAGTACAAGTGCAAGGACGCTCTGATTAAAGTCGCTCTCTCTCTCCACTCCAGCACCCACTCGGGCAACGGAGCCAGCGCCAGCCGCGCCGCGCACTGACTCGGCCGTCCAGAAGCGGCAAATGCTGCTGTGATGCGAGACGAAGCGAAGCTACGCGAGCATATTGGCGCGGTCCTGGCCGGCGATCGCAATCGCGCGGCCGAATTGCCCTTTTCGGCTTCTGTTGTTATTGCGCCAGAAGGCCCGCGCCGTTTGTTGTCCCCGGGCATTTTCCCCACCGCTGATGACCCTGTTGCCGCTTTGGGAACTGCTGCTGACTTGCCGATAAGTAATCAGGCACAGTGCTGTTGCTGCCAATCACTCATGCGTTGATCGTCGCTCGACGGCTCCTCGTCATCTCCGTGATAGTGCTTGCTGCGCCGTTGGCGTTGCGCATGCTGCTGCAGTGCTGCTTTGCTTTGCGCGCACTGCCCGCTCTCCTCCTCTCTCCCTCACACACACACCCTCTTAACTAACGACCTACCGAACTAGGTACCTACCCAATCCGTCCACGCACCACAATACTCCGTACCTATTACCCAAACAAGCAAGTGCGCATCACCAACCCCCATTTCTTCATCCATGCACTACCCCCCGTCCTCCATCAAAAGAGCCCAGACCCATCCCCCGAGCCCACGTGGCTACGTACGCTTATGCAGGTACAGTACAATACGCACTATAGCCGCCGCCCCTCCCCGCGCCCCCACATATACGCCCCCACAAGCCGCGCGCGCCGCCCCGCCCCGCCCCGTCGCCGTGCCGCGCCGCGCCGTTTTTGCCGCAACGTTTTTGCCGCAACGGCGTGTGTGTGGATGGATCCACTGCAGCTTTTGCGTGACCCACGCAATGACGGTTAGGGCCTGGACCTGGACCTGGACCTGGACTTGAGTCTGGGTCTGGGCCTCGGCCTGTGGGTTGTGGGTAGTATGTGGGGCGGGCCCGAGGCGAGGCGAGGTGTGGTGTGCTGAATTGGTGGTGGTGATGGATGAGTGATGATTGCTGTGGAGAGCTGGAGTGGGTGGAGGACTGGGGGCGGTGTTGGTGTTGGTGTTTGAGGTTGAGGGGGGAGTGGAGTGGGGTGGGGTGGGGTGGTAGGAAGGTGGGATTGGGGGTTGGGGGTGGTGATAGTGGTGTTGTGGATGGGATGCGATAGGATGGTGGCGGTTTTGGTAGGGTGAGTGAATGTGGGAGATGGGGTGTGTAGGCAAGAGTCGGGGAAAAGAGATAGTAAAAGCGGATACACATCGGAGAACCGGCGTGGTGGACGGGGTGTACTGGATTATTCTTCTATTTCTCCCCTTCTGTCTCTCCTGTACACGTCTCGCTGGCATGGATACCTTAGCCTTTGACGGGAGGCGGGGAGGGCAGTGTAAGATGTAGGATACCGCCTCTAAAAGATTTGTCACTTGCAGCGGGAAAAAGTAAAGGATCTGGATAGAGAAGGGGATGTGTGTAGCGCCGGCGTGTGAGAGCTGGGGTTTTGGGCGAGAGTTGGGTGGTGGTGGAGCTTGGTTTTGTCACTGTTTGCTCGTGGTTTTTTTACTTGGAGGCGGTGCGTCTTTGTTTGTTCGTTTGGCTGATTGCTTTCTTGCTGTGTTTTGCCTCCGTCGATGTTTCTTGATTGAGTGGATCGTCTTTATATCTTCTAACCAATTTTCGTCACCTCCTCCTATCCTCCTCTTTTCCTCTTACTGCCTCTTCCCTCACTCGGCTCCAGCCCTTGACATACTGTTACCTATTGAAATTAAGTCCGTCTACATGTCCTGGACTTGATGGCAAACTGAGTCTGTGCTGCTCGAATAGCTTTACTTGCTTCACTGTCTGGTCCTGCATATTGTAAGGCAACTCAAACGAGTATTGTGAAGGTGGATAATGTAGCTACAGTTACTTCTATGGAGAAAGATGGTGGTTCTGTTGCTACCCTACATTCTGCCCCTGCTGCTGCTGTTACTGCTGTTTTGTTTGCTCCTAAAGTGAGGGTAAAGTCGCCGTCGGCGCTCAGTGTAGGCAGCAGTGTAGGCAAGGCTAATATTGGCGCAGTGTGCGCTGCTTCTGCTGCGTCAGAGGTGCCGATCAAGGCAGTAGGCACAAGCGTTGCCAGAGATAAAGCACAAAAGATGTATACAAAGACACCGCTACCACCAGGGTGATTGGAGGTGCCGAGCCTGGTGGCAGAAATACCCGGAGTGGTTGAAATTTGATTTACTGATATGTCCGGAATGTGTTTTTCGATTAACTGGTCAGTATAGATATCGACAGTGAATTTTTGAGGCTTGGTTGAAGCAAATCCTGGCGGATTCGCTACCACAAATAGCTCCAGATGTAGATGGAACACTTGGCTTCAGGGTATGCTTAACTTAGTGTTTTCATAGTAGCTGGTTGGGTTGTTACTTCCATGTCAACCTCAATTGAGTTGGCTTTTATCGGCAAACACATACCAAAAGTGGGTATAAAGCAGCTTCCCGAGTAAGATGCGAAAGTACAAACTACTTTTACTGAGAAGAAAATGTGGCAGCTCTGTTTTGAATTTATCATTTATTTGATAGATTCTCGCGCCGGAGTGCGAGTAACTTGGTGTTTGATGATTATGATACATTGGCTGTTACGTTTACTTAAGGTGGCGAGTCCTGAATCTTCGCTGAATGTGTTCTGATAGCGTGGTGAGCTGGAATATTGTTTTGGTTTAACGAATATATAGGTAACTCAAAGATATGTGAAGTACACTCATGGCAAAGTGATGGGTTCATATAATTCACTGCCCTACTTGTTACGATTGTTGATGAAATTCTTTTGTGTGTCTTCTGTGTTGTATTGGTATACTTTTCTTGCGGAGCGATCTGTATGAAAGCCAATTCTAGATGGATATGTTTGATTTGTGCATGCCGAGGGATGATGTTTGAGAAGTGCTCATGAAGCTTGTCATTGAATAACAGACGATAAATTCAACGAGAGTTTCATACAGGAGACACATCAAAGAAATAAAAGCTCGTTCGCTGTAATACCATTAATCATTCCAGAAAGCTCGAGTCCACCAATCGATCTCACGAGCCCCCACGAATCTGGTTATCAAACCTCAGCCCGAGCCGACGTATGTGCTGAGTTCTCGTGTGTACTATCATCTGACTCCTGGCTAACAGCCTCAGCCTGGCCTATTTCGTCGGGGAAATAATATTGAATGCCTTCAGGTGCCTTTTCCAAACGCTTCTCCAGCTCTTTGTTGGTGAAGTATTGTGATTTATCTCCGAGTTGGACCTGCATTGCTCTTGAAATATCCAAGATTGCTCGATACGTTCCCAGTCCACGCTTGCTTTTAGCAAGACGGCTGTGCCTTTTTGTGTCCCACCTCAGCATAAGAATTATCGCCGTCCAGGCGTATGTGAGGAGCACCATAATGAGCAGAAGGAGGTATGAAAAGCCCCATTGGTACATTTTATCTTGCGCATCATCTGGCTTGCAGAAACCTTTTTCTTCCAAGACCTTCCCGGAATATGTCTTGTTCTCAAAGGCATACCCGTTCAGCTCAATATTCAACAAGGCCCCTTCAAGTCTTATTTGTTCGCCGCTGAAAAAACTCAGACCGGAAGAGGGGCCTTCCTGCTTGATGTAATTATTGTAGTCTGGATGGTTGTTAGCTGGAAATTGGCTCTACATTTATTACCAAGTAAGGAACTTACAAGATTCAGTAGAGGCGTAGGGATTGTGAGGGTACTCTGCTTTTTTGGAGTAGATAGACCCCCAGGATTCTTTGACACAAAAGTTATCGGGATAACCTTCTATCCTTGAGCCATCTATGATGACATAGGCGCAAGATTGAAATTTGCTGAGTAAGACAATTGTACCATCTTCCATATTGACAGCTGGCTCTTGAGATGTACTGTAGCCGGTTGTGGCGCTTATTAAGGTCGGGAATGCTATGACGTATAGGATGGAAAGGGATATTCCAATGCCATAGAGGAAGCTCTTTAAATTCCAGTTCTGACGACATCGTCGTGCGGTATGTTTGACGGCATAGAAAACGGTAGGTATTGATGTAGTGTTGAAGGAAATGGAAGTAAAGAATGCATAAGATGCTGGATGTGTTTCCATTTCATGGAGAACAGCATTGGAAATAATTGGATAAGCAATTATTCCGAGCAGAAGCTGGCCTCCACGTCCGACAAACAAGTCGAATATGATGTCAATTGTCTTCGCAATGCCGAAATCGAAGGATCCAAAACCAGCAGTAATGGCAAAAATGGTCTTCACGTCGTATGGGCTGTTGTCAGCAAGCTCTAGGTTGCCATCCATACAAGGTTTACTTGGTCGATCCCAGAACACGAAGAGTAATATCGGAAGCGATAATATTGAGCACGTTCCCAAGGTTGCCAGAGCTCGGGTAGAAAAACATAAAGTTGACTTCAAGGCTGACCCATATTGGTATCTATCGTCATCTGTGGTTGATGAGACGTCTCGTGAATTCGGTTGTTGGGGGGTTTCTTCCATGCTGTTGGCTTTGCTTGTAGTTGTCTCAACGGGAGTTGGCTGGAATTGGCTGAAAAGGGTAGAACAGATTGATAAAGCTTAAGTGAGGATAAGTGGAAGTGCGAGCCTTGTAAATAGCACTTATAAATAGTATAAGGCTACACCTACCTTGTTCCCCAGCAGCAAAAAGTGGGCCTGGGTAGCGTAGACGAGACTGAGTTACTACTATTTTTAGATACCATCTGTTTCTCCGCTAACTTCTAATGCCTACTAAATCAGGTAGTATATAGTAAAAAGCTTTAATGAAACAGTCAATACACATTATAGACATTTTTATTATTTAGCAAGTTAAACGCAAAGGATATGAGGTAGTCCTTTCTTGCATTTTGAGTCATTTCCTCCCCCCCTGTTAGCCGTTGCATGAACTTTTTGCTTAGAAATCCCTCTGCATGAACAAATGTTTTCATCGTAGACTCGTTTCCTAATAAAACTCAGGAAGAGATCTTGGCAACTGCAAGACGGCGATCGAATAGACTGACTACGCCCTCAAAGTATTTACTTTGCCGATGGCTGTGCTGAGCTGCAGCATACACGTGAGAGCTTCCCCACATAATTAATCTTAGCTGAGCTTATTCCTCGTTCCTGCAACACAAAAGCCGAATTCTTCTTATTATCCTCGAGAAATTATAACTGTTTCAAAAGCTCCAGAATCACTCTTATAGTCTTAAAAGTCCACAGTAAAGGCGGTATAAAGTAAGGATCAGAGCGATAGATCCGAGCGAAATCCCCGTCACTTTAATTTTGAACTGGTAAGGCAACACAAAGTACTGCACATGGCTCTGGATGAGTTACCGCTTTCTTTAAAATCCAAGATAGTGTAACAGAATGTAATAGAGAATGAGGTTCTAGATCAATTTTCTATCTCTTTGGCATTGAAAAACTGAGTTTCAGGACCATGCCCTGGAGGCCTTGACGAAGTAATTGTCGGGTTAGGATTCAATTTGCGAGAACGCAATGGAAATTGGACCATAGTAATGATACATACCAAAGTGCAGAAGAACTGAATTATACAAGGCTACACCAAGTGGAACTCGATTATTATCCACCCAACATAACGCTTTCTTAGTGTCCCGAAATGAAAGAGATTTTACGGCGGGGACATCACTTATGGAAATAGGACAAACCCCGATTAAACCCTACCGACTACTTGTGAGCCAAAGGCTGCAAAATTACGGCAGTGCAGAAGAATATCTACATTCGATATCACTGACAGGCAGCACGTCTCAGTGCAGAAGAACGCCGTCAAAGCCTCTTGTTTATCATCACCAACACCGCTATCTCTACAAGTTCTAACCAAGCACCGACGCAGAAGCCAGTTCAACGCACCGAAACGAACTAAGCTTTAAAGAGGGAGCCCCCCTATAAAGGTCTTATATCATAATATAGCATTCATGAGCCGTTTTTTAGTCCATGGACTCTCTGGCGATGTCGCCATTTAAGTGCCAGGAGCGTTTGTGTGTTTTTTGCAAGCTGTTTGAACAGGACTCGAACCGACATCAAAGACCAAACCAGCATAACTAACTCATGGATTGATTTACCTAGTTTGCTCAAACACCCCCACCAACCAGCTAGCCAACCAGCCAGGCAATTGACCAAACGCCTCAAACACCAGCCCATGACAATAACGACACGCTCCCCTCTCCTCCCCCACTCACCCCCACCCCATCACATCACTTCGCCCCCGCCATGCGTCCCCTCCCACTATCATAAGCCTCGTCGAACCCATCCATCTCGACAATCGGCATGCTGCCATCCATTTCCGAGAAATGCTGGCCCGTCCTATGCTGACGGGCGCGGGACACGCCGACGCGGCCCCATGCCCCACCCCCGCCCCCGCCCCCGTGCCCCGCGTCCGCGTCCGCATCCATGATCCACGGACTATGCGCAGCGGGACTCACGCCAGGAGCGGCGGCAGCAGCGGTAGTGTTGGTGGTTGCAGTTGCGGTAGTAGCATTAGCATTAGCAGCGGCAGGGCCATGACCAAAGCCATAACCAAAGCCGTACCCGTTATGGCCCGGGTGTCCAGGATGGTATCCGTAGTTGACGGGCTCGTTGTCCGCCCCGCGGCCGCTACCGCCACCACCATACCCCGCGCCATACCCCGCGCCGTACCCCGCGCCCGCACCACCACCTCCAGCCCCAGCCCCACTCCCCCCCTTCGCCGCCGCCTCAGCCTCAGCTTCCCGCTGCCGCTGCTGCTGCGCCGCCACCGCCGCCGCCATCTCCTTCGCATCGCGGCGTTTCGCGCGGCGCTTATGCACGATGCCCGCGCCGGCGAGCACGAGCGCCGCGCCGCCGAGCCCGATGCCCAGACCTAGCCCGATGCGGAGGGGCGAGTTGCTCGTGTGTGTCGTTGCTGTTGTGGTGGCGGTGGGTGGGGCGTCGGCGGCGGCGGCGGCTGCGAGGGAGGACGAGGAAGTGGGGGAGGAACGGGAGGAGGCAGAGGAAGAAGTAGGGGTGTTGGTGGAGGTCGTTGCGGAGGTGGACGAGGCGGACACGCCAATGGTAGTCAGGACGCTGCCGCCCGCGAGCGCGAGCTGCGCGTCTCCTTCGCCGCCGCCGCCGCCGCCACCGTCGCGCGCACAGCACGTCTTCTTGCTGATAGCGTCGCCCGCGCGATCACAGCAGTAGCGGTCGGCAGCGCAGTTGCTGAGGCTGTTGCCGCCGCTGTCATTATACGCATCTGTGTCGTTTGCGGGGGCGTCCTCTTCCAGCTCTCACAGCATCAGCAATCCCATCGCTACCGCGGGACGTGCGTACGAAAAGGTAGACTCACCACTCAGGCAGAATCGCGGACACCCCTCCCCGCGCCAGCTCTGGTCCGTACAACTGCCGCGATGATACGAGCGCCCGCCCTCGCCCTCGCGCACGCACAGCTTGTTGCTGAAGCAGATGTAGCCTTTGGCGCAGCACGGGCTGCCGTCGCTGGCGCCGGCATTGCACGGTATGTCGCTGGACTCGAGGCCGTTGGGGTAGTAGCAGCGGGGAGAGCTGGCGGAGGAGGAGGATTGTCGCTTGCTGAGATGTGGAGGGAACGAGAGCGCCGAGACGGAAGAAGACGACGGCGCAGCGAGGCCGAGGCCGAGGAGCAGCAGCCCGAGCGCGCGCATCTTGCTCGCGCGTGTGCGTGTGCGTGTGCGCGCTGTCTGGTTTTGTGTGTGGGTGTGTGTGGGCGCTGACGAAGGTGGGTAGGCAAGGTAGGCAAGGCAGCGGAAAGTACTTCGCAAGGCAAGAGAAGAAAGCAACTGTAAGCTGTATGCGTGCGTGCGTGCGCGTCTATCGTATATCCTCACAGCAACAGCGCAGCGCCGGCAAAAGCAAAGACCCAAGAAGAAGAAGAGGAAGAAGAGGAAGAAGAGCAGCCGTCTCGAGCAGCAAGCAAAGACGCCGTGTACGGTGTACCTAGTTAGAAAGAAGAATCTCGACCTCGAGCTCGAGTGAGTGAGTGAGACGACCCGCCAGCCGGCCCGGCCCCATCTACCTACCTACACACGCAAGCAGGACACAGCCAAGCGCACCGTCGCACGCCCGCAGCAGCACCCCCAGCCCTCTCCCCATCAGTGGACATGTATGGCGCAAACGACGAACAGCCCGCAGGCGCGGCATCAGCACTAACCTCTCTCAGCCAGCGCGGCTAGGAGCGCGCAACGGCACTAGCAGCTTCGGTGCTAGCGGCGCTCGTATCTGTATGCCTATGCGTGGTGCAGGCATGCGGCAGGCACCCTGGCGCTGACGCCGGCGCGGGGGGACGGGGGACGGGAGGAACGCGAGCTGAGGTCAGGACTGGCAGGGGTGGTGCGGCGCGGAAAGCGGGAGGCGGGAGCTGATTGGTGCGTGCGTGTTTATATATGTATATGTCTACATATGCGCGTGTGCGGTGCTGTGCTGTGCTGTACACGTATGGCCAGCTGCTTCTTCTTTATTTTTGGACCAGCGGCTTTGTCGGCGCTCTGCGATCTCTCTTTGCATGTCTTTCTATAGCAACGGGCAGAGAAATGCGCCGATACGCGGATGACGGCAGCCTGCCGGCTGGCTGCTTGCGCTTTTCCACCTGAAACGCGGGCGGCGTTTTGCTCGTGTTACATGTGAGCGTGCCCCTGCCTTGCGCCAACCGCCGGACACAGGACACAGCCGCTGCTGTGTGTGGCGTGGATATCGTGGCGTATGCGTACTACGGCGGTCCGTCTAGAGTGTGGTTTGGATACATCGTACACGGATAGCCACTTTGATGTTGTGCACAGTCGCTCACCATGGGGAGACAGGGCAGGAGTCCCAGGTCCTCGAGCATGCTCTTCTTCCACCCGATAGCAGCACGCTACTATACCACACCACTCTAAGCATTCTTCTTCGGCAGTGCACCGCCGGCCGTGGCGCCCGTCCCGGCCGCAGCAGCAGGCCCCGAGGCCACAGAAGCCTTGGGCGCGCGCCCAAAGAGCCGCCTCACACCATTCGACATGGGCGAGACGCACACGCGCGCAAACCACGGCGTGGCCCACAAGCTCAACAGCAGCCGCGCAGGCAACAGAGCCTTTGTGACCGCCCACGCCGTGCCAACCCTACACAGCACTCTATCAGCACCACGCACAAACCCCCAACACCAAACCACAAGAACATAAGACGCAGCGAAAAAAACTCACTCAACCAAGATCCGCACGGCGTCCTCTCCCCACGCCCATGCCCTGCCCGCCCCTCCCTCCTCGGCGTCGGCAATCCAGCCCTTGCGCCGGAAGTACCGCCCGAACTTCTCCACGCCCTGCGCGACCCACGCGCCCTCGCTGATGTACGGCGGCAGCCAGTTCGCGTAGTGGAACGTGGCCGCGAGGCCGACGAGGGGGACAATGGCCGTGAGTTCGTGGAGGAGGAGGAAGGCGGAGACGTGGGTGAGGGGGGCGGCGCGGAGGGGCTGCAGGCGGGTGCGCAGGAAGCGGGGGACTGTGCGCGTGTTAGCGGTGGTGATAAGAATGGGGGAGTTTTGGGGGGAGACGCACGTCGTGCTATCGTCCGGTCGAGGCGCGACGCCTTACGCGCTGCTTCGTCGACGGGCGCGGCATTGCGGAGGAGCGGCGGCCTGGTGGAGAAAGCGGCGCGGCGGACGGGGTTGCGGAGGAGGTGATGGATGCAGCTGGGCGGACGGGCGGTCATGGCGGCGGTGGTGTTGGTGGTGAATTCAGCATCGTGTGTTCGATATGGAATGTTTGTTGATCCATCGATCGGAGCCATGAAGTCACCGCCTGCCGGCCGGGTTCCCGGCCTCCAGCGACCCGGAGATCGATCACCGCCGGATTTAAGGCCTCGCGGCTCCGTACCACCTCACGCGTGGAGACGCTCGTGAGGGGGGCGTACGTATGATGTTGCTCAAAAAGCGGGGGGGCACGTTATCCAGGGCCGCGTATATAAGGGGAGAGGTGATGCTTTTCAATTCAATCCCAGATGGGTCTCTCCAGCTGGAAGTAGAATATTGATAGAGAGAAAGAGAATGACCATGACGACCAAGACAGAAGACCCCCAGATAGTCCTGTTCTGCTACCCAGGGTCGGTGTTTGCCAGGCGCGTAACCTGGTATGTCACCACCTCTAACCATTCACCCCCTCCTTCATGAACAAACAGCTCACCCGCCCACAGGTACCTCTCCCTCCGCCGCCTCCCCTACAAGCAATGCATCCAGCCGAACAGGCTCCCACGCCCCGACCTCGCCCGCTTCGGCCTACGCTACCGCCGCATCCCCTTCCTGACCCTCAACCGCGACATCTACACCGACACGCGCCTGATAATCCGCAAGCTGGACGCGCTCATCCCCGCGTCGGCCGCGCACCCCTCCCTCGCGCCCCCAGACGCCGCGAGTGCCGGCCTCTCGGCGCTCTTAGACGCGCACGCCATTGAGGGGGGCTTGTTCTTCGCGGCCGTGGGGCTGATGCCGCCAGACCACGCACTGGTGACGGACGCGGCGTTCGTGAAGGACAGGGAGGAGATGGCTGGGCGGCGGCTCGATGATGTCGCGGCTACGAAGGCGGCGCGTCCCGCTGCTTTCGCTGCCGTGGAGCGTGTGTTCCACCTCTTGGAGACGACTATCCTCGCCGACGGCCGCGAATGGGTCTGTGGCGGCAGCGGCCCTACCGTTGCTGACATCCACGGTACGCACCCCCACCTACCTCTGTTCTCCTCTTTCTCCTCTCCACCATTGCAGCAGAAGCAGCAGCAGCAGCTAACGCACTAAATTCCAGCAACATGGCCGCTGGACTGGCTCCTCCACGACCCCTTCATGGCCGGGGCCCTCACGCCCTACGAGCGCACCCACCTCACGACCACGTACCCGCTCACCACGGCGCTACTCACGCGCTTCCGCGCCCACCTCTCCAGCCCCACCATCAACGCCTGGGACGCCGAGCGCGCGGCCCCGCCATCGCCGATCACGGGTGCCGAGGCCGCGGCCGCGGTCGCCGGCGCGCCGTGGGCGGAGCCGGAGCTGAAGGTCGATGCGGCGCAGGCGGAGGCGTTGGGCGTGGCCGAGTCGGCCGAGGTCGAGGTGTGGCCGACGGATTATGGGAGCGCGCATCGCGATCGGGGACGCTTGATTGGGTTGGGCGTGGGGGAGGTTGTGCTTGCTGTGAAGGGAGAGGGGGACGCGGAGTTTAGAGTGCATTTCCCGCGGGAGGGGTTCGCTGTTAAGGCGGTTTAAAGACTGTGTGGTGTAATGCGTGGACTCAATGGGCGGCGAATGGATGAAGATTGCCTATTGTAGATTCGATATGGAATGCAACGCAACACCGACAGCAGCCATAGCCGCTGCTCTTATGTGTCTTTCAGCACCAAATACAAGGCAAGATAGAGGTCTTGTAGTTGCAGTACGAGTACGTAGAGCGGATTCATGACGACGATTCCCAGCGAACGCCGCCGCTAATCCGCTCCGCTCCGCTGTGCTCCGCCCCGCCCGGCCCAACCCCGGCGGCCCATCCCGTCCGTGCCCTCCATCCAGAATAATTTCTGCCCTCGCCCTCGCGCGCGACAACAATCGCAGCAGCGAACGCCTCACCCTCCACCTGCTCCCCCAAAGATACCCCCAAGGAAAAAAAGAAAGAGGCACAAAGAAAAACCAAGCAAAATGGCGCCTAGCAAAAAATCCACCACCACTCCCGCCGCCGCCACGAGCACCGCGCTCAGCACCGCGTCCGCGTCCCCCTACAGCCTGGACCACGCGCAAGCGCTGCGGGCCGCCAAAGCGCTGAGCGCGCACGTCAAGAAGAGCGCCGTGGCGGCGCAGGCCGCGTCGGGGAAGAAGGACCTGCTTGCCGACGACGACGACGACTCGTCCGAGACCGAGGAGACTGCTGCGGCGGGAGAGACGCCCGTCTGGCTCATCCTCACGACCAAGAAGCACATTGTCGACAAGAAGCGCTTGAAGCCGGCCAAGATTGCGCTGCCGCATAGCCTCTCGCAGCCCACGGCCCGGATATGCCTTATGTACGTTTCTGCTCCGTGTTCTTCGCTTCCTGCCACCGCTGCCGCACGCTACCGCGGTGGGCCAGCAAGAGCAATTGCAAATGATTAGGACAAATTGAGCTGACTTTGCTTTCCAACCACAGCACCGCCGACCCGCAGCGCGCGTACAAGGACCTCATTGCCGCGCCCGGCTTCCCCGCCGACCTGGGCCAGCGCATCGAGCGCGTCATCGGCATCTCCAAGCTCAAGGCCAAGTACAAGACGTACGAGGCGCGCCGCCAGCTGTACGCCGAGTACGACACGTTCCTGGCCGACGACCGGGTGATTACCTTCCTGCCCGCCGTGCTGGGCAAGGTCTTCTACAAGAGCAGCGCCAAGCGGCCCGTCCCCGTGCACCTCATGGGCAACGAGAAGGTGCAAAAGGACGCGTCGGGCAAGAAGGCCAAGAAGAGCGGCAGCAGCGGCGCTGAGGACAAGGGCTCCGCCATTGTCGGCTCCCCCGAAGCTGTGGCCAAGGACATCCAAAAGGCGCTGGACAGCGCGCTGGTGCACCTCAGCCCGTCGGCCACGACGGCCATCCGCATTGCGCAGGCGTCGTGGGCCCCCGAGAAAATCACGGCCAACCTCGAGGCCGTCGTCGCGGCCCTCACGTCCCAGGAGAAGCTCGTCTCCAAGGGCTGGCGCAACGTCCGCTCCCTGCACATCAAGGGCCCGGACACGACGGCGCTGCCCGTCTGGCTGGCCGACGAGCTGTGGGTCGACGAGGAGGAGGTCCTGGACGAGAAGTTCAAGCCCGTTGATAAGGCCGAGAGGCTGAAGCTCAAGGAGGGCGCCGAGGACGGCCCCAAGAAGAGCAAGAAGAGGAAGTCGCTTGATGGTGCTGCTGATGAGGAGAAGGATAATGCCGCCGAGGAGGTCAAGCCCGCCAAGAAGAGCAGGAAGGAGGGCAAGAAGGCGCAGCAGCAGGGCGGCGATGACTTGGGCAAGGAGATTGCGCTGAGGAAGGAGAAGCTGAGGAAGCAGAAGGCGGCGGCTAAGGCCGAGGCTTGAGCGCCTTGCGACGGCTGTTGCTTTCGTCGCCTTGTCTTCTTCTTCGTCTTCTTCTTGTGGTATAGAACTTCCGGGGCTGTTGCGTTTGGGCGCGGTGACTAGGTATGTACCATGTCGGGCAAAAAATCAAGGCGTTCGGGGCGTCAAGAGTAGGTAGATAGGTATGAGCATAGGAAACTTTTATCTACGCACGTATGTATGGCTTGTTGGGGTCTGACTGCCTAGCGTGCATCTGGTTTGGCCTGCAGTGAGTCCCCCTTTTTTGGCAAAGACAAGCAATCGACATACTATCTCCCATGGCGACAACGTCGGCCGGCAAAACGCTTCTTCCTCCAGCTCAGTTCAGTTCAGTTCATCCATTAGTCTCTAGGCGTCGGTTGAGCAGAGGCGGCCAGACAGCCTCGTCTCCCCCGCGCGAAGATTAGCTCATCGCGCCACTCACTCAGTCCTCAACCGGCAGAAAAGGCGAGCTTGCGCGCACGAGTGCGGCGCTGGCTCACAATGATGTTCTCGGCATCAATACCATGCAGCATCGACGAGCGGCGCTTACGGGCCCTCGTGCGTGGCTTGCGAGACTCGTGCGTTTCTGGCTCGGCGGTTGAGGGAGCAGCATACGCGCGTGCAAGAGCGTTGCTACTCGCGTTTGCGGGCTGGGTGGGCTCTGGGCGTGGGGTTTTTGCTGGTGCTGGTGCAGGAGGAGGAGAGCTCGTGAGGGTGAGGTCGCTGTTCAGCGGACGGCGGCTTGTCGTCGTCGTCGTCGTTGTTGTGGCTGCGGCTTGGCTGCTGCTGGTTGGGATGTGGAGGATGGAAGCCATGCTCGTGCGTGCGCTTGCTTGGTCCTCGGGCGGAGTCCTGCTGGGCGTGGGCGTTTCTTCGCGGCTGCGGAGGCGGCCTGTTAGTATGTGGTTTCTTGGTTGGGGCGTGCGGGTGTTGACTGACATGTATGCGTCGGCGAAGATGCTGGCTGCGAAGATGTCGCTGGAGATGGTGTGCAGCCATGAAGACGGGGTGGGGGGCGAGGAGGAGGGTGCTGGTTGGGTGGGCTGCTTAGGGTGGCGACTAAGGCGGTCGTGGTGTGGAGGATGAGTGAGTGGAGGGCGAGTGGGGTGGTTGAGTAGGGTGTATATTTTCATGCGAGAGTCGGCCGCTGCGGCATTTGCTCGACTGTCTATGGATGAGCGACGTTGAGCATGTTTTGGGGGGAACTTACCCTTGAGGCGGCGCCTTCATGGCCGCTGTCGCGAGAGCGTAACCGAAGCTCGCCGTTTCAAATTTGGAGAAGAAAAGAAGATTTGACGGCCTTGCGTATGAGGTGTGGTGAGAATGGTGAACCTAACGCGAGAGGGGGAGCAAAGATGATAGATTGAGCAGGTGGTAGGTTGCGCCTTCCAATCATTGAATCACTGCATCCGCCGCGACGCATTTCCCGTCTGCCAACGTCTGGCCCACCCTTGCTACCTCCTCGAATACGCACTAAATAAGCCTTTTACCCTAATATTCCTAATCTGACTCTTCTATCGTCAATGAACTGCCGCTAGGAAGAAGCTTCGACTCTTAAACCTTACAGAGCCTCGGAGGCTTCTGAATCTGCTGAGGGTGGTAACTAGTCCATGGATGTATTGAAAAAGTACGAAGAGTAAGAGTTACAGTGGAGCAATTTGAGAACGCTGCTGAAGATTAGGAGTATGCGAATAAAGCTCTTAGTTAACAGTATAAATACAAGCCAGCAGCTGATCTAGATCTCTCAATCTCCAGATACTTGCCCACAGGGTGAACATCTCTACAGATTTGTGGAAATAATATCACGCTGTCTTGGGTCCTGTTCCGGATCACATTCCAAATTGGGATGCGGACAAGCAGTCAATGCCTGAACCGTCCGTCCTAACAGAAAATTTTCGCGCCAAGGTATCTCCCGTAGATGAGTAACAACGCATGAAATCATTGATAGCCACCACGGCTCTGCAGTAACATTCAACGGCAAGGCGCGGCAATGCTGAAGCGAATCGTCAAATACTGTTCTAGGTGAGCCATTGAACGCCAACGTTCTGAAGAAGTGTTTTCATACACAACAATGTGGACCCGCTTTGCGCTACCGGGGTAGGCTTTAACAATCACCTTCGGACTGACCTCTTCGTCGTTAAGAGCCTCTGCTTGCGCTTGTTCTTAGGTCTGAGGTTGTGTTTGGGAAACGGCGACAGTGGGCGGAGCGTTGGCGGGGGAGGGAGATGAAGCGACAGTGAAGTATGTTGGTGCGATAAACACGGAGAGGGTTCAAAAAGATACGCATGTGTACTAGATAGGGCGTCGCTGGTGCAGAAACAAAGGGCGTGTATCCGTAAGGTTGCGGCCTTTGTCAAATAACGGAGGGCAGGCCGTGGCCATTTGTACACAAAACATTAGTATATAAAGCCGGGATGTAGTTCATTCAGCATGCAGCCCCTGAGAATGACGCCTCCCTTCCCGACTGGTTTACTGGTCTACTGGTTCGCTGGTTCTGGTTTCATACCTTAGCCGGGTCGGTTGATTTGTGACATACCTCAGATGTTTGCTCATTTTTGGCTGTTTCGATTCCTGGGTGGTCAGTCTTTTTTGTGTCTTATATGAAAATAAATAAACCGAAAAACATATAATTAGGTGCTTAATATCTTCTCAATTGTTGTTAAGGTGTGTTCTTCTTTAGTGTATGTAAGCTACACAGTCATATCCGGTCACTGTTCCCTGGTGAACGTAGCTCTTCTTCATAGCGGTCTAACAGTGCACGATGTTCACTTCAGTGACTTTCAGTTCCATCTGGGTATCTCATAGGCTATTTATATGCCTCCTTCGACACGCCCTAATATAAGTCTATGCTTAAAACTCACCCGACTATAAGTGTCCATTGTCCAAGAAGTTCTCCATTTTGTCAAGGCCAAGAATCAAGCAGACAAGAGGTGTATTCAGCGCGTAGTAATGTTAGAAAAGTCATAATACCCGCTATAGCTCTCAACTCCTTTCACAATAGTCGCAAACAGCACGACAGACTAGCACAGCGCACCCATGACCTAGCGCAAGTATATCTTTACACCAGACCAGCCGGTTCGGTCCGTGTTCTTAAAGCCAAAAGCTATATTATAGCTTTATTATCTTCCGTGCAAACTAAATCGTTTCTTCATCATCTTCCGCCCAGGCTAAACTCCACCATCGAGCCAGGTTGTTGTTCAGTGCCAGTGCTAATTACCACTGACGCTCATCACCTCGAAAATGTTAACTACGCTATAGCTCGTTTAGAGCGAACCTCCCAGCATCTACTCTCATTGTCTCATCGTGTCATACCCACCGAGTCGCTCCCTAACACTAGCAAGTACATGGACCTTTTCCGAAAGGTGAAGTTGCGACAGTTGCCCTCGTAGCGCTAAAGCTGTTGAGCCAACAGTCTTGCGTGGGCATGTTGATTGTTCACTATGTCGTGCGGCTCTGGCGCTTTATAAAGCCGTTGCCTGGTGACTGAGCACATACATATACACTAGCATCGGTGATGCGGTAAGACTTGTTCTAGGTAAGCTATAACACAAGCTGGTATCCAGGCTGAAATAACGCAAAGTCTTAGAAATAGTCAGGAAGAAGTCTTTTTGCAATAAGTTCTCTCGCTGTCTCAGTATCAGTGACATCCCGCTACATATCCACACAACTCACTCCACCACAACCTCTACCAACAAGCCCTCCTACCACCCTCACCCCCACCCCCATCCCCACTCCAGCACAGCACAGCACAGCACAGCACCAAAACCGCAGCTCAATACGCGCATTCCAATGCCCATTGCCCACCACACACGGCACAAACCCCCAACCGCACACGTCTCCATTCGCCCAGTGAACACAGCACTACAAACAAACACATACATCTCCCAGAAAAACAAAAACACTGACACGCCCAACCAACTAGAGAAGCAACTAACCAGCCAACCAGAGAACCACTACTACTACTATTCCAGCATAGCCAACTCCCAGACCCGCATGAGCACCGACAGACCGCTCCCAGCCTTACGGACAAGTTCGGGCGTATACATACGTACTATATAGACGGGGGGAGCGGTCATAAGGCAGTGTAAGGCTTTGTGCGTTTCGGCGACGATGCTGACGTCTGGTACAGGCACACACCGCTAGTCCACAGCAAAAGTCAATAGCGGCGGGGCGAGACGTCGGTGTGTCCAAGTTCTCCGCCGCGTAGGCGGTGCCTCTGTGTAAGCGTTACCTCTGTGTAAGCGCTACCTGAATTTCAAGGCTCTCGCCTCCCCGGTTTCTGCCACTTCTTGACAAAGTCGTCCTCTACGCTGCCCGGCTCCCGTTGCTTTCTTTGCTGACGGGTCTTTGGGAATGGGGCTGTGGTGATGTAGTGGTGGAATAGGGCGCAGAGGCCTTGGGAGACTTTATGCTGGTGTCTGGTGCTGGTCGTGCTGTGCTGGAGTTGTTGTCGCCGGGGTTGAAGGGCCCGTATATGGGGTGATATCCTTGTATTTTCGTTCATCGGTAGATAGAGTGGTTGGTTGGTAGTGGCTGTGCTGGCGAGCTGGTGATAGTCAGGTAGTTTATGACGGCTGCGGATAAATAATATATGAGAAAGAATAAGCGGCGTGTTTTCCGTGAGTAGAGCAGTTCTACAAATCTATCTAGCATTTACATTGAGCGAGGATTACCTTCCAAAAGGAGAGGAGAGACCAACAAGAGAGAAATAGCTTTTACCACATTACCATAAACCCCACCTAACCGCTCCGAATTCCCTTGGGCGCCTCCCTCATCAAAGTCGGCACAACACCCCTCGTCTCACCCTTCTCGCCCTTCTCAATCGCGCGCTGATACGCCTCTCTCCGGCCCACCCTCTCCAACCAGGCGACAATGCCGTCATAGCCGTCCAAAGAAAACGGCTCAAACAGGCGCATCGTCGACATGGTAAACACGGTCATGATGTCGGCGAGCGTAAACTTGTCGCCCGCAAGCCAGTTGCCCGTTTCCCTAAGCCGGGCATCGAGGGCCTTGAACGCGGCGTCGACGCGCCCATTGATTGCGCCTAGGGACGGGTGTGTCGCAACGGCGGGCAAGGAGCCAAGCCCGGTGAAGGAGATCATCATCGGTATCATCAGCGTGGGCTGCAGGCTGCCGTTCGCAAAGTGCAGCCAGTAGAGGTATTCGGCGTATTCTTTGGCGGGCGCCGAGGCGGGGACCGTCAGGTTGTGCGACGGAGGCGCGTAGCGGTTGATGATGTACTCTGCGATGGCGCCGGACTCGGCGATCGTGACGTCGCCGTCAGTGAGGACGGGCGCGCTGCCCGCGGGGTGGCTGGGGGAGGTGTGAGTTTCATGCTTTATGTGTGTGTGGGAGGGGAGGCAGGACAGGGGGGAACGCACAGCGCTTTCAACTCCGGGGGCGCGAGCAGGGTTTGCTGGTCCCGCCGGTAGGTCTTGAGCTCGTAGGGGATGCCGAGCTCCTCGCAGAGCCAGACGATGCGCTCGGACTGCGAGCGCTGCAGATGGTGGAGAGTGAAGGTCATTGCGACAGCGGGACGAGGAAATTTCGGTTCAAAAAGCCCGTCTCTTGACTATTTCAGCAGCGGGGAATAGAGCAGGAGCTTCAGCGGTGGTGACGGCGTGGCTGTGGGAGGACAATGGCTCGAGGAAAGGCGGAGAAGTAGGTATGGATGTGAGTACCTAGACAGTGTTGAAGTTTTTTTCTCCCTCCCAGCGGCCCGGCAAAGGGAGCTATAAGTACGTGGCTCGAGGCCCGGCCGGTGGACAATGCATGGAAGACGGGAATCTGGCGTTCCGGGAGTGGCGACGCGGGACCTACAATCTGGTGATGAGACGAGGAGGGGCTGCGGGGTAGCGCGATGGGTGGGCTTGGTGGGGCGCGTCTGAGTCAGGAGGCTTGCCTCTCGATCCATGTCAGATCATGATTACTTTTCGCGGACGTGAATGTCTCTTTCATCCGGAGATTGGAATATATACGGAGTAGAGATGTTGATGTTTGTTCGTGATCCGGTACTGAAGAAAAATCTAGGTCATCGTAAGGGCAACTCTACATGTGAACATATCAAATACCTCCAACAAAGCAATACAGCTACCATCACAGCAGCATCAAAAACCACAGTTCCTCATTATCTCGAAACGCCAGCCAAAACACCGTTCCCCCAACATCCCTGCCCGTCAAACGACACTTCCCGCTCCAAAAACAGAAACCGTTGCGATTTCCGACACATCACAAGTCCACGCCATGAAAGCAACCGGTACATCAAGCTGACTCCCACAACGTCACATCACCGTTATCACCGTGCCTATATCCGCTACGTCCGTACTACTATTACCGCTCCTATCAAATACTCTTACCCAGAAAGCTTCACCACCTACACGTAGGCAACAGCAGCGCAGTCATACCCGCATGCACACACAGGGAGGGAGAGAGAGAGAGAAAGCCACGTACGCCACAAACGCCTTACCAACCATAAACCCCAATCTCAATCTCAATCTCAATCTCAATTTCTATTTGTATGTATTTGTATATATCAAAAATTTATCTACGAAAAAGCAACCAAACAAACAAACATCATATAAACAGCGGCAGCACTGGCAACAGCAGCAGCAGCAGCAGGAGGAGCAGCAGGAACAACAGTAACAGAAAGCAGCTACACATGCGTCCGGCCTGCTCTGCCTGTGTCTTCCGCCGCCACGCCACCCACCAGGCCGTCCAGCTGCCTCCCGCGGTATCATCCAACGCCATTGATGCAGCAACAGCCTTAAACGAACGAGATCTTCAAAAAAAGCGTATGTATGTATGTGTATGTATGTGTCAGAGAAGACAAAGACAACCGAGTAGATCTTTCACTCATACGAGCATCAATCAAAAACGCAAACAAAAATAGCGAATCCCCTCTACTTACTCCTGTACATGCAGTCAGCACCGCGCGCCATAACGCACACGGTACGCTCGCTTCTCTCTCTTGCTGACAGCCCACAGCGCAGCCACGCCAGCCACGCCAGCCCACGCGCCATGAGTCACACAAACGCCTGCAAACACCCACGCGCGCGCCCTCTAGCTCGGCCCGCTCTTCATGGGAATCCATCCGCCGTCCTTGCCCCACTTGCCCGCCTTCGTGTAGTCGCCCGCCCCCGCGCCGTGCATGTACGCAAAGCGGAAATACTCCGGCAGCTCCGCATCCTGGCGCACCCACGTGAAGCTGTCCACGCCCTCATCGTCTTCATACGCGCGGAAGCGCTCCACGTCGTTGACCAGGATGCTGATGCCGTCAAAGTGCTTCGGGAACGGCTTCTCCCACTCGAACGTGATGTTGGACATCATGTCACCCATGTTGTAGTTGTTGTGGATGATCGGAGGCATGATGTGCGGCAGCGGCGTGCCGAGCTTCGCGTCCCCGCGCAGCTCGTCGGGCGTTTGCAGGATGCTGTCGAAGCCCCAGCGCGCAATGCCGTTGATGAACAGGCCGACCAGAATGCCTTGGTAGAGCAGACTGGGCCGGTTCTGCATCGACGTGCCAGGGATCAGGAGCAGCGCAAGGATGTAGTGGTGGATACGTAGGTTCATTTTCGGGACGGCGACGAGGGCGAGCAGGCTGCCGGCCATAATGCCGTAGATGACGAGGTACCGCGGCAAGCGACCTTCGATGCGGAGGGCCCAGGCTTGACCGAGGGCGATGAAGAACAGTGAGAGAACGACGGTGATGAGAGCGGGGACGGCGCCGGGTTGTTGCTTGATGTCGTGCGGCGTCAGGCGCTCAATGGGGATCTTGTCGAAAGTGTAGTTGTTGAGAGCGCCGACCCAGCAGCCGCCAAGCCAGAGAATGGCCTTCTCAAACTGCGCTGTCAGGCCTGTCATTTGGGGTCGGACGGCGCATCTATACATGACGTATGCGCAGAACGACGCAGGTAGAAGTCTTCCGAGCGTAATACTGATAATTGCATAGTAGTCGGTAAGGTCTGGCGGGTCGGAGGCCAGCGCCACATGGAAGAATGTGCCAAAGAAAACGGAACAGAAGAAGACAGAGGGTGACGTAGTGAATAGGGTGATGAGGACAGTGAAAGTTAGGGAGACGGCAAAGAGAGGCCATCGCAGGTCACGACACTCGGAAGCAGTGCCATCGACAAACGAAAACGAAAGAGGAAAGTAGGAGTCGAATCCTACGCTAGAAATACCATGGTGCTTAGCGGCCGGGAAGTTGCTGTGCTCGCCAACTCTGCTAACAACGCCACATCCGCCGGCTTTGTTGCTGACGAACCCGGCGTGAATGGCAGAACCGCAAACGAAAGAATCTCCACGATACAAGGTGCTGGCAACGTCGTCGATATCGTCGTGGTCGTTGGTCGGCCCACCGATGACGAGAGGGCGGTAGTTGACTTCCTGGTCGCCCACGGCGTGCGAGTTGACAACCTGCACGCGCTTGCAGTTGGCGGGGCATCGGAAGGCGATGGAAGAGTTCCCGAACGGTCGGCACTGGTCGCCGTTCATGCCGCACATGTTTCCATCGTTCCTGCGGCACGTCAGCACTTGTCCAAATCTCCGACCTGCACATGATCGTACCAAAACCTCGTAGTGCAGGTGATCCGTACGGGTGACCCGTATCCTTCAATCTCGCTCGAAAAGGCCGACTTGCGCAGTACCAACGAAAAACACAAGAACCAAGTCACGTAGAAGCCGACCAGCAGCCAAACCTTCTGCTTGCGCTTGGGCGCGTATCTATCCAAGAGCCTCTGCGGCGCAGTCTGTATCGCCGGAAAGAAGGGTGTGATTTTATATGGGCGCGGGGGTTGCGGGCCTTTGATCCATGTGCCGGCAGCATTAACAAAGCGCTGGACCGACTTCGGGACGTATCCGGGGGCCTTGGGCGGCACATTCAGGTCGTTAACGCCGTCGTAGTCGGGGAAGTCGTCGAGATGCAGGTTGTTGGTGGCCGTGGTATCGGAGCCAAAGGTACTGGTCGCATCGTCGCGATACTCGTGGTGCACAGGCTCGGCGTCGGGGCTCTGACGAGGCATGACGGTGTGGTCTGGAGAGTCCTGCTCTGGGGTGGGTGATCAGCCGGGAGCGCCGGAAGGGAGATGCAGCGCGGGCAGGCAACGAGAGGCGCAAAGAAATATAAAGAGTGGGTTGGGGTAGAGGAAAGAGATGCTAACGATCGCGGCGGGAGGGAGGGCGAAGAAGATGGCGAGAGGGAGCGTGAGAGTCGCAAGCCCGACAGGTATGGGCGGGCAGTCGTACCTTCGTCATGATGCACGGCCAATCGGTCCCGGGCTTGCCGAGAAGCCGGGATGGCCAGCTCGAGCTCTTCGTCTTCCCCAGGCTTGCCCATGATAGCGGCGGTGTCCCGCGGCCATGCTTCCTGTGACGGTTGCGGATGTACACGAGGCTGCAGACGCTCGCCAGGGGCTCGACGACCGTCTCCACTTTGACGGCGCTCGTGCTGCGTGCCTGACTTCTTCCGGCTCCCGTCATCGACCTGACGACTGGCGTTGATTACCGATCCGCATTCCGCCCTTATCGCCGAACACAATGGCATCTGTCGCCCGCCCGCCACGTCTTGTGCGACTCTGGTTCAACATCTGTCACAATGAGCCGCAATAATTCCTCTCTCCCCAGGCCTCTTGACCTGTCCCACCATCTTTCGCGCACCGCCAAGAATCGCACTGCCTCATCTATCAAGCAGTTCTACAAGTACTTTTCCATTCCCGGCATTGGTCAGCTGGCTGGAGGTGCGTCACCGTTGCACCGCATCTCCTTGTAGCACCGTGACACCTGTTAATTCTCCGAGTCTGCAGGTCTTCCTAATGACAAGTACTTCCCCTACGACGACCTCGAGGCCAAGGTAGCTCTCCCGGATCGCTGGACTCCCACGCCTAACAAGCCCGTTGATCCCCCCTCCGCCGAGGTTTCCGCCACCTCCGCCTCCGACAGTCATCCTTCCGGCCGTCTCGTGGTCCCGCACAGCTCCGGTACCCCCGATGTCCTGCGGAAGATAGATCTCGACAGTGCCCTGCAGTACGGCCAGGCACAGGGCTACCCGCCCCTCTACCAATTCATCCGCCAGTTCACGCAGCAAAACCTGCACCCCAATGTCCCATACCAAGGTGGTCCGGAGATCATCTTGACCTGTGGCTCGACGGATGGGTTCTCCAAGGCCATCCAGACCCTGACCAACGAGTGGTCGCAGGGCAGAGACCCGGTCGATGAACGGGAAGGCGTCCTTGTTGAGGAGTACTGCTATATGAATGCCATTCAGGCGACCAGGCCGCGTGGAGTCAACATCGTCCCAGTGAAGATTGACGATGAGGGTATGAAGGCCTCAGGCCCAGGCGGTTTGAAGGAAGTCCTGGAGAACTGGGACCACTCAAGGGGCAAGCGGCCGCATTTGATCTACACAGTAACGTATGTTTATTCCTTTTATCAATCCCTTACTTCCGCGCCCTGGACGTTAGAACAGAGCTGCACTCTGCTTGTTTATGCTTGCATCAATCTAGCATATGTTAGCGATGTATTAGTCCTGCCTGTTACTTCATCTCATACTCTTTATTTGAATCTTCACGTCCGTACGGTTCATTGACACGATGCAGAATTGGCCAAAATCCTACCTCTGGCACTCTCAGTCTCGCACGGCGCAAGGAGATCTATGCCCTATGCGTTCAGTATGATATCATCATCATTGAAGACGATCCTTACTGGTATCTGCAGTTCCCATCGTCTTCTCCCAAGGTCCCAGTGACTCCTGTCCAGCTTGGTGGTAAGTCGTCGGGCTACGAGTTTTTGGACTCACTGGTGCCCTCGTACCTTTCCATCGACTATCAGGGCCGTGTCGTTCGCCTCGACACTTTCTCCAAGACGGTTGCGCCAGGTTGCCGTCTTGGCTGGATCACGGCACAACCAGCATTGATTGAAAGGATCCTGCGCTTGACGGAGGCGTCCACTCAACAACCATCTGGCTTCGTGCAGGCCATGATTGCTGAGCTGATCATTGGCCCGCAAAGCAAGAAAGACGGCGGCTCCGGCGGCTCCAAAAATGGACAAGGCTGGAACGTTGACGGTTGGGTGCGCTGGCTGGAAGGCCTGCGAGGCAACTATGAGCGGCGCATGAACGCCATGTGTGATGTACTGGATGCAGGCAAGAGCGTGGTGAAGACGGGTCGGCGCAGCAGCTTGACACAAATGTTGCGCTCGTCATTCCATCCCTCGTCGTCTAATGGCTGCGACGAGGACATTGAGGACGATGAGTGGGCCGTCGTAGAGACGTCCAGTATGTTCGATTTTGTGCGACCGCTTGGTGGCATGTTTGTCTGGCTGCGCTTCGACTTCTCCACGCACCCCTTGGCCAGGAGCGTTCCCGGACCGCGCCTCTCCCGCGCGCTCTGGGTCTACTGGACCAGCGAGCCTTATCGCGTGCTCGTGTCGCCTGGTGGAATCTTCGCACCTGACGAGGAGATCCGGCAGCGCGATTCGTGGCGCTGCTTCCGATTGTGCTTCGCGGCATGCCCCGAGGAAGACATTGTCCCAATCAGCCAGAGGCTCACCAAGGGGGTGCAAAAGTTCTGGCGTATCAGAGACAGAAAGACTATCGATGATATTTTGGAGAACGACGATCCGGGCGTTGAGGAATTTTCGGAAGGTATGACGAGCTTGGGCGGATTTTGTTGAAGAGCGCTGGAAGGACAACTAAAGGGTGGCGTTTAATAAATCGATGCACTGCAACATCTTCGACTGCGCTCGCTCGCTTGTCCCTTCGTCGCTTGCACAGAGATGGTGGCCGACAGCGTCTTCTCCGGTGCGCCGTGCGTTGTTTGCATTGCCGGCAGGAAATCCCGCTTTGAGACGCATAAATGCACCCACCCACATCTGCATCCATGTATGCATGGCTATATCTGTTTGTATCAATCAACGTCAATGTCGACATCACGCTGCTACGTATCCACCTATCCACTCACCAAACTAGGTCCGGCCTTCCCTCCTCGTTCGGTCAAGCAGGAAGGCAAGGGCGCTCAATTAGTTCGACACTGCCACCGAGCCCCGGCGGCGCGTGGAGCCGGCTAGCGAGCAGCATGCGAGGGAATTACTTTGCTTTCGACGACGCTGAAGGTAGGATTTGCGGTCGCACCATGAGCGGTGGTGCTGGGCAGCGCGCTGCATATGAGTGGCAGGTCCGGAATACGTACCGTACCACGCCATGCAGGCATGCTCGCTCCGCTCCGCGCTTGAGTTACGTACAGGAGTATCATCAAGGCTAGCGAGCGCTTTATATCCGGGCGCGCGAGTACCTCTTCCGCCAACCACGCCCGACGCGAGTCCTCGCACTGCACCCCAATCGAGTCCCCGCATTGCAGATCACCCCGCACGCGTGGACGCGCCTTTCCGCCGCTAAGCTTTTGCCGCCTCCCGCACGCCTCTGCCGACCCCAGATTCCGGGCCCGGGCACGGCTGGCTGGCTGTTGGTGGAGGACGGTTTCTCCGTCTTGTGCGAGCAGGAATGGAGCCCGAGGGATGGCCGGCGGGCGGGCGCAAGGAGGCAGGGTCGGCGGGGTGGACTTGGCGAGGATTTATCTGCGATGCGCCTGCGCTGGTGAGAGATTGAAATCAAGGTTGACTTGTTGTTTTGTCTCACTTACTTGGTCCTGCGAGTTGCTAGTCTGCTGCTCAGCTACCGACAAGCTCTGGCTAAGACGCGCGTGCTGTTGGCACTTTGATTTCTGGTTCTTCTATATTTCCCCCTCGCCTCGAACGTCCAATTCTCCTGTAGCTTTCCTGTGCTACTCACTTTCGACAATAACTAGCGACCGTTGTTGTCGTCGCCATGTCGACCTCAGACTCCCAGACCGTGACGCCCACGGTCACGGAGGGCAACGATGCCCCACCCACGCGTGGCCGGTTCGCCACCGTGCTCGCAGACCTCAAGATGTACCGCCGCGCGTACCTCCTCACCGCCATCGCGTCGTTTGGCGGCATGATTTTCGGATGGGACACGGGTCTCATTGGCGGCATTCTGACCATGGACGCGTTCCAACACTCGTTCAATCTTAAAGAGGACAGTGACGATTTTGCAAACCTGCAGGGGAATATCGTCAGTGTGCTGCAGGGAGGCTGCTTTTTCGGCGCCGCGGCATCGTTTTGGATGGCTGATGTGCTGTGAGTATTATATTTTCTTTGGTGTTGTGGTTTTTGGTGAAGATGGATGGTTGGCCTACCCATTGGTTTAGCAGATTGGGTTTGATAGGCTGTTAAGAGCAGAGCAAGATTTTAGAGGGGCAGACATGTTGTTCAGGACTTTAATTTCTTCGGTGTCCTTTCCGACAAGCTGTATCAGGAAGTCAAGGCTAATATGCGCAAAAGAGGTCGCAAATGGTCGCTCATCGTTGCCGACTGCATCTTCCTCATCGGATCTGCCATCCAGACGGCTTGCGCAATCAACACGACGAGTCTCGCACAGTTGTACGTAGGGCGCTTCATTGGCGGCTTCGGCGTAGGTGCCATCTCCGCCATCGTGCCCACATACATCGGCGAGAACGCCAACAAGGAAATCCGAGGCCGGTGTATAGGCTGGTTAGTCAACACACACTCCGCGCCACGCGACGCGCTCGTACTCCGCTAACACTCGTCATGCGCCGTATCTAGCATGCAGCTCTTCAACAACACAGGCATCATGCTCAGCTACTTTGTCAACTACGGCATGAACCTGCAGATCTCGTCGCCGACATCAGCAACCAAATGGCGCGTGCCGTTTGCGCTGCAGATGCTGCCCGGCGTGCTCTTGCTGGCGGGCATGCTGTTCGAGAACGAGTCCCCCCGCTGGCTGGTCGAGAAGAACCGGCTGCAGGAAGCGCGGCGCGCGCTCTCCCACGTGCGGGCCAAGCCTGCTTCTGATCCCGCCGTCATGCTCGAGCTGGATGAGATAGTGGCGGACTTTGAGGGGCGCGAGAAGCTGTCGATGTTCGCGCAGTTGAAGGCTTTGCTTGAGAACAAGAGCATCTTCTACCGCGGGACGTTGGGGATTGTGTTGTTTTTCCTGCAGCAGTGGTCAGGTATGTTGGACCGAGATGGCTCTGAGCTGCGAGGATACAGGCAGCTAGGCTTCTTATGTGTTTTGGTGTCTGCGGCTTGCTAACACACTGCCAAGGTACCAATTCCATCAACTACTATTCGCCACAGATCTTCAAGAGCATCGGGCTCACGGGCACGGACTCGGGGCTGTTCGCGACAGGGATCTACGGGGTAGTAAAGGTAGTGTTTACGGGGCTATCGCTGATGGTGGGCATCGAGCAAGCGGGCAGAAAGGTATGAAATCCCTTCATTTACTTGGTTCGCACCACACTAGCTAGTTGCTTACGTGTTTTCTTCTTTTCTTGCGCAGTGGTCTCTCATTGTCGGCGGGCTGGGCCAGGCCTTCGCCATGTTCTACATCGGCGCCAACCAGGCCGTCCATCCCATCGCGGACGGCGCGACGGGGAACAACCTCACGGGCAACAACGTCTTCGCCATCGTGTGCGTGTACCTCTATGTGATATTCTTCTCGTTCGGGTGGGGGCCGATTCCGTATATTCTGTCGTCAGAGTGCTCGCCCAATATTGGTATGCTTGTTCCTTTCGTTTACCACGATCATTCCTACACTGGGTAAATAACTAACGCGCAACCCACCCTCGCACAGTGCGCTCCCTCACCATGGCCCTCGCGCTGATGACGCAATGGCTGTTCAACTTCGTCATCGCGAAGATCACGCCCATCATGCTCGACAACATCACGTACGGCACATTCCTGCTCTTCGGCGCGTGCTGCCTGCTGATGATGGTGTACGCGGTTGTCGCCGTCCCCGAGACCAAGGGCGTGCCGCTCGAGCGCGTGCATTTGCTGTTCGACGGGGGGGCGGGGACGGGTGGGCGGGCTAGTGGTAGGGGCATTGTTGCTGGCGCGCTCTGGGACACCGTTCCTAGTCGGACAAGGGCGCGGAAGATGAAGGCCATGTGGGCGCAGGAGGGGGAGGGGACGGAAGGGAGTGCGGATGTGAAGAGGGTTGAGACAGTGGATGCGGAGGCGGAGGTCGGGGGGAAGAAGAACGCGGATGTTTCGTAGTGTGGGGTAGGTGGGTGGGTGCGGGTGTGGGGAAGGGGAGTGGATGCGCTGTAGTTACAGCAAGAGGTAAAAGCGTTTGCGATGTTGGGCTAGATTTCGTGCAGCATCTAGCACAGCACTAATATTAACTTGGCGTCTCCTTCTAGCGACGAAAAGAGAACAAGGCTGCTGCGGCTATCCGAACAAACCATGCTCTCTTATATACTAGTCTATATTTTCTCATAGGAACTATAGCTTAAGAAGATCAGATAACCAGCTCGACTCCGGCTTTGGTAATACGTAGTTAATAATTAGGACGAAGAGGAGTTCGTTCCTAGCTCCTATCGATCTAGAAAAACGCAGTATAAAAATTAAGAGTTATAGACAAGTCTTAGACCTAAGTTAAACTCTCTAATAACTATAAACAAAACCATAATAAGTCCAATATGTTTTTTCATTTGCCACGCATACAGTATACAAGCCTTAGGTACTCCTAGCCTAGCGCGCCTACTGTAAGCCTCCCTACATACATACATACCTAGCCCAACCTAACCTAACCTAATGCGCTGTGTTCCTGCTCTTACTCGTGCTTTTGCTGTTGCTCCTGACTACTACCTACAGACAGTTCATAGCGACCGACTGACTGATACAGTATATTATACACACCCTCGCCCCTCTCTCGCCCTTCATCACCACCTAACCCAACCCAACCCTTGGCTTTTTCACCCCGCTCCGCGCCACCCCCACAACAAGTTCCTTACTCGCTACAGCTCCCCCACCCACCCCAATCCCAACACCTACTCCCCCAAAAGCAGTCCCCACAGCGCATCCTTCTCGACAAAGTCATGATGAATAACATTGACCAAAAAGTAATCATCCCTAATCCCACCCAACAGCTTCGCCGTCGCCGAGCCCGGCGGGTAGATATGGCGCCACTCGGCCCAGATGCCGAAGGCTTCTTCCAGCCAGGCGCGGAAGGAGACGGCTTCGATGATGGTGGGGGTTGTGATTCTGCGAGGGGGCGTGGGTGTTAGTACCTGTGCATATATAGGTGCTTTGTTTGTGGGGGACAGAGAGAGAGGTGGGGGGGGAATTGGCCAAACTTACTCCTTGCCCGCAAACGAGCCCCACGTCACCGGGTTGACAGACTCCTCGTCCGACGCGTCGAATTCGCCCGCGTGGTTGCCTGCGAAATACGTCACTTCCTCGATCTGGTCCAGACGGGCCTTCAGCTTCCTCCAGTCGGCCGAGGGGAGGAAGAACTCGACGAACGGCTGTATCAAAAGTCAGTAAACCCACTCGCACACAAATTCTGAGCAACAACAAAGACGATGCACGGCATCGCCATGTGGGATAACAGAAAACGCACCTTCTGGAACACAAAGCCGTTCCGCGGACCCCAGCCAAACACAGGATCGGTGCTCTTGACGCCATTGACGGCCGGCTGACTAGCAACGGACCACCACCCGCGCTTTATCAGTCCCAACAACTCGTCGCGAATCGTCAGCGTCTCCTCGTTCAGCGCGTCCTCGCTCCACGGAATCGCCTCCAGCTCGCCGACAATGTGCCGCCGGAAGATGTCCGAAATGTCGGCCACCTCGGCTGGGTAGGCCCACAGCCGGATCGCCTGCGGCACCGACACGTGCAGCGACACGCCGTAGCCGTCAATCTCGCCAAAGGCCGGCGAGCGCGCGTCGCCCCAGCGCCCGTTGGGGAAGTCGTCCCATGTCGCCTCGCGGCCCAGCGAGCCCTCGCCCTCCGAGATGGCGAGCGTGTTGGCGCGCGAGATGATGGTGTCGCGCGGCACGCCGGCCTCCTCTTGCAGCGCTTCGTAGCTCTTGTTGCTCGACGCTGAGGGCCGCTGCACCACGACGCGGTTGTGGGGCGTCGAGTTGGCCGAGGAAAGGCGTCGGCGGTAGTTTGAGCTGAGGGCGTCGGCGGGCGGGACGGCGCTGACGACGTCGTCAATGGTGACGGCTTCTTCGTTTTCAGCGGCCGCTTCTTCGGCGCTGATGGTCGAGATCAGATGGCACCGCTCGACTATGTGCGCGACGGCCTTTTCCAGGTTCAGCGTGTAGAAGTGGAAGCCGCGCGGGCCGGCGGCGCCGCGCTTCTTCTTCTTCAGCCGCTCGACGACCTCGCTGAGGATTTCCACGCCCGCGGCCTTGACGGCCTCGTCGTCGCCCTTGACCGCGTCCAGCCGCGTCAGCATGTCTTCCGGCAGCTTGGCGTGGCTCAGCTTGGTCGTGCGCCGCAGGATCTGGTAGCTCTGGATGGGCATGAGGCCGGGGACGATGGGGATGGTCTTGAAGGCGCCCGAGGCGTCGTTGCGCAGCATGTCCTCAAAGGCCTCGTAGGCGTGCACGTCGAAGAACAGCTGCGTCATGATAAAGTCGGCGCCGGCCTGGACCTTCTCGACGAGGTAGGGCAGGTCGAACTTGGGGTGCTGCTTGTCGGGGTGCGACTGGTCCGAGTGGCCCTCCGGGTAAGCAGCGACACCGACGCAGAAGTAGTCGCCATAGTTGGCGCGGATGTATTTGACGAGGTCGACGGCCCAGGTGAACTCGGCGTTGCTGTCGTTGTCGGCGGCGACGTTCTCGGCCTGGCCGCCGTCGCGGTACTCCTCGGAGCGCGGGGGGTCGCCGCGCAGGGCGAGGATGTTGCGCACGCCCAGCGCCTTGGCCTGCTCGAGCGCATCGTCGACCAGCGAGCGGCTCATGTTGGTGCACGTCAGGTGCAGGCACGTCGTCAAGCCCAATTGGCGCTGGCAGATCTCGGCCAGCTCGAGCGACTTGGTGGCCGTGCTGCCGCCGGCGCCCCAGGTCACCGTGACGAAGAGCGGCCGCAGCCCGCGCGACATGCGCTCGAGACGGTTTTGGAGGTTGGCAAAGCCCTAAGAAAGGGAGCTTGTCAGTGGAAGCTCGGCGGGGCATTCGAGGTGCTGCTGCTGATGCTCCATACCATCTGCGTCTTCGGCGGGAAGAACTCCAGCGAAAAGTAGCTCTGGTCGGGCGCCAGAGCGGCGATTTTATCCGTAATCTTCTCCATCGTGCTTGAGTGGTGATGTGGTGTCGGCGGCAGACGCTGCTGCGGGCATGCTTTGTGTAGTCTGGCTGTCGCGCGCAGCGGCGCCGCGGCCTGGACGTGGGGCATGGCGGATGACGATCACTTGCGATACCGGCCGCCGACGACCGAGGCTCTTCATAGGTACCTATTGCTTTTTGTCTTCCTCATCCTCCTCCTCCTCCTCCTCCTCCTCTTCAATCCGTGAGACTGGGGGCTGAGGGCCGTACCGGGGGGTCGTTGTAGTCGTACACGTAACCGTCGTCGCCATCGTCGCTGTCGTCTTTGACTAGACCTAGCCGTCGTCGTACTACAGCAACTTAACCACCAAACAGCTATAGTATGGACCTACGGCTATGTAACTGACACCATGACCTGGCGAGCATAAAGGAAAGGCACCTAGTCACGGCACCCCCATCGGCCTGCGGTGCCACGGCAGCCATACATGTATGCCGCCAAAAGCCAATCGGAAGCAGCTGTTTCCGGACTTTTCATTTACATATACGAAGTATACTCCGGCATATATAAGTGTCTGGGTAACATCAAACTTTCTCGTATTCTCATCCATCTTCCACCTACATACAACAACCAGCCAGCCAACCTATACACCAGTTTCCATCATCATCATCAGTACTACCTAGCCCAAAATGTCTTCTTTTTCCTCCTCCTACGACCGCATCGACGTCCACTCGCACTTCCTCCCGCCCTTCTACCGCGACGAGCTCGCCCAAAACGGCCACTCCAACCCCGACGGCATGCCCGCCATCCCCGTACGCCGCACCCCACATCCCACACCCCACCCCACCACCGCACTAACCCCCCACACACACGCACAGGAATGGGACCTCCCAACGCACCTCGCCCTAATGGCCCGCCTACACATCACGAAATCCATCCTCAGCATCAGCAGCCCCGGCACCTACCTCACGGCCAGCACCCCCCCAGCAGCCGCGGCAGACCTAACCCGGCGCACCAACGCGTACGCCGCATTGCTAAAACAGCAAGAGCCGGCACGGCTGGGGTTCTGGGCGTCGCTGCCTCTGCCCGCGGTCCCGGAGACGCTCGCAGAGATCGACTCCGCGCTGGCCGACGGCGCCGACGGCTTCGTCCTGCTGTCGAGCGCGCACGGGCAGTACGCGGGCGACGGGGCGCTGGATGCCGTGTTTGCGCGGCTGGACGCGCGCGGGGCGACGCTGTTTATCCACCCCACGACGCCGTGCGGAGAAGACGGGGGCAGTGCGGCGCCGCTGGCCAGCCGCGGGTACCCGAACCCCATGTTCGAGTTTATGTTCGAGACAGGGCGGGCCGTGGCGCAGCTGTTCCTCAGCGGAGCCGTGGCGCGCTTTCCGCGGCTGCAGTTCGTGATTCCGCATGCGGGGGGCGCGGTGCCGGGGATTTTGAACCGCGTGGTGGGGTTCGCGGGGGTGGTGCCGGGGCCTGGGAAGGGGTTGGAGGTGCAAGACGTGCGGGAGGCGATGCGGACAAGGTTTTGGTTCGATTTGGCGGGCATTGTGTGGAGTGATGAGGGGCAGGGGAAGGGGAAGGGTGAGGGTGGGGTTGGAATCGAGGGCGATGTCCCGAATAATCAGCTCCAGGGCCTGCTGAGTGGGTGCGGCGTTGGGCCCGATCGCCTGCTGTATGGCAGCGACTACCCGTTTACGCCTGAGGCGAGCGTGGTGAGGCTGGCGGAGGTGATGGAGGTAGGGCTGGAAGCCATGTTTTCGAAGAAGGAGGTTGGCCGGATCTTGAGTGGGAATGCGGAGGCGTTTTTGAAGGAGATTGGGGAGGCGAGGAAGGAGGTGCTGGGAGATGGGGTTGCGGATGGGGTGTGAGTGGTTTTGTTGGAGGATGGTGGGGGAGGGCGGATAGGGCGATGTGAGTGTCGTTGAGCGAGGGGCATGCTTGACCTCAGTGATTCTAAGACTTCCGAAGGCGTTGTTTTCGTTTTATGAGTGAGATATTTCCCACGCCATGCTCGCGGTCTATTCTCTACGGACATGTCTTTTCGTGTCCCGACACATTGTCTAAATTTTCAACATTTTTCTACTCCTTGACCTCACCTTGGGTGGAGTCTGCTATATCTACCAGAAATCCTTTCGTCTGGACTATCTTCCTTGGTGCTCAAAGGGGGGTTCGTATATATATATATATATATATATATGTGTGTGTGTGTGTGTGTACAAAGGCAAGTATTCACGACGGTGCAAGAGTGCTGTTTGGGAGTACGACGATATGGAGATATGAAGTGATAGAAGCATATGGAAGTATTGGTTTAAGAGTATTTTACGAGGGCATAAGTTGTTAAAGTGGATTGCTATGAGAAGTACTCTATATGACTTTGGCATCACGCAGGTGGTAATACCTCAGAGGCCGGATATGCACTTATTTCCAACTGGTCATCAAGCCATTTTATCCAATCCGCTGTATTCAAGCACGCCGGCTGCCTATATGTACATATTGCTCTCGGGTATTTACTCTACGCTCCCTACACAATCTTTCTCTCCCCTCCGTCCCCCTCTTCCTCTCCCGCCACTCTGCCCTAAATATACTTGTACGGGTTCATGATGCCCTTAGGATCGAACAGGTCCTTGAGCTGCTTCATAATCTTAACCATCGTCTCGTCCTTGCTATAGCCGACATACGGCTTCTTAGTCAAGCCAAGGCCATGCTCGGCCGAAATGCTGCCATTGCGCTTGGCGACCCACTCGTAGACAAAGGGCTCCAGCTCCTTCTCGACGCGCTTGTCGAACGTGCGCGTCGGGATGTTGAGGTGCAGGTTCGCGTCGCCCATGTGGCCGTAGCCGACGACGTCGACGACCGGGTGCTCGTCCGTGTCGCCCAGCAGCCCCGCCTTGATCATCCGCTCCCGCGTCTCGTCGACTAGCTGGTACAGCTCCTCCAGCGGGATCGACAGGTCGTACTTGTACACGCCGCCCCAGTGGCCCAGACACTCCGTGATGCCCTCGCGGCACGACCACAGCTCGGCCATCTGCGTTTGGTCCTGGGCCAGGACGCCGTCGGAAACAATCTCCTCGCCCATGACGTGCTCGAGGAAGTTTTGGAGTTTCTGCGGGTGTGTTAGTTTTGCATGTGTTGATGGATGCTGTGACATACTTCGCTGTCGTGGTCTCCGTTCGAGCCCTTGGTCTCAATCAAGCAGTAAAAGGGGTATTCGCCCTCCAACGGCAACTTCTTGCTGACCACCTTCTCCAGGATCTTCTGGGTGCGGCCATCCATAAGCTCAAATGCGGACAGAATCTCGGACAACTGGCCTTTGGCCTCACGGAAAGCCTGCTGGCACTTTTCGTAGCTCTCCACACCAAAGTACGCCACATTCACAGCCGGGGACTGCTGGGGACAGAGGATGGAGATGGCAGTGATGATACCAATGGTACCCTCACCACCAATGAAGAGCTGCTTCAGATCGTAGCCAGTGTTGTTCTTGCGCAGCTTAGAAAGGTCGTTGACGATCGTGCCGTCGGGGAGGACTGCCTCAATGCCGAGAACGTTTCCGTGAAGGCTGCCGTATCTCAGGAGCCTCAGGCCACCGGCATTCGTGGCGACGTTGCCACCGATCTGGCAGGAGCCCTTTGCGCCCAGGTCCAGAGGGAAAACGTGGTCCTTCTCCTGGAGAAAGTTGTCCGCATTCTCAAGGATGACACCAGCGTCCGCCACGAAAATACCCGAAACCTCGTCGAATGACCTGATCTTGTCCATGCGGGCCATGTTGATGACAATCTCATCAAAGACCGGCACCGAGCCACCAACCAGACCACTGTTGCCACCCTGAGGCACAACGGCCAGCATCTGCTCGTTGCAGTACTTCAGGATCTTGCTGACCTCCTCCGTCGAACCGGGCCTGAGGACGAGCTTCGTGTGGCCGCGGAACTTGCGCATCCAATCGCTGTTGAAGGGCTCAAGATCGTCGGCGGCATCGGCATTGACTCCATCAATGACGGCGGACTCGGAGCCCAGCAGTTCCTTAAAGAACTTGACGTGGTCCGGGGTGATTTCAGCAAACTTGGAGTCACGCTTCAACTGAGGGTAACTGCGAGGACAGCGCTTAACAATTTATTCTGACATCATGCATGTGGCGGGGTAGAAGTACGATTCGGTGGTGAATTTAATGGTCTTGGCGGGCGCCGGCTTGCCCTTCACGTCGCCCTTTGCGGTCGGCTGGTGCGGCTCAGTGGTCGCGGAGGAGGTGCCAGTCCATCTCACCTGAGTGACGGGTCTCAGGCGAGCAGCGCGAGCCGGGGCGGAGGTGAGGCGCGCTCTGCGGAGAGCAGCGCCCGCGAATCTCGGAGAGCAGGCCATTGGGAGATAATATGAGAAGCAGAGAAGAAGAGAAAGGTGACAAGGAAAGAAAGAGATATGGAGAGGGAGGGGAGAGCAATGCCGCCGCGGGGAAGCGTGAAAGGGCGCGGGCAAAAAGACAGACGAATGTCATTGCAATAATTCGCCGGGGTCGGGGAGCTTGGACCAAGGCATGTTGATTGGCTTGGCGCTCGAGCGCGGGCAAGGTGCAAGGCAACGCCAGACAGCGCGGCAACAGCTCCTCCATCTCAACGCCATCCAATTCACCTCTCGCTCCGACCTCCGTCCTTGCACCAAGGCAGAGCTACGCCCTTGCTCTACTTACCCCCAGCCATCTTCCGTGTCCTAAATCTCCGCCATGTCCGGCTACGACAGAGCGCTGTCCGGTGAGCTGCCTCACGCGCCATCAGCTTGACATGGGAGCTAACAGCTCTGCTCCGCATAGTCTTCAGTCCTGATGGACACGTCTTCCAGGTCGAGTATGCGCTGGAGGCCGTCAAGAGAGGTATGGCACTTTCACCGCCGCCCCGGCACGCCCGTGGAGACTGACCGGCCCCAGGTACCTGCGCCGTTGCCGTCAAGGGCAAGGACATCGTCGTCCTCGGATGCGAGAAGCGCTCCGCCATGAAGCTCCAGGATACCCGTATCACGCCTTCCAAGATCTGCCTTGTAGACACGCACGTTGCGCTCGCCTTTGCTGGTCTTAACGCGGATGCCCGCATCTTGGTCGACAAGGCTCGGTTAGAGGCCCAGTCGCACCGTCTCACCGTCGAGGACCCCGTTTCGATAGAGTACATCACCAAGTACGTTGCCGGTGTTCAGCAGAGATATACCCAGAGCGGTGGTGTCAGGCCGTTCGGCATTAGCACGCTCATCGTCGGCTTTGACCCCAACGACAAGACGCCGCGCCTGTACCAGACGGAGCCTTCTGGCATCTACTCGGCATGGTAGGTTTACCCCGCGATTTCGAGCGGCGATCATGCTCACAGAGTCACAGGAAGGCAAACGCCATCGGCAGGTCGAGCAAGACGGTCCGCGAGTTCCTCGAGCGCAACCATAAGGCGGACATGGACCGGGAGGACACTATCAAGCTCACGGTCAAGTCGCTGCTGGAAGTCGTGCAGACTGGTGCGAAGAACATCGAGATCGCTATCATGGCGCCCGGCAAGCCCCTGGAGTTGCTCCCCGTTGAGGACATCGAGAGGTACGTCGAGAGCATCAACACGGAGAAGCAGGAGGAGGCCCAGACGAGACGGACCGGTAGGACCCCAGGCACCGGCACTGCCGCTATCCTCACGCGCCCATCCGGCGAGGGACAGAGCCAGCCTTAGAATAGGCATGGTCCAGGGGGTGGTTGCGGGCAATGGCGTTTATGATAGAGAAGTTCTCGAGCACGTCTTATCAAGGTACTGCAGAAGGCATGGACGGTAGTGTCAAAACATTTACCTTTTGCAGCGTGAAGCTTTGCGGAGCCGGTTCTGGCTCACTTGGTATACCGCCCATTATCGCTTGCCCGTTTACTCCTGCCCTATGATCAAAAACGCCGCGCCATGCTAGTCACTTATGATCCTCGCTGCCGAATGCGGGCTTTGCAGTTATGCCGCGACGATTAACCCAGACGGTCGGGTGCGTCCTTTACATCGAAGATAGTCCTCAGCTCCTCCTGCTTCACGCGCTCGTCCTTGAGCATTCTGCGACCAGTCAGCACAACGCCATCTTCCAATGAGCCGCGGGTATGCGAGCGCGTACCTGGCGTCTTTCCGGACGTCCTCGCCCTCGACCTCGAGCCTGGGCTGCGGGGTGACGGCGTCGATGACAAAGTGGTTGTCGCAGTGGGGGCAATATTCGTCACTCTCCTCAAACTCCTCTGCGTTCTTGCGGAAGCACTTCTTGCACTTCTTGCAGGCAAAGACCATCTCGGTCGTCTTCTGCAGCGGGTGGTCGGCCGTCTCCTGGTGGCACTCGGCGCAGTCAAACCATTTCTTGCAGCAGGGGCTGCGGATGGCGACCTGGGCGTTGAGGACGTGCTTGCTAGACGGCGTCAACGGGAGGAAGCGATCGGGGAGCACAAGCAAAGCGCTACGTACCACATGGCTCGTGGAGTCTGGGGTGCGTCAGACGTGAGATTGGGCTGGTGTTGATCGGGATTCGAGGCTGAAACGGAACGGAGCGAGGGCCTGGGGGAGCACTCGCCGCCCTTATTCAGAGCAACGGCTACGACCGAAGGGAGCGGGTAGGTATCCACGGCGATATCAAACGTGAAATTGGCCTGGCAGCGAGTGCGAGCCAGTCGCAATTTGCATGCGCCGGCCCTTTCGCTCGAAGCCTTCCGAGTCAGGGTCCGGCGCCCTATTTTATTAGGACAATGACATCGCTGCTCCGACGAGCACGCGGCCAAGTCTGGGGGAGAGCCTTACTACTACCTGACCGTTGATCTTGGGTGCCACGTTCCAGGCACATGGAATCCCGCAACCCTTCGCGCACACGCTCCCTTCATCTCATCATCCGACCAAGCCACCTCCGTTGACTTGCAGGGGCTCCTTGGGCTGCTGCAAGGTACATACCCCTCCACCTCCGGGCTCAGCCCTCTTGCTGCACCACACGCCCAACTACTCACGACGCCAACCTCCGTCCAGGAACCTCACCCTCTCCATTCCCACGCGTCGCCTACGCTCCTTCGCCTTTCCGCGCTGGGCATGCAGCTCCCACCGCTCCCACTCACCTATTCACGCCGCCTTGGCCCGTATAACCAACCACCTTCACTCGTAGTTTAATGCGCCGTCGCCCTACCGCGTCAACCACCCAGCCCGGCCCTTTCAACCGCCGCCATGGACCACCGCTCAGGAGACGGTGATCATGACGGCTCGTCCATCGTATGCGCGCAATCCCCCGTCGCGAGACGTCACGTACTAACAGCCTGACAGAAGCCGGTGTCTTCGCTGCGAAGCCACTTCGAGAACATGCTGAACAGGCAGCAGTCCTCGCCGCCCGGAGGCAGAGACCGACGGTCCTCTCGACAAGAGATAAACAACATGTTCGACGGGCACGAGATACCATCGCGGGCGGATGGACGCATGTCGCTGGACATACCCCGGAGCAGCTATAACGGCTTTCGCAATTCCTCTCCGCAGAGACCGAACGCGCCGCAAGTCGAGGCTCGCATTCCGCAGGGTAGAGAACCCAGCACACCACAATCGAACCAGAAACCGCGGCCTATCTCCATGTTTCAAATGTCCCCCCCAAGATCCCCGAACATGTCGCCGCCAAGATCCCCTCCGCTCGTCACCGTTCATGCGCCTCGATCGCCTTCAAAGCTGCCTGGACTCAATTCGCAATCCCCGACGCCTACGAGAGATGCTCCGCAGCAGTCGCCAATGTCTCAGACCTCGCGCTCCGGGTCACCGCAGGGCAGTGGGGCTATTCGACACTGGCGGATGCAAAGCAGGTCAGCAACTGCGGGCATTGAAGCGCTACAGGCGCCCTTTCTGCAGGGATCATCGAGATCGAGTCCTAGTCCGGATCCCCAGAAGCCAAGTCCGTCGCCATTGGAACGTCAAAGCACAGGGACTAGAACGCCATCTCTGGCTTCCAGTGCCGGTCCGCCGCCTATCAACCGTGCTGGAAAGCCAAAGGTCCCTAGTAAACCATCCTCCGTCGCTGGTTCCGTTGCGGGATCTGTAGCTGGTTCTGTAGCTGGTTCTGTTTCGGGTGCGAATGCAAAAATCTCTCTTGCGGCATCCGAGGGTCACGTATCTACGGAAGAAAGGCTATCGCCGTTCAACACTCCTCCTAGTAGCGACGATAGCGCGTTTGCGTCATCCTCTCCGCCAAAGCAAAGCCAGGCAGGGTCAAGACTTTCATCGAGTGTGCCTCCGAAGAACCGAGATCGAGAAAACTACTTTCAAACACCTCATGTCCGCCCGCGACCTCTGGAACCAGAGACAAGGGCCGTGCCCAATCGTCCGAGTGTGAAATCACTGCGTAATGACGAAGTGAGTGAAACTCAGGATGAGCGGCCTAGTTTACCTCCGAGAGGGCCTTCGCTCGATATTCGACGCAGCAAGCCGCCTCCACCCGACCCACCACCGGCGCGAAGGTCAATGGACCAATCCAGATCGTACATTGATCAATCTAGAGCTTCTTCCGTAGCGCCTGCAGCCCCTCCGAGACTTCAACCTCCGAGACGGACGAACACATTCGATGCCACGCAATCTTCATCTTTGACCGCTAATGGCATAACTTCTCCCATTGCTTCCAAGCCCAGGCCAATTTCGAGCACGATAACATCAAAACCGCGGTATAGCGCGGTATATGCTGACGATTCTGACGATGTGGAACATGCACAGGAGAAGTCAGTTCCACAGCTCACCGATTACCCCGACTCTTCGCAGGCGAACAGGAGACCACCGGTTTTCAGACAACGGCCGCGCGAGATACCGATCGGGTACGATACGAAGTTGTTTTCGGTATGTGGCGAGGTCCTCTGTACCTCTGGATATCTCACGCGGGCCTGGAATCTGGTAACCGGCGAGATGATACTCAACACGTCCCTGGGAGAAACCGCCAAGGTCACGGCCATTGCCTTCAAGCCATCACAGGATGTTAATAAAGAGGGTGACAGGGTATGGCTTGGCAATGAGAAAGGAGAGCTTGTGGAACTGGATATTCCTACTGGAAGTATCGTTGCCGAGAAAAGAAGCGCGCACCCCAGCAGAATCATCAGAATCTACCGTTATGCGGCAGAGATGTGGACAATGGACGAGGATGGGAAGATAAATGTCTGGCCGGCGGACGAGTCGGGTTCTCCAACCTTATCACAAACTCCAAGCGGTTTCCGCCTTCCTAGGACCCATGGATGCTCCATCGTTGCCGGAAACAAGTTGTGGGTGTCCTCAGGAAAAGAGATTAGGGTTTTCCAGCGGGGCAGCGAAGGCACTGGCTTCAGTCAAGTCTTCCCCCAAGTCTTGTCTGCTGCAGGCGCTGGAGAGGTCACATCTGCTGGGATGATCAGCAGCCAGCCGGACAAAATCTACTTCGGACACAACGATGGCAAGATAACCATTTATTCACGGAAAGACTATTCATGCCTAGGAGTCATTAGCGTAAGTCTATACAAGATTAGCTGTCTTGTGGGCGTTGGAGACTATCTTTGGGCCGGCTACAACACGGGAATGATCTACGTATACGACACGAGCACTACGCCTTGGAAAGTGAAGAAGGACTGGCACGCTCACGACAACCCGATTTCTGGCGTTTTGGTCGATCGAACAAGTCTCTGGAAGATGGATCGCCTGCAGGTCGCTTCATTGGGAACGGACAGCGTGGTCAGAATTTGGGATGGGCTGCTCAAAGACGACTGGCTGGAATTGGACATGCAGGGACATGATATGGACTTTTGCGACTTCAGAGAGCTTACGGCCACCGTTATGACATGGAATGCCGGCGCTTCGAAACCTACCAGCTTGCGGCATGATCAACAAGACGCCAATTTCTTCAGGGAACTGCTGAGGCCAGAGGATCCGCCTGATATCGTTGTCTTCGGTTTCCAGGAACTGGTGGATCTGGAGGACAAGAAGGTCACAGCGAGTAAGTTGTTATTCCCTAGATCCTGAGCTTCAGATAACTTACTAGCCCCTAGAAAGCTTTTTCAAGAGCAGCAAGAAGAAGGATGCGTCCGAGCAGGAGCATATGAGTCGGCAATATCGCGCTTGGAGGGACCACCTGGCCAAGGTACTCGAACAGCATCATCCTGCAACACGATATACGCTTTTGCACACTGCCAGTCTCGTCGGTCTGTTTACTTGCATATTTATCAAAGAGAAGGAACGGCCGCGCATTCGGGAGATCAGTGCTGCGGAAGTCAAGCTGGGCATGGGCGGTTTGCACGGCAACAAGGGTGCATTGATTGTCCGTTTTATCCTCGACGACAGCTCGATGTGCTTCATCAACTGCCATCTCGCAGCTGGCCAGACGCAAACTGTTCACCGCAACAACGACATCGCTGCCATCATGGAGACCTCGGCTCTTCCCCCGCAAATGGACCCATCTGTGCGCACAGACATGTTTGTGGGTGGAGGCGATGGATCCATGATCATGGACCATGAGATCTGCATTCTCAACGGTGATCTCAACTACCGAATCGACACTATGAGCCGCGATGCCGTTGTCCGCTTCGTCAAAGAAAACAACCTCACTCGGCTCTTGGAGCGCGACCAATTGCTTCTGTCGAGAAGAAGGAACCCTGGATTCCGTTTGCGCGCATTTCGCGAACAGCAAATCACCTTCGCGCCAACCTACAAGTACGATGTCGGCACCGATAATTACGACACCTCTGAGAAGAAGCGTAGTCCGGCATGGTGCGACCGACTGTTGTATCGCGGGACGGGACGCATCAAGCAGCTTGACTACAGGCGTCATGATTCAGTCCGAGTCAGCGATCACAGACCAGTGTCTGGCAGATTTGTAATGAGAGTCAAGACAATCAATCCGCAGAGGAGGTTGATGGTGGCAGCGGACTGCGAGGGCAGATTTGAGGAGATGAAGCAGCGGGTCGCGATGGATATCAAGTATGCCGACCCTCTCCTTTGACAACAGACAACACCAAACCAGCAGAGTTAACGCAAACTCACAGGCTCGACTACCTTATCAACATCTTCGGCCTGTCAAACAAAGATGCGCGCAAGCTGATGAACCTGCCGTAGAGGTAGGGCCGGCAGACTTTACGCGAGAGATCCCAGATCGACTCGCGCTGTACGAGTAGCAGACTACTTGGGCATTGGCACCAAGGGTTTGGATGTTAGAGTAATCGAAGTAATGCCAGACGAGTTGTAGTAGTAGGAAAGGGGCAGATCAGAAGCTAAGGGGACTTTAGCGAGCGGGGAGCAGGGAACGGTGACGATGTCGATGATTTTAGTGGGTTTGCATTAGCATGGCTTGCGGCCTTAGGGTATTTTGCATTGCATCGGTGCATGCGCTGTGGGCGTTGCGGATGCCGTGGGAGGCGCCGATTGGCAATAGCATCCTCTTCTCTTCTGATTCTGGGCTCGAATGTGTGCGGCAGATGTTGTAATGTGTTTTAGCAATGTCTGGTCAATTTGTTGGCGTTTGTCAAGACTGCGCCAAGCGTGGTGAAGGAAGACAGGTGAAGCTATGACCAGCCCATCTTGCATCTCGAAATCGATCGACAGATTCATATGACGTAGTCATGTCGACAAAGGCGTGCGAACACCCCCCAAGTCAAAAACGTGCATTCCTCCCTCTTTAAAGCCCACCATTTCTGCGGCTACATATTGACTCGCAAACTCTTTCCCCTTCCCTCTCCATGTCAATCACCACAAGGCTGTTCACGCCCAGATTCATAACAGCACCACTCCGTATCACAGCTGTCCGCGCCAGCACTCCGCAATTGTCTTTCGCCACACGCCGCAACATTGCCGCAACCGCACACGCAACCAACATGCACAAGACGCAGAGCAGAGGCGAGGAGACCGAGGGTTTAAGCGAGTGGAAGAAGCGCGCGCCGTACCGCATCCACGAGCCCAACGAGGAGTTCAACCCCAGGTACCACGCCAGCTGTCACTGCGGACGCGTCGAGTACCAGCTCAGTCGCAAGGAGCCTCTCGACTCGAAGCTGTGCCACTGCACAACGTGTCAAACCCAGCATGGTTAGTGCCATCCGTCTTGCATAAGTTTCGATCAATTGCTAACTCTGAGCGCTTTCACAGCTGCTCCATTCCAATGGGCTGCCATTTTCCACAAGGAGGACATCAACTTCACCCATGGCCACCACGAACTTGAGTGGTACGATCCGACCGACAAGTCGATTGAGCACAAGCTGCCTTGCAAGGTCCGCTGCTCATACTGCCACTCACCGATCATGGACGAAGGTCGCAACATGATCCTCCTCTTCCCCAGCTTGATTCACCTTAAGACGGACGAAGACAAGGCGAATTTCAAGCCCAGGTATGCATAAGCTGCGTGGCAGCGCGATAGCGTGTCTTAAAGCAAGCGCTGACAATTATTTTTAGGTGTCACATGTTCTACGGTCAGCGCGTCATGGACATTCCTGATGGTCTGCCCAAGTGGGACGGTCTCAGCAACGAGAGCAACCTCATTGAGGACAGCCCCCCGGACCAGGTTAGAGACCTAGAGCGCAAGCGTGAGGCCGAGCGCAACGAGCGCTTTGAGAAGGGTGAGAACAAATAAAAATAATGATCAGAAAGCATGGCGTTGGTAGAAGTCTTATGGTAGACTTGCGGTTGGGAGTCAAGTCTTGTCCGGGTCGCGAGGTTGGGCGTGAAGCGGAGATTAAGCCAGGGCACGGCTTTGGCGGATTGTATCAGTAACGATGACGACGAATGGCATGAACAGTACAGCACGGATTATCGATTTGCTTTGACGGCCTGTTTGACCACTTAGATCCGTCCCGCGTTTGTTTGATTGATTGATTGAGTTGAGGTGAGACAACCTACAGTACATTGCTCGCTTACAGTGTGAAATCACCCAGTGCAAACGGACGTCTTCATATGGCATATTAGTCCCTGCACCTCTTGCTCTTCTCCTCTTTCTTCGCATCATCCTTCTTTTTATAACTTTCACCTCAAGACGGGAGATTAGTCGCAAAACTCGCTTGTTTCTAGCTCACAGCGCTGTTTGCACCCTGCGCCAACTCCCTCTCCTCTCTTCCTCCTACTCTCTGCTTCGCCACTTCTGCCAACCGCTCGCACCTGACGTCTCTTCGAGCACCGCGACGTCTCGCCGTACCAGGTTGCTCTTTTATTCATATCTGCACAGCTTCGGAAAGTTTTTTCTTGGTACAGGGTTGCCGAAGCAGCCGCCGTCACGTGGAGATAAAGCTCGCGGCTAGCTAAGGCGGATCTTCCCGCCAGCTCCTCCCCCATTCACGCGTAAGTGCTGCACCTTCATCACGGGTATCACAACGCGGGACACTACCTGCCCGTCGTCATCTCCTGTCCATTGGACGCATCCTGTCATATATAGTCCAAACCAAAACTTCTCCAACCATGAATTCCTCCTCTAACCTCACTCCTTACAGCTCGCTCGCCTGCCGCGGTCCTGCTCAGCAGACCGCATAATGGTGCCGGCTTCCACCCGCAAACGCAAGCGTAATAGCACCACTTCCGCAGCAACGCCTGCGAACAACAACAGAGCAACACTCCAAGAGAGCGATTCCGACGACACTCCGAGCCGCAATACGCGCAAAAAGCAGCGTCGTGATACGCGCTCGCGCAGCCCCGAAGCCGAGCAGTCGAAGGCAGAGCAATCAGACTCTTTTGGCGACTCCGAGAATACCAACGAGTACTGGACAGCTCGTGCAATTCTCAAAGAAACTAGTTCCAGATACTTAATCGACTGGGCGCCGGACCCCAAGACAGGCGAAGAGTATCCTCCAAATTGGGAACCCAAATCAGCTGCCAACCAGGCCCTTGTTGACGACTGGAAGCGTCAGAAAGAAGAGAAGCGCAAGGGCAAGGGCAAGAAGCGGGGTCGACCACCGAAGAAGGAAAGCAATCCAGAGACTCCTAAGAAGCAGCAACGGAAAAGGCCCATCGTTGAGAGTTCCCCAGAGTCTACTCAACAGGAAGAAAGGCCAAAGACACCAGAACCAGAACCAGACTTTGAGGCTGACTCCAATCTACTGAGCCCTTCGTTCGCGACATCTGGATCGCCCGAGCCTAAGACCGATCAGAGGACTGCGCCAGAGTCCATTCAGGAAAGTGCGCAAAACACTATCCAGGAAGCTACACCGGAGACCATCCCGGAAACTGCATCGCCAGGTAGAAAAGGACCTAAGACTATAGACACTGTTGTCATATCTCAGCGTGGAGACGATTTTGACCGCTCTGCCTACGAAGTCTTCCCCGAGGTCCATCCGACCGCCGATACTCAGGGGGCCTCACCTCCTGTCGGACCGGACAGTACCGCTCCCGACAGTAGCGTTCCCGACAACATCCACAACAACTACGTGCCAGCTGAAGAGTTGCTGAGGCCTCCGCGCTTTGGAGATACTGTGATTCCCGATAGCCAGGAACTTGACGATTCAAGTTACGTGCCAGACACGCAATCCAACGGCATATCCCAGCCTGAGCCTACTCAACAGTCTCAGAACGCAAACGAGACCAGCTCCGCTTCGGCACAATACACCTCTGGGCAAACGTCATCAATCCCGATCCCAGAGACTGATCCGATCGAAGACGGCTCTAGCCCTGAAGCCCACGAACCGGCACAGTTTGTCTCTCTCCAAGAAGACTCCCCCAGAAGAAGTGCAAGTTCTGCTTCATCCCCACCACCGACTGAGACGCCTGAAAAGAGCCAGTCGCAGTCGCAGTCACAGTCACAACAGCAATCTCAATTTCAGCACCAATCACAGCCTGAGGCATCTGAGAATTTCAGACCACCGCACGAAGAAGAAGTTCTTGACGAGGAGCCAGCTCTGCAGACAGAAGAGCCGATTGACGAGGCACTGCCAGTTCAACAGGAAGTGCCTGAAGCTGATACTCAGGAACAGGCTGAGCAGAGTTCTGTTCAGAACGCAGAAGAATCACAGCGTGACGGTGTAGACGCCTCTGCTCGAGAGCAGGAGGAAAATTTGGTCCAGGAAGAGGATCTAGTTCGAGAAGAAGAACCGGTTCGAGCAGAATATCTAGTTGAAGAAGAAGGTCCAGCTCAGCAAGAAGACCCAGCTGAAGAAGAAGTTTCGGCTCAAGAAGACCCCGTCCGGGAAGACGATCTGGTCCAGGAATCAAATTCTGCCCAAAAAGACGTCCAACCTGAGCCCGAAACCGTTGACGTCAACACTCGAGAGCAAACGAGGCAGGAGCCGGTTGGAGAGGCCGTACAACTTCAATACGAATCTGTGGAACAGACAGTACAGGAAACTGTTGAAGTCGCACAACACGAACGCGACCCTGCCGACGTCACCACCCAAGAAGAAACGCAAGACGCTTCAATCACTTCCAAGGAGCCTGAGAATCTTCTTGGAAACCTTAACCACGAAAAAGACACTGGCATTGAAAGCAGTGCAGAGGGACCTGATAAAGAGCAGACCCCTAGTTTTACACAGAACATCGACACTAGCGCAGAAGACAACAGGCCTGGAGTTGATCAACCAAAGGAACATCCGGAGCAAGTAACCGCAGTTGAAACAAACAGTGAAAACCAGGACCCTGGAAATTCTGAGCAAACCACTACGAACGCTTCTACGTCAGTCACACAAGTCCGTGCGGTCGAAGAAACAGAAGCCGACGAGAGCATTCGACAAGCGGAGCCAAATCAAGAGGTTTCAGTACAGTTTGAGAGTGAAAGGGAGAAAGAGAAAGCTCCTGAGGAAGCGCCGGCAAAGCTTGAAGTTGAAAGACAGAAAGAGGAAATTCCCGAAGTTCCGGCACAGCTTGACGCTCCTACCATCACAGAGCCGATTCTTAAGCAGAGCCCTGCTCCTCTCTCACAGAACCACCCAGATTCTTTCGACTTAGATTTGACATCAGTCACTGTCGTTCAGAAGGAATCCCCCCAACCTATCTCATCGCAACACGTGTCCAGCCAAGGCGTTGTTGCTAAGTCAGACTGTGAGAGTACCTCGCAGGGCGCAAAACAACCTCTATTTTCTGCTCACGATCGTCCACAAACGCCACTTGCTGAAATATTTCAAAGTATCGAGCTGCGTACTGCCATAAACAACCGCGAAAGCTCATCTTTCCCGTCGCCTCCCTCTGGTTCGCCAGTAACATTTGGTAGCAACCCACCCTCAAGGTTGTACTCTCCATCTTTTGGCATGCCAGAGTCCCCTGTAGCAGCTCGTACAGCATCCAGTAGCTCTAGTCCAGCATTAACCTTAACGGAAAAACTCGCGCGTAGTCGGGCCAAGAACAAGGCGGAGTGTGAGGCAAAAAAAGAACGCATACGCCAATCACAGAGCCGAGATACTAGTACCCGGTCTCCATCTGTGATCCCTGCACACACCCCACGACCAGCTTCGCCGACAGGCCAACGCCAGCGGTCGAAACTTTTGACGATGAATCGCCCAGACGAACCGAAAGAGCAGGCCGAGACTGGTGGTCATCTTGCAGATTCGGTCGCCATGGATATGGATGTTGATATGCCGACCGAGGGCGAAGGCATTTCGTCCAGCGGTACGGAGACTCCGGGCATCCTGCTCAACGAACCGAGATCTGGCAAGGCGGAGTATCTGGTTGGCCTGTCTATGGAAGGCTTGCAAGGCGATGAGTATAGACGCGCGCTCAAATTCAAAGAAGACGTCATCAAGAAGTTTACGGAAACAGATTGCAGTCACGATCCTATTGCGATTCAGCAGATTGAGGAGCTGCTCAATGACATGCGGAAGATCACGACCCATGTCGATTTGGCGTTCCGTGACGCGGATGCCCTGACTCAATATGACAACACCGAAGAGGAGATGGTAGCGTGGAGCCAGAACAGCAGTGCAAAATTCCGATTTTTGGGTCATGTTCTAGATCGGCTCCGGAACCGCGATATGCACCTTATGGTCCTAGTGAGCCCAGGAAAGCTTACCGATATCACGGAAACGTTCCTCAAAGGCAAGGGGGTCCGGTACTCCCGTGGTGACCGGCCTAACGGCAGCTTCACAGACGGCGAAAGCTTGCTTAGAGTATCAATCACGCAAGAGGGTTGTGACAATTTCCCACTTGACGCCGACGCAGCCGACCTTCTCATTGCACTCGACCAGAGCGTCAACTTGGTCTGGGACCATATGGACAGGTACTGGGACGAACACAAGACGCTTCCGATTATTACTCCCCTTATCACCAATTCGTTGGAGCACATTGACCGCTGCATCCAACCTCACATCACTGGCAATCACATTGAGGAACTCCGGCTTCGTATCCGACTCGTCACTGAGTTGCGTATTCTCGCTGGGAGAATAGACCAGTCATCAAAACCAGCCGAAGTTGCAGACCTGGTCGTAAGCGCCCTGGATACTCCTGGCCTCGCGAAAGACGCGTGGCCGATTCTCCGGGCCGGGACGATCAAAGATTTTGTGAAGCTTGATGAAAGCACGCTATCGCAGCTCCCACCACCACCTGCTCACGTCGGTACACTCGACCCTTCAGCTGCTAACAAGCGGCCTTTGGATTTTGAAGGCAACCAAGACGCGAACAAGAAGATGCGGCTTACACCGCAGCTGCAGTCGGACACGATCAATCCGAACGAGCTGACTCACATTAGCGATTCGATTACAGGTCCACCTATCCCAGGGTCCGCTGTTGTCAATGAGGCCGCCTACGGCGAGGACAGAAAGGATAGTGAAGAATACCAGAGGATCAGATTCTTGGAAGGCAGACAAAAAGAGCTCGAAGAAGCGCTAGAAATTTGCCAGGCTGAAAGAGAGGACATGAGAGACGAGATGCTCCGTCTCCGCAAAGACCTCTCGGACACCAAGATGACCTCATCTGCGAACCACTTCAAGCGAGAGCAGCAAACTAAGACGATCGACAAGCTCACAGCGGAGAAGCTCGATTTGCAGGAAGCCTTGGCTGAAGCTCGCAATGCCCTCGAAAGCTCAACGATTCCAGATGTCGCAGAACGCGAGGCGCTCCGCCGCGAGCGTGATGAGGAGCGCGCAGCCCGTAAGCGCGCTGAGACGGCCCGCGACAATGAGACGCGGAATCTCGAGTTCTTCCGTACGCAGTACCAAGATGCCTCGAGCAGCGCATCGTCCGCGCATAGCGAGAATGAACAGCTGTCAAAGCGGGTGCGCGAGCTGGAGCACCGCGCTTCAGGGGAGACGGCGCGGGCGAAGCAGCTGAGCTTGGATGCGGGGCTGAAGCGCTTTGGCGACGAGAACGAAAAGTTGCGCTTGAAGCTGCGCGAGGCGGATGACCTGATTCGGCGCCAAACCGAGGAGCTGCGCGCGCTGAAGCAGAGGCAGGGCGTTGGCACGCGCGCTGGGAGTGTGCCCCGCAGTCCGAGGATTGTGGGAAATGGGCCCGGGTCGAGGAGTGGCAGTCCCGCGCCGAGTGGGTTGGGGGGACGGGTCGAGCGATTGCGGAATTTGAATGCTTAGGGTTAGGGTTAGGGTGGACTTAGGGTTAGGGTTGTGGTTAGGGTGGATGCTATGCAGGTGCAGTGGAGGACTTTTTTCTTCTTTTTTTTATCTCTGCTTTTCTTACTTTCATTTCTCGATCTCTTGATCGGTGGATCGGGGTTTCGATTGCTTTTACTTGCTGGCTTGCTTTGCTACCTACTTTCTGCGTTTTGGGCATTTGCATCTTTTCTTAGGGTGCGCTGCCTAGTGCGTGCTGGTGGGATGGATGGAGGATGGATGGACTTGCAGAAAGGGGACTGCGCATCGGATGGCATGGATGCGAGTAGTAGTTTATGATAGCGGAAGCATGATTGATTGAAGTTGCTTGCTTGCTCTACAGACTAAGGTTATATATAAGCCCGCATGATGCGATATGTATTTGATACCTACTTTGTAGACGAACAGAGTGATACACGTTAACGGCAGCTTATTTTCCACGACATAGATATGGATATACTCGGCCCGCCCACCGCAGGGCTGTTGCTGGTAGTTAGGCATTGAGAGTGGTGAGAGGTGCTACAGCGTATCGATAGGTCGCCGCCAGCCGCCCACGCATGTGCGTCATCGATTGGTTGGTCGGTGCGGACGTACGTGCGGACGTGACAGCATCCCTGTGCGTAGGTGCGCTGTTTGCGCGGTGTGTGTGTGTGCTCGGCCTCGCTCGCTGCTGCGCCGCGTGATTCGACTTACTTAGTTAACTACCGTACATGCGCACCGCTTGTCGTTGTCTCGCCTCCGATCCGACCTCTCTGTCCTCCATCCTCCCGTCGCGACGCACGCACGTACTAGTTAATAAGGCAGCGGCGACCAGCTCCTTATTAGTGCACCGTTGCTGTTGTTGTTTGGCGTCCCTGTCCTTTCCGCTGTCTCCGGCTGGCTGCTGCTGTCATCAACTCAACCACCACAACACCTACGCATCCGAGCACCAACGCGGCCAACGCTAGCATCGTCTAAAGAAAAGAAAGAAAAAGAGAAAAGGAGCTTTCGTCAACAATGAAGTCGCTCCTCTCGATCCCGACGTCCGTGACCGCTGCCGCTGCCGCCGCGGCCGCTGCCGTCTTCATCGCCAAAGAAGTCGCTGCGGCGCCGACGGGCAGTGGCGCGCTCCAGAACATTCTGGACAACACGCACCGCAGCCCGCTGTACGGGTATCCGACGGATTTGACGCGGGGCGTTATTCCTGTATGTTTGTTTGCGCTTGCGCTTGTACCTTCCCTCTTTCTACACCTTAATCCAAAATGGAACAAAGATTGCGTATGGTGCATGGCTGATTCTTGATGGCGCTGCAGAAACCGTTTCATAGCCATAATGACTATTGGAGAGGTGAGTCCTGCGTGGGAAATGGGGGTGGGATGCTCGCTGATGCTGCGTAGATGTGCCGTTTTACTCTGCGCTGAGCTATGGCGCCGTGTCGGTTGAGGCGGATGTGTGGTTGGTGGATGGGGAGCTTTATGTGAGTTTGCTGCTTATGTTTCCTTTTTTTTTTGTGTTTTTCCTCTTCGTTTTTGCCCGGCACCTACACACGCGGTGAGATGCAAGAACGCAACCCGGAGGATTGCGGCCCGCCCGCCCGTCCGTCCGTCCCATCCCGCGACGTGTTTTATGTTGTGTGGTATTCTATCTGTCTCTTTGCCGTATACTCGTCATTCCTCTGGAGAGATGATGACTTGAGACGCGGGCCAGGCGCGCCCCAAAGGCCGGTTCTCCACGCCGGGCCCCTTCTTCCCCCCGCGCAAAGTCCGTACACATGAGCGACGACGTTTCCTAGCACCCTACTCCCTCGTCTTCCGCACACACACAAACAAACACACACACACACACACACACACACGGAGAGAGAGAGAGAGAGAGAGAGACAAGCTAACCCCTATCCCCAAAGGTCGGGCACCACCGCTCCGCCCTCACCACAGCCCGCACCCTCGACGCGCTCTACATCCAGCCCATCCTCGACACGCTACAGCGGCAAAACCCCACCACGCAATTCACGACCGGAGACGAGGGGGTTCACGGCGTCTTCGACACCGTCCCCGAGCTAACACTGTACTTCTTCATCGACCTGAAGACAGACGCGGACGCGACCTTCGCCGCCGTACTGACAGCGCTCGAGCCCCTGCGCGCGCGCGGGTACCTCACGACGGCGCACGCGAACGGGACGCTCGCCCCCGGCCCGGTCACGGTGCTAGGCACGGGCAACACGCAGCTGGAGCAGGTGCTGGCGCTCAGCGCGAACGAGAGCGCCCCCGCGCGCGATCTGTTCTTCGACGCGCCGCTGCAGGCGCTGAAGGATGACGAGAGGGTGGCTGGGCCCGAGGTCGCGCCGATCGCGTCCGTCGATTTCGGGTCCCTGTTTAATGTCACAAGGACGGATGATGTCGCGCGTGTGTTGAGTGAGAACCAGAAGAAGCTGTTGAGGGAACAGGTCGAGACGGCGCGTGAGAGAGGCATCGCGACGCGGTATTGGGGCTTGCCGGATTTTCCGGTGGGCGTGAGGAATGCCGTGTGGAGGGTTTTGGTGGAGGAGGGGGTCGATTTGCTTAATGTCGATGCGTTGGAGGATGCGGTTGAGTTGTGGGGGTAGATGGTAGATGTGCTGGGGGGGGTGTGGGGTGGGGGGTTACGTTACCTACTTGGATGGACCTAGATGAATGAGTGGAGGGAAGGGGGTTGGGGTTATGATTACCTGTGGCTCCTGTTGATGTTGATGTTGATGTTGATGTTGATGTTGATGTTGATGATGATGGCGATGGTGGCGTTGCGGCTTTGTGCTGCGCTGGTGTGCGACTGGCTTAATACCTATCTTGCTCCAGGCCGCTTCGACTTCGTTGATGACAATATAATAGTGTTTGATATATAAAACGCGAGAGGCCCTTAGAATTTAGAGTTCTCTCTCCGCAGAGCACGCTTGCAATTGGACCAACTGAAATGACGTCGCCGTACTGATCAACAATAAGAATGAATGCGCGTGCTTTACTGCCTCCACATCGCTACAAGCGATCTACTTGCTTGCTCTTGAGTTGAGCTCTAGAGGTGAAGCAGGGGCACACAAAGCTACTGCTATGCACTACCTATAAATAAAAGCGCATGGCAGCGTTGGAGAGATGTGGTGGTAAGTGCTGTTGTTATTATTATTAACTAGCTAGTTGTTATTTCTTGTATAGAGTAGCATTGAGCATTGAGCATTGAGCGTTTCGTAAGTGTTTTAGCTGGATATGGATGGGGTAGCGATGAAGTGCTGGAGCGCCCGTGGACGGTCGCGCGTACGAACGGGGAGCTTTCTTATAGGCTAGTGCCTAAGCAATAGTATAATAGGCTTAGGCGTGCTGTGCTTGGGTATGGGATTTTATACAGCGAGGGCGAGTTGCGGCCGCCTTTGTCGCTTCCGCCGGTGTGCCTGTTTCCTAGACGTGCCTATACGCTGCTGTACGAGCTGCTTTGTTTGCATGCTTGTCTGCTTAGAGCCATAGCTACGGCTATGGCTGTAGGACCTGCTCTGCCTATATCGTTCCAACTACCCGTTTTACGGGTCGAGAATAAAAATGAGATATTAGTAGTACTAGAGGACGCTCGTCCTATAGCCTCCTAGGAAAGAATAATAAAGTACTAGTCTCTATCTTCTACGTTATAAAGTATCTCTAACTAATATATAGATAGCGTATAGAGTACGTAGAAAATTTATAGACGAAAAAGTAGATAGATAGGCTAAAGACGTAGCGCTATAAAGAAAAGTATATATACTTTAATTCTAACCTACTATCGAGCTAATCTATTCTACTCTAACTCTACTAATTATTTTTAGTATTATTCTAGCGACGGGATTCTACTTACTACCTATACTACTACCTAAACGACTAAGAAATCCCTCTCTTTAATTCCTCTCCTCGCTTCTATTTAAGCGTTAAATAGATCGTCTACTATAGATATCTACTCTTTACTATAAACTAGAAACGCTAGAGATTACTATTAAATAACTTTAAACTAGAGAATAGCTAAGTAAGAAGTTTTAACGTAACTAACTAACCTATACTATTAAACCTACCTACCTACCTACCCTACCCTACCGAATAACCTATAAACCCTATAAACCTAAGGCTGTTTATTTATCTAACCGCCTATCCACCCTATCCCGATAACCATGCCAATCCATCCATTACTCCATCGCTCCATCGCTGCATTACTATTCCGACCCAAGCAACCCAAGCAACCCAAGCAACCCAAAGCAACCCAAAGCAACCCAACTAACCCAACCAAACCAAGCAAGCAACCAAGCAAGCAACTAAGCAAACCAAACAACCAAGTCCGTCCAGCCTATCATACAACCTACATACATGCCAACCCATAAGCCCAGCCCAGCTTATTAAATTACCCCACCCCACCCCACCCCGCCCCATCCATCCCATCCCATCCCGTCCTATAGGTACCTAGGCAGGTAACCGACTCAGACAACCAGCAACCAGCAACCAGTAACCACCAAAA